AAAAATAACTATTCGATTTTGAAGAAACCCATTATTATTATTTTTTTTTCAAAAACTACGTCAGTGAGAGGTTTACGAATATATATTCGAGGCATTTGCCAGATGACTATCCAAAATGCTGAATCTTAAATACATCCATTTGGGCATCGATAGGCACTTTCGTGCTAAAAGCTATTCTCAGCCTGAGTCATGTAAGGGAAATGTATAAATCATGACAGTCAGCAGCTCAAATTTCAGTGAATAAACAAAACAACAGGGTGAAATAAATCCACCAAGCGTTTAGCCTTCTGTCACGTGGCGACAGAATAAAATAATCAATTAGATCAACCACCATCACTGCCTTAACAACATATAACATAAGTTTTTGTTTTACGGTAAATCAAAAAGACACTAAATAACATATGCTAAGCGAAAATGTTTTCAATGTCACGGTGCATTTGGTTGGTAAAAACGCGATGAAAGAATTTATTCACTCACACTGGGATTACTGGAATGTTTTAGCCAGCGTTTCGCACATGTTCATTGTCCACATTGCCGCTGTGAGGTTTGTAAATTGAGAGATTTGTTGGAATATTTAATTAGAGTTTCTCTAGCATTGGGTATTTGTTTATCAGCGATGCGAGGTCATGGTGTGCTGGTCGTTTTAAATAAATGGCCTGAACCACACGGCAACAGAAGTACACAAAACACCAGTCCTGATAAATACAAGCTTTCTCGCCCAACATCATACCGCACTATATGAATGGTCGGATTGTAATTTGGAATAAAACTTACATTCATAGATTATTAGGTTAAAAGATATACACTTTTAAACAGCATTGTCCATTTCTCATCTTTTCGGAATCGATGAATTAAAAAGTTAGGTAAGATGTTACCCGGAAGAAATGTGTGTTGATTTAAAATTATTTAATCGTTTTGTTTCTCATGTTATTGTCAACCATTGTGCATACTACGACCATTTTAAATATTTCATAACTCGATACATGACCACTGAGAAAAACCGAAAGCGTAACAAAAACTAGAAAATTCCAAATATCAAACAAGGAATATGTTATCATTTTAACGGATTCCGTGCTTGTTTCTATACATTACAGTTAGCTCGAGTAGGAAATTGAGCATCAACGACAATACTCTTCGCAACCACTCTCTTGATCTATGTTATTAAACGCTCATTTTTCGATACTAATTGGCTATTATCACTGAAGAGGGTTCATACCATCAAGGCTTTTAAGGCGACCCTAGCCACACTTGAGATGTAATATTATAACAATGCCAGCACTTTTAGCGCTGACCGACTATTACTGTAAATTTACTTAGCAAATAACTAGAATTATCATGCAATTGCATCATGTGTATACAACAACGTTACGTTGTCATCTTTCGTTAAATAGGAAGCATATATCGACTTCTCAAGAATGTAAAGGTGGGAATGTCAGATGTTGCTCACGGTTGCGTCCAAACGTAACACAAAATCTCTAATAACTGTTTCAATTTTTCTAATAGTGCGGCGAGACATAAGCTCTATCTAAATTTCAATTGTCCTTTGCGTTAAAAGCTTCATGCGAATCTCTTGAGGCAGACTCTATTTCACACATTCGCTCTCTCCCGGGATATCAAATTATCTTCAAAGAAAATGACTCATGTCGTCCTCGCCGCGGAACGGATGCAAATTGCGTCACCTAACAGTGTTATAGCTTTGATTGTGGTGAAATTAAAAACGAGCATAAATAATCATTTGTTGTACTCGTTTGATCTACTAAACAGAATTGTACGAACGATTGAGCATAAAAAAGAAAACATCCATCTCTCGCTCTTATTCTTTACCTACCACGACTTATTTCATACGGTATCAACGTTCAGGGACGCTGTGTTTACACTCAGTTCGCTTTTATCAATATGCATATATCCCGTGTATCTGATGTAGGATCATCTTGTCTTATAAACACCCTTGTATAAACGGTTTTGTATATTTCACCCTTGCCCCTGTTACTGTACCCACCCTCTAGTCCAGGGGTTCCCAACCTTTTTTCAGGACGACCCCGAAGACAACTTTCAAGTGTCCAGTGCGACCCCAGGTCAATATATATATATATATTTCATGAAACTTTAGAGCTTCTTTCACTGGACTTTTGAGTTTGGTCATGTGGTGGTATTAAGTAAAATAAGCTAAAACCAAACAGTGATGTCAAAATAAGCACCTTACATTTTCTATGGCATAGGCATAGGGCGATGCTTATGGGCTTGTTTACAGTAAGCCATGGTACAAACTGCTAAATTTAACATGGTTTGTCAAATCTTGGTCGATTTGTACATCCATCCTCTATCATACCTCAGCGACCCCATGACCTGGTTGCGACCCTACCTATTTATCACTCCGACCCAATTTGGGGTCGCGACCCCTGGTTTGGGAACCCCTGCTCTAGTCATTACTTACATTCTAGCACAACTGACCGTATTATATGAATTTATAGTTATTTTTTGAATATTAACAAAAATTTATTTTATGTCGCTCGCACAATTGAGTTATAGGCCACTATGGTATTGTGCATGCATCCTAACTCTTGATAATTGTCAGCTTACCTAATATATTTCTTACCACCACAACAAGAATTAACATATATATATATATATATATACATACCACTACAAAAGTATATATATATAATAATACAACAAAAAAATGAGACGGTAATTCTTTTCATCAAAATAATCCAGATTTCTATCAGGGTTCAAATATTATTTCTCTCAGCTTTTCTTCAGCCAGATGGAAAATATCCTCCGTTCAGCTACAATTTATGCCAAAATAGAGATACACAAAGTGCATTAAACCCACGCCAATCTGTATAAACCACTGTTTGTTAGACCTAAATACGCACAAACACCGACTAGTTGGAACTATCCTAAATCTGTCCTGTAATTTAATTTGAAGGAAATCAATTGCCTCGCATATTGATCTATTTTTACTCCACAAGATGGAAAATAGAGAACTTCTTACGCTCGCCTCTTGACAGTTATTAATTCACGGTTGAACTGTGACTAATGGTAGTCTTAATGAACGTGATTGGCCCAAATGTAAATTCGCAACCCTTTCAAGTTATTCGGAATAAATGTATATATATATAAATATATATAGTTTAAACGTAAAACTTTTAAGTATAAAGAACTGGAGTCGGGAAAGATTTTGTCAACTTTTTTTCGGATTCACCTGCTGATAAAACGGAAATGTATTCGACAGGTGTCAATAATTTCTCAACCACATCCTAAAATAGCAAATATTTATTGGCTGTGAACGGTATCACGAGAAAGCAAGTATTTAACATTAAATTGTTTGATTACTAATAAATAAGTACAGGTGGGAACTATTACAAAACTACTGATAGTTTTAGTAAAGCTAGATGACCATTCCAATATATGCATATAAAGAAAAACCAGACATTTTATCATTTATGTGTGTGTGGATGTCGTTGTCGTTCTTCCGACTGGAAATTATAACTTTATGTGCTTTGTGAGGCATAAAACCCAGCTATTGCTTGTAATACAAACTTTTTTACACATTTCATTCGTTTTCTTTTGCTGTGGTAATGAGGCTTTTATCGTTGACGCAACAGTGAGCTACGTTGAACAGAATTAAATTCATAAGGTAAGACATTATAAAGGCTGTATCGGTCACGGACTGAATATTTTACGCAACAAAAATCATTTGAAAAGTCGATTCTTCTAACTATTATTATCAAAATTAAATGCCAAAAAGCGGGAAAAAGTAAAAAAAAAAAAATTTAAATTTCCGAATAAACCAACTTTTGTTTTCCCACTTACGATAATTTATTGGGTATCGTAACAAAGTGCATTAACACAACTTATTTAGTATCTGACATTGATTGGATCTATGCGAAACGCGTGAATCGCCACCATGTTCAAAATTACTCCCCATTAACTTGACCAATCGTTTTTAAGAATTATACTGAATTGCGGGAGCTCCAGAAGTATGTTTACCAATATGGGGGTAACTAAGTTTGTCCGAATACTTTACACCGAGTTGTGTAAAGGGACTGAAACCTTAGCTAACACAGACAATCCCCGAGCTCGTAATAGAACTAAAATAAGAAGAATCGGAATAAAGTTATGGCTTAACACTAACCTGATACATATACTACGGGAGTACCGAATTGTGTGTAACACGCTACATTCATAAGTAGACAATATTACCTCAAAGATTTATTTCACTTTCGCCCTGAAAGTGCAGAACCGATAGTGTGGCATTGGCTGGAGTAAACGCTTTGTTGGACGGCTTTTTAAAAAGGAGTGCGTTTGGTTATTACGGCTTTACCTAATTCTCAATTTTCCGACGTAACTGGAAATGAAGGTATAAATTTAGTGGAAGGCTAGCATTGCAACCGTGCAGTAATTTCGCAACAATATGGGCCGCGAGTCAAAAATGCAAATTCCATCTTCATAACAACACGTGCAAAACGCAGAAAATCGTTTGAAGATCTCCCTCGAAAATTAAACACCTTGCTGGCGGCGAGAAGTTTCCATTAATCTGAAATTAGTTGAACAGTATTCGAATAGTTTCGGACAACCCTGGGCACTATATAGTGCCTGTTCGTATACACAGAACAAATCGCACACCACAAAATAAAAAATATTTTCCCGATGCAATCCTTTATTTATTATGCAATGTCCTTTATTTATTGATATTATCAACCCCCGCCGAAAATAGGGTACAGTAGACGAAGGAAATGTCCGCATCATGCTTTCAATCACAAGGACATAGAAAACGATCTTCTACGATTTTAGGCCAGATTGCCGGTTTCGGACCGTGTATCCGTCGGTAATATACACCCAGTCAAACGTGCTAAAACCTTCTTCGAATGTGGCCATAGCAAATTAAACTATATTTTTTGAAGACCTCTCGCAAGGTGCCGTCCCTATCGGCGCTGACGTCTAGTCTAACGCTATTAATCCACCATTACAGTTCATAGCTATACTTCACAGAAAAGCCTCTTACAAAAAATTCTATTCAACACCTCTTTAGAAGGTTCGAAACAAGGCCTCAATGTTTGATTATCCCAGAGAGCAAAAACTAAGCATCAGTAAATCCATCAGTATTCTGGATTCCCACTTCAACGAAAAAACAAGAAAAACTATTCAGATTCTCCCCGAGACGAGACTTCGAGAAATACTTGTAAAAAGAGTACAGAAAGGCATTACAAATTTGACTCTTTATATCCGTCGTTAGTGAAGCCATTTAGTATATAGCTAAGCATAATATTTCCAGATTTTTACACAAACTGCTTACGCTCAACTCCAGGCAGTCAAGAGGTTCAATACCGCTTTTTATAACAGGAATGGCTCTGCACTTCAATAGTGATGTCTGCGGATTCAAACAAAAAGAAGAATTTATAAAATCCACTTGAAATTTTATCGATAATTTGAATCAATAATCAGAATTTATATTTACTGAATTTTACATTATGGAGTAGTTACTTAAACCAGCGATTTTCCAGCCAGATGACTGTTTTTCCACTTTTTACAATATATATATCAGATAATTTTGATGAATACACTGTTATTTATTTATATTGGAATGATTCCTAACGCCGTCCTCTTTTAGTCTTTGTGTTTCCGCTATCAGATTTGGTTGTTGATCCTTTGACGATCCGTTCCGGTGTTACCGATCCAGAAGGTGGATTACTGTACTGGGGTTGTGGGGTAGAAGATTTTGATCTCGATCCACTACTTCCTCCGCTAATTGACCCGTTACTACTGCTCATTCCGTTGGGTGAATTCGCTACCATGGTGGATGAAAACTGTTTTGAACCTGATGGTAGATACACAAACACTGATTGAAAGCATTAAAATGGTGATATGTCTCATTTGCCAAGAGATAGCCTCTAAAGATCTCAGTTGCAAATTCCGAGCCAACCAAGCACCTTGGGGTGCAATTAATTTGGTTAGGCATATGCTGAACTGTGAATTGTGAATATCCTGGTCGTTTCAAAACTAAGGTAGTTTCTTACTGAATATCCACAGCTACAAGCTAGGATCTTCGTTCAAGGGTATGGTTGCCTAGTAGCATTGTGTTAGACATTACCATGAATATGATGTAATCAAACGTAAAAATTCTAAACCCAATGCTCAATACCTTACCCACGGTATAATAAATTGGTAGGCCATGCCAAACAGAAAATACTTGACGCACCGAGCGTTTTAAGAGCCCAGACTGAATAACTGAATCTCAGCAGTCTGCAAAGGATATAATTCAATTACATAGTTTTGTAGAATAGAAGTCCTACCAAAATCATGCGATCAACCTATCCATTACCTTAGATCAAATATATAAATAGGCCAATATAGGATAAAACAATTGGCCATCTGCAAATGTGGTGAGGTATTTACTATTCACACTATGTATACGCCTAGTAAATTAAACAGCAAATACCTGGAGCACCCAATGGCTGTTGAGGCCTGAAATGTGTTTGTAAATTTCCAATTGCAGAAGAATTCATATGGGGTGTTAATGAATTATGCTGTAGAATCTGTGAAACAGTGGCAAATGGTGATTAAAAAAAGCAGTCTTCAGCCCAGTCGTACAGATAGTACAAGCATATATAAATTAATATCTCTGACAATACCGTTGTGCAAAAATTCTTAGGTTTCAATAAGTTTGCACAAATGTTTATGCTTGATTTGATTAATGCAATGGTTCCAAACTTTTTTCAAAATATTCCCAATAGGGCCTCTATATTTCTCCCCCTTTATGCATGAAAACTCTGTTTAGATTAATTCTTCAATTTTTATTGGATCCTTAAATATAGTTCTGCAACTTAGTCACAACGCACACCCTGCCTTTTGTGCCGTTTGAGTAGTTTATAATGTGTCCATAAATATGCATTATGAAGATATTAAATAACTAAACAATACCAGTAAAACTACACCATATACAAGGTTATATTTTTGTATTTCTTCCGCGAACACAACAAAAATCCTTTCAGGGTTGGGAACTGGATGAAATTATTCCGAAATAGTAAATATTCTGAATTGCCTATATAAAGCCTTTAAATATTTTGTAAAGCCATTTCTCAACTTCAAAACTTCTAGAAAACACTTTCTGTGAGCTGGTGCTAAAATCTACAAGGGTATTAGGATTTACCAACCTCCATGGCTAAAGGTAATCCACCTTCCATGTGAATATTAATATAAACCGCTAATAAGATAGCATTAGGCGGTACTTCCTGAGGAGATATGAGTGAAGCAAATTGGTTGAGAAGTTTTTGTGCCTTCTCAAATTCACTTCTCAAGGTATGAGCAACTGCCAAATTGAGCAGCATACATCCTTGCGCATGTTGAGGTGACCTGAAATTTATACACAAATTCATAAACAATTTTTTTACAATTTTTACCAGAAATTGAACACCCATGCAAAGTTTTAAAACCACAACCACGCAGGAATGGCCAGAACTGAATAATTTAGGTTTTTTAATAGGCTTCATTCTGAAATAATCTTTTATATCAAATATATTATAGGTTTGTTGAACTAGAGAAATCCTTCAGGAATAGAATAGAATATTATTGTTAAATAAAACAATACTGAATATGATTCAGACCATCAATCTAAACCTGAGAAGTCAGATCCCCCAACGATCATAGACCACGATTCGCTACTATTTTGAGAATTGAATCGAAAGAATAAAATATTAGGAAAAAGCATACTTGAAACAAATTTGTGTTGTTTTTGGTCCAGTTGGTCTGTGAATAACTTGATTTGACAAATCATCTGAGTGAGACTGGGATCTCGTTCCACTATCCCCTGCGAACAATTGATAAATATGAATTATACCAAACTGACCCCTATCTATTTCATTTTCAAGCATGATGTGATCAAAGGAGTTAATCAAACTTAACGATTCAAATGACTAATACATGTTGGTTTATGAAGTAAAGAGAAAACAAGGTATTGAAATGAACCCATGTAAACAAATTTGTGGTGGCTTCTAATATATATTTTAATGTGACGTCGATAATCGATATATGATAAATCCATAACAGCTGACAAATTATAATTTTTATATATAAATGTAATTATTGAATTGCTCCCGTTACTCTATCCCTGGTTAAAAAAAAAATGAAAATATTGAATTCTTTATCCATTGCCTTTGCTGACATGAATACAGTCTGTAACTATTAAAATTATAAGATATATAAACAGCCTATGAAACCAACGTTCATGGTTAACATATTTAAAAAGAAGTGAAATAAAATACCTGATCCATCACTTATATCGGAAACAGAATCCCCAGAAAGATGTTGAATGGCGTCAGAAATCCTATCTAAAGATACCAAAGCTTCTGCAGAATACATTCTTCCAAGATATTTATGCCTTCCAGAAATATTAGGAAGTCGCAGAAGAAGTTTGGAATACTCGTATGCCATCAAGTTGTTGCCAAGACTGAGTGCAATAAAAGCACCGTTTGCAAGTATCGAAGCATGAAAGTTCGATAATTCTTGGCCAGATAATGGATTTCCAGGTAAACAAGGTATTGATAAGACAGGCTTTTTGTTTATCTGTAACCGAAATAGTAAAATTATAGAAACTTGGAAAAATTTGAAATAATTATAGTCAGGTCTGGGAATCCAGAGTTAGAGCGGTGATGTTGTTGGACTGAAACCGGAGCCAAGCTTACGATATTAGCTGGAGCTACCTAATACTTCATACAAATAATAAAAACCATCCTTTTTTTCTATGTAATATTAATTATAATTTTTTTTTAGTTAAATTTGTATATCAAAAAGTTCGAAGTTTAATTTAAAAATTTAAACCCTTATATCATGTTTTGAGTCCCGAATCTGCAAAACTGCATTTGGGCCGACCCTTTATACCAGGGGTCGGCAACCTACGGCCCGCGGAGCACTATAATCCGGCCCGCGACGCTTCACTGAATTATAGTAACAAACTATAGCTGTTTTGTCAATTATATTCTTTACGCAAAAGAATTTACGTGTAGACTAAATTTTATTATAACATAACAAGTATATAATTCACAATTACTCCTTTAATGAGCCTATAATTTAATCATAATTTAGACAAATGGCAACAAAACGCAGAAAAGTTGATGCTAAGTGCAAATGGTTTAATGGCGCAAAAAATAATCAAATGGACAGTCTTCGCGCGCTGCTTAAAATTTAACTTCTGATCTGTGTGATTAAATGTGATTCATAGGTCATCCATCCGATTTTAACTTTCTAAAAATGTGCGTCCCACCAATGACTTGCAACCTTTAATTTTGGCCCGCGAGCGACAAAAGGTTGCCGACCCCTGCTTTATACCAAAAAACCTCAAATGACTTGGAGCCCAAAGGTAAAAAAGAAATGTAGCCAGTATAGGTGTCGCTAGTAGAGGCATCGTGAAATTCAGAGTCAAAGTTTATTTATTACTTACATCTGACTTGGAATTCTTTCTACCTTCTTTAATTTCCTCACCAGTAATGCCAGCTTCAGCTAATATAGTTAAAGCATTTTGCAAGCACACAGAAGCAAATTCTAAAGTTGGTCCAGGCATGACTGAGTTTCCTGCTCCTGTAAATATTTCACAGGAATTTGTTTATTATTCCTTAATGGTAAATAAGCACAAATAGAGAAAGTGTGGCAAGATGGACGTGCAGTTGAAGTCTAAGATCTAACTGTGTTGGCATCGCAGATCACACATCTAAGGTTCAAATTTCTAAGGAATACACCATTGCACCTCTGATTACCCTGCGCGTGTTTGCAGGTTCGAATTCTGTGGGGAATGATTATGTACGAGTGGATTGCTGCCTGCTGGACTCCTCGATATCATAGGGTGATTCATGTAACCACTGGTCGGGTAAGGCTTCCTACCACCAAGTCGATGCATCTGAAACAGCTGGTTAAATATTCACATACCAGAGCTGGTAACCAGACGAGAGGCCGTGAGGTGTCATTTATGAATGAGGCGTTTTATGACTTTTCTTCCCCTCTGGATAAATATGATTTTCCTAACCTTTCTATTCAAACTGATGCAATGCTGATAGACAGCTTTTCACACAAATTTTGCTAGTATATAACAAAAACATTACAATTGACTTACCATTCCAATTTTGAGTAATGGGGTGTAAAATTAATTTTTGATGAATCCCTGATCCAATAACAGTATATCTGAGAGGCCCAGATAGATGTTTCTGTGAGTTGTGAGCTGTGGGTAACAATAAAATTGAATTGGCACAATTGGATGCTGGTAGATGGAAATGTATTACGCAATACAATTAAGATATACCAGATTATTGTCGATTTAATTTATTTCAACAAATTTAAAGATCAGATAATTAATATCTTGTTTTTTATGTTAAAACTTTAGACCTAGAAACTTAATTTTACTGCAGAATAGTTTTTAAAAAATATTTGGATTAATTTCAAAATAAAATTCCAGAATGCCGAATTATTAAGCATTGATATCTTTTGATTAAGCATACTACAGACTCACTCGCTTGAACATTTATCTTTAATAACAAAATAGTATAACCAAAACCATCATACTGACCGTCAGATATATCAGGGGAGCAACACCACTGAATACAACATTCAGCAAGTCTCAACCACAATCTAGGATTGGAAGAAAATACGGGCACAGCAGCAATAAGACAATCAAATCCGGCTGATGGTTTACCAGAGAATAACAATTGAATTCCCATGTTGTATAGCAATTCAAACCTGTGTGAATGAAAAAAGGTTATTTTGAAAGTGTAAATTATCAAAGATTTCGTTTCCCTTTCATAGCTTCTTGTGGAGAGTCTTGTTCAGAGTGACAAGCCAATAAATATGTTGTGAAAAAATAAATCTTATGCCAGTTCAAGGTTATCCTAAAATACTTTACTAGAGTCTACAAACTATATGAAATCCTATTAGAATTGTGTGGAACCTTTTCTTCATAGATCACTGCTAAAATATTCAAGATTACTATTATTCAATAAAATTATTTACTATTATTATTTCATGTTAAATAATTAGGTATTTTCATCAGCTTTACAATGAAATTAGCGTTTACGTCAAGGTTTAAAAGGTATTATTCGTTTTTAAATATTATAAATTTTCATAAAAATCAAATCACTCAAAATCAAAAGATTCAGTGAATTCAAAGAATATGGAACTCTTTGGATATTGACAATCCTGGTAACTATTCTCGTATAATTTTTAGAAGACCAAGTTACTAACAACTGGAAAGCAGGATACAAACTTTTTATTCATGTTCAGCATTTGTATTGTCTTTGTATTACTTGACTGTTGTTGTTTGCTATCTCCCTTCTTACTCGATGTAGTATTAGTACTAATAGCTTTATCATTCTCCTCGATAGCTTTACTCAAATAAAATGTTCCAAGGCTATGCTTGGATGTATAGAAATGTATGACACCTGAAACAAAAATTGTATTATTAGTTGAAAAATGTATAGTAAGACAAGCCTTTTTATACAAGTTGGACTTCTACGACTAATCAAAATTTTTTTTATTCATAACTCACCAAATGATCATCAATTTGAAATGCCAAAACCAATTTTTTTTAAAAAGACCGTAAAATAGAATTACAGCTACAGGGTGTTCATATATTCCTAATTGCAAAGAGAATATATCGCTGCCATAAGTTCATACATTTGTTGGTTCCTACTACTGTGTTACATGAAGTAAAAAATTTGAATAAACACTGATTAAAAATTAAAAAAAACCTGGTTGAGATATATCGAGAACTGACTTCATAACATAGGTAAATTTGTTGAAAAATTGAACTCCATGGACACTCTGTACTATTTGATTTTTATATTTGAGTCAAGATTTATGTATAATCAGTCTCAACTGCTACACAATGTCATGGAATAAAATACAAACCTAAATTGTTGTAAAACATGGTAGATAAAGATTCTCCATTTTGAAGCCAAGAAGTGTTGACAGATGATGACGGAGGTGAACTACCCAACAATTTATATGCTTTATGAAAATTACCACGCTAAAATAAATACAAGTTTATTTTATTGTTCAATGTTTTATATCAGAACTGAAAAAATGCTAAAACAGGAATTTAAATTGGAATGAATTTGTAAGTTGAAGGATATCATAAAGTTCTCCAAAATTCTTATTTTTCCATAGCACAGAGCTGGAGTCTAAATTTTTTCAACTTAAAAGTCAGATTCTCTTTTTATATGACTCAGAAGTTTGGAGCTTGATGTAAATGTCCCGATTAATCTGGTTACAGGTTACTACTCAGGTCACAATTCAAAACATTACCAATGCTACCATTACCAATCAGTACATACATACAAGTGATACACAAAAGTGTATCAACCAACCTGGAATTCAAAATTGCTCTTTAAAAATACAGATATAAATTGTATAGTTTGTGCAGGGAAATCTGGACTGCTCTCCAGATTTGTTGTAAATGCCTTCAATTCCCTTTTACAAGCCTGTAATATATAAAGGTTAGATTAATTATATTTGATTGCTTCTTACTATAATGGTATGTTTTCTCTCATTACTATATTAAACAGTCAAGTTCTCAATAAATATGACAAAAAAGATTGGATATAAGATGTCATAGCCAAATTTTCAAGTCTTCACAATATTGCATTTCGATACTTGAATCTTATAAAATTTACACTATCCATGACTAGCAAAATCCTTGATATGATATTCTTTTTGCAAAATGTTGTGGAGAATTGTTTGAATTTAATCTAGTAAATTATCTACCGGTAGGTATTTTGGATGATAAAAAAATAAAAACCTTCATAGATTTCAGCTGTAAGCAACAACGTGTTTTCAGCAATGGCAACAAATTTTTCATCTCCTTTATGTTTATCTTCTGTGGTTTTGCTAAAACAAGAAATCACTAGCTGAGAACAAAATTCTGAAGAGATATTGTTATAGAGTAGAATTGTTTGGAAAATACTTCACAATAGAGGTAGATACGAGAGAAAACATTGACAAATGTTTATTTCTTGATTTTTAATCCGAAAAATGTTTCATGCAGAACTAACTATTCAGTTGCATTGAGTCTCTTTAGATGAAAGAATTGAATTTCTGGAAATAGTTTCTGTTTACATTTCGGACTGAGAACAACCCATAGCATACCTTTATCTTTTCCATCATTTGTGTTTCCATGTTTTGATTGTTGAGGTGAAACAGGTTTAAGAAAAGTTTCTTCAATTTTGTTGATGAGTCGAACTGAAAAAACAGAATTAACTTTAGAACATGATTGTGGACTTGACTGGAGATTGTGAGCAGGGTTATCAAAATATGAAAACGAATATATCACTGTTAACATAATACTACGCTACATTGGAACTATTTATTTTTCCGGGAACCATATTTAAATTTGAGAATGTCATCGGGTCTAATGTCGTACATACGGAATGTAGTCTAAAGGTACTTATTTATATTTCCACAGTTACCATTTCACAAATTAATCCCACAAATTACCATTTGCCAAAAAAAAAAGAAGAGAAAAGATGTGATGAGAAATCTCTCTCTGTTCGATATGAATATTTATCTCGGTGAAGCTAAACGCTATATATCCAGACATATGACCAAACATCTGTTCAGTGAGAGCGTATTAAAGGCCACATGCAACAAGACAAATACATGCCATATGAGACCGAGACCAGACCTAGGTGGCCTTACGGAAAACCGGAGTATATTGCCCAACCTTTAATAAACAAACCTGCTTTTTCTGGTTCATAATTAGTGAGATAGACTTCTACCAGTAACAAACATATTTCCCTGACATTGATCGCAACCTCTGGATTTTCTGCGAGTGCTTGAAGCAATGTTTGAGCCTCCCTGAGAAAATATATGATATAAATTATTGCTTGAAAGTTCAATCTCCAGAAGAACAATTTAAAATTCATAATATTCAGGAAAATTGGTATTGTGAAGATTCATTGATTGATAACTACTTTCATATCTGAATATTTAAAATTGGATGAAGACACCAAAAACCATGGGATAAGTTGTCAGACTGACCTATCAAGTTTGACCATAACAGAAACACTTTATTAAACTAACTCAAACTATAAGTCATAATTTACTATCTATTCAACTGAGTATTGGAAGTTTAAACATTTGACAACATCAGTACTTGCTTAATATTTTAGACAAAACTATTACCTGTATTGATGCAGGAAATAATAAAGTAAAGACTGATTGTAATGCAAAACAGAGTATTCATTTGAAGTTATTTCTTCAGTAATCTCATCGTCCTCCTGATGTGATTGTTGAGTCACTTTGTGAACCTGGATAAGAAGTAGGGACATGGTCAAATAAATGATATACTTTGAAATGCTTTAAAACGAACTAAGAATTAACGCTGTACCTTAGATAATGCCTTTTTTAAATCGGCTGTTTTCGTTAGGCCTGATTTGTAATACTCCGCTAAAGCACGATTATGCATAAGCTTGCAATCTCCGGGATGATTTTTCTGAATTTTTTTCAAACCAGAGATGCAGGAATCGTACTTATCTCTGAGAAAAGCATCATATGCATCACTCGCACATCGCTGCTCTTCTTCAGTGAAATTGTTTGAGGAAAGCAAATCTTCTTTTTCTGCCATAATTTTTTTTATATGTACGTAGTATTTACTAGGAAATTAAGATTTACCTAAATGTTCAAATAAAGAAGTTATAACAGCAGAACAGTAAAATACATGTTATGCTAGGCGGTTAAGGTAGAGAGTAGAAATATGAAAAAATCTAATAATGTCATTGTGATTTTAATCACCAATTATTCAAAATTTCCTAATTGCAGAAAATATATCGTGGTGGTCTGGTGGACATGTTATGAGATCTTCATCCACATACTTATATAATTCATGATTATCCACCTCAACGTGCTAGAGCTTATTTTATTAAAATTAAATTATCAGATTATTATCAATATATAGATATTATAGCCTAAATTAACTCATAATCTGACTATCTTCTTTATAGTGATACCAGTATACTGTCCAACTGTATAATAAGTAATGTCGAAAGAGTGGAAATGATTTATTTATAATGTTCAATATGTCTTTCTGCATCTGCAAATTTATGTTTATATTCAGTTTCAACTTTTTTGAGAGCTGAATTTAAGGCTTCTTTGAAATTGTTCAGAAGAGCACTTCCTCCAGTGGTTAATTTTTTTTCAGTAACTTTGAGCTCAGAAACAGCCTTAAGCTGGCCTTCATATTGCTTCATATCACTTAAAAATTTCTTAAGATGATCGCCACTTTGATCTTGCTTCAATAAATACCATGAATTCAAGATAGCAGCAACTGGATCACACACAGTTTTTAACATGTTTCTTTCAGAGTTATGAAATGCTTCAATAATGCATTCACTCAGATCATTTAAATAATCCAGCTGTATTTTGTAAATCGCTTTGTGAAAAGAAATTTGTAGTTCTGCTGCATTTAGTTTCAAATCATTCATATGATTCAAGTAATTATGCATTTTGCAGACAGAACTAACAGAAGACTGAATCTGACGATTTTTTTGTGCAACTGGTGGAAATGTTTGCATAATTTTTTCAGGTGTCATTTCAGTCTGTTTGGATCTTTTTATTACATGCCAAGGTGCATTAGGATACAACAGTGATAGAGATACCAGCTCACTGCAGCAATGTGCTAAATCTTCAATACACTGATTAGTTTCTTCATGTATTTTGGATACAACGGGCTTAGTTAATTTTGCACTAGGAGCATTTGTTAAAACTTCTCGTTTGTCAGCTTTTCCATCAACGATTGATGAATGCAAAAAATATTTCAAGCCACAGAGCCGGCCATACAGTGCTGATAGATCTTGTTCAAGATGGGCAACTTGTTTCAAATTAATATGTCCTATGTGTCCTGTACATACATCATAGCAGTCAACAGGCTTTTGTGAATTTGCGTATTTACTACCCGACATCATAGATTGTATCCGAAGACTATCAGCACTTTCTAAAGAAGATTGTTTATACAAGGAATTTTTCAGCTTCTGTAATGTTCCCACTAAATCCATAAGTTCCCGACGATCCATAGGTACAGTTGGTCCAGAAGTTTTCCCAGATATTGCATGTTGTAAAATGTCTGTAATCTTTTTCAACTGACTTTCTATTTCCGTTAATACCTGTGCGCGACTTGATTGTGCTTGTGAAAAAAGCATGCATTGTCTTTCAAGCTGGTAGATTTGGGCCTTGAGCATGAAAGCTCTACGATTATCACGGCTTTCTAGATCCTTCTCTTCATTTAGATTATTAAACAAATCTCTGCAAGTTTTTATTTCTTCTTCTAGTTGGTTGTTTTTCTCTTGCAATTGATCAATGATACTTTGTGCCATTATGCTTTTGATTACACAGTCCACTTCAAACAACGTGTATCTCTATGGGTTCCAAGACACTTTACACAACAATATCTTGCACCACAAGACACACATGTATAGTTGGACAAAGATCCACAAACTGCACAAAAGTGTCTTTGAGGAAACCTGGAATTTTATTGATTGCATTAATTGACAGAACGAGAGAATCTTGTCATACACTCAATTGCCAAAATATTCGTTATTATTTCACTTTAGATACACCGTACATCACATCACTATAATGTTGATGATATTCCTTTACACAAAGGTAACAAACAAGTTATGTGAGAATTGGCACTAATTGTATTTGACCACCCAGTAATTGACCTATTCTTCACAAAAAGCATTGTTGAATATTTTTAACACTGTTATAAGATGTTTATGTGAGGCCAAATCCTATCAACAAAATTCTGGTATTTAACAATGGGATCAAAGACTAAAGAATCTCTCATAATAATATTCTTACTTGGAAAGTGGTGCTACTGCACCAAAATAGTTTGGTCTCGTTTTGTCCTTGTCCTGCAGACGAATGCGCTCTTCATCAAGCAAAGCGGATATATTTTTTCTGAATCTTTGTTTATAAAAATCACCTCGAGTCTTCTTTTTCTTTTTGACTGCCTGAAACATTTAAACAAAAATTCTCATTTGTAGTTAAAGCTGTCATCAATACTATAGCAACTTGTGTACTCGTTACATTTAACCCATTATTTTAATCTTGTGCATTTCCAAGGTGTTTTGTGTGTGATAAAATTAATACTTATTGACATTCATGAACAGTTGTTGATGAATGTATCCAAAGCCCATCATAATAGAGAATATCATGAACTATCTCAATTTATTAACTATTTCACAATCGTAACTAATTTGAGAATTATGATCTTTATAATCTTTATGTTACGATGTTCAATTCCGTTTTAAACTTTTTGATTTGTGATAAACTTTGAGCTTTCGAAGAAAAACCAATTGGCACAAATAAAGATTCATGCCTTTAATGTACTTCATAGTAACATAGTGTAAAAAAAATCCTTTTCTGCTTGCAACAAACTGAAAAATATACTCACTGGTCCTTCTGTATCTTCGTTATCTTCATCAGATTCAATTCCAAATCTTGGACCCTTTTTCTTCGTACTGGACAAGTTTGTATGAGGATCCTCCTGTATATGTAAATGACATGATAAGAAAGTGCAACTTGGGCAATAAATTGGATAACGCAGAACTTGAAAATTCTATTCTTACTGGAACCATAAAAACAGTTTCTCTATGCTCAGATGCTCGTCAAGAGCGAAAAAGTCGCCTGAAACAAGGAAACAGTCAAAACTGCGCTGTTGGTGGGTGTGATAGACTGGTATTCAGAGTATTGTGATATTAGCGTAAAGTATAGTGAGCGTAGCATAACGAATTTTGCATATGTTATTCCTAACCTCCACCTGACTATGCCATCCCAAAATTATGTCGCTATGACCTCACCATCACGTCATAAAGCTTGTCAAAATACAAGTACGCCCGAAATGACATCAGCGCCACCGATAACGAACTCGCTAATGTCGGCGATCTCTCTCATATCGTGATTGTTGCAACTAAACAACGAGAGAAATAGCTTGCTCAATTTCGGATGATCGTCTGCGCATTTGGACGACCATCCGCATACTTTGGTGTGGCTTATTACGCCACTGGGCGGTCGCAATGACGTAATTTTTCGGTGACGTAGTCAGGAATGACATATGCAAAAATTGTTGAGCCAGGCCAACTAAAAGTGCACGTGGTACCATACCCTACTAAACTGAGTTATTGTCATATACCGGTACAGATCGAGGGGCACAGATCAATGACACAAGACAAAACAGTTGTAAATAACAGAAATATGTCTGATTACCGGTACCAATCAGCCAGATGATTTACTATTACCGGTACTTAATTAGAATTTACTTCAGTGACGTATCACAACTAACTTATGATAGTACCGGTACGGTACCGCAGTAGTTTACACGGTACCGGTACCTACCAGTCTGGCGGTAATAAAATCACCTGGTAATTATCTTTCTCCAACGACTCAAGCTGTCGATTCAAACGTCGAATTCGCGCAGCGTTGTCAAGGATTCTTCTAGAATTACTTTCTTGAATACGACTCGATTCACGACGCAACCCACCTTCAAGTCCAGGCGCCATAGTTCCAGAGCCCCACGGTCGACAATTAGGAAATAACGAACTCCCGGGGGTCGAGTCGGAGTCGGAATTTCTGACTGTGAAAAGCCTGAAGCCGGAGTCGAATTTTTTTATACGTTTATTTCGACCACGCTTGTCTTCATATAAAAATTCCACTCTGCCCTTATACAATATCATTTAATCCCAAGCAAAAGTAAGAGACAAATGAACGCGCAAAATATTCAAGTGGGATTAGGCGTTTATCAGATATAAAAATCGCATACGGGTTTACATGAAGAAAAAATAATGAAAATGACAAACTATTATAAAAGAATAAATTGAGGTTCGTTCCTAGTATTTCATGAAAGAGCTATTTATGCCTTAATTGAATGATAGAATATTTAGTTTTCAACCCGTAGCAAAAAGAGAGAATGATCTATTGTTTCGTCAACCGAAAAACAAGAATATCCCAGTCCGTAAATATATACCTAGTCTATTCAAAAGAATATGCGAAATTATTGTCAACCTCGAGTTGTGCGGTACTTTCTTCACGCCACGTGTAGCTACCATTTTGGGCCAACCATAGACTAAACACAGAAATGTTTTATTTTCATTATAGAATAATAGTGTATATGAAATTATTGTTACTTAAAAAGATGTTAGATTGGTCCCATAGAAATGTTCCCATGACTCGAAATGGAAGATGGAAATTTTGAGATGTATTATCGATATTAAGTACTACAATCGAACATAACTCAGAACTGCATCCGTTAAAAAGTCTCTGATATACCTAAGTTTAAGTATTAACTGTATTATACAATGTAATGTTTGATTCCCCATCAGGTAAGTACAATTCGTAGATAATACCAAAGTTTATTTTTTTGTGAATTTTATTAATAAAAAACAAATAAATAATAAAATACGCCCATTCATTTTCCATCTCCAATATCTGAAAAATATAAAGGGATTATTTTTTAATACAATAAGGATAGGGACTTATAGGTAATTGGTGACCTCGGTCAAATCTTTGAAATCAAATCCATTGAATTAATGTAAATCTTAGGTGAACATACCTGACTGCTTCACAACAGGATCTTTCATGAGAATGTTCATGGCCACGTAAATTGCTGTGAGCAGAAAAAGAAATGTCAGTGAGTGTGAGGCCTTACTTAAGGCAAAATCATTCCCGTTAAAAAAAAAATTTACTAATAATTAATTGAAATTGGGTTTGAACTTCTAGTACCATAGATCTGTTGGCAAATCAATTGTTTCGAGAAGAAATACCAAGGCTGCTAACCTTACTATTTAGGTCGGGGATGGGGAAAATATGGCCGACGGGTCGCATGTGGCACGCTAAAGTATTCTGTGTGGCTCATGCTTTAGGAGAACGTTCTTTCTCACAACTACACATCTTCGATTTATTTTTAAACTTTATTCAAAATATCTTAAATATGAACTGTTACAAAAATATTAATTTTTTTTCAGCTTTAGTTCAACAGTCTCATCCACTAAATTTGACCCTCTGCAAAAAAAAAATTCTGAATGCGGCCCTTGGCAAAAATAAATTTGTTCAAACGTGATACTTAGAATCCTGAAATATCATATCTAACATGCAATACAATCACCTTCGTCCACAATGACTTTAGCTTTTTGTTGTAATAACACTTCTAAAAAAAGTAAAAGCATTAATTGACCTTTTCGTCACTTCATACGCAAGACAATTTTAAATTATTTAACGTTATAAAATAAATATATATTCATTTCAGATGTTTTTGATTGTATTAAAATATTTACCTTTTCCGTCTCCATCAGCGGTCCGAATTAAATCTTCTTTGGCCTTGTATAAAGCTACGAATGCAAAAGTAATTGTAAAAAATAGTTGTCCCAATTTCTGGCACACTAAATCATTGAACAGGAAATAGACCTAAGAATCGTTTTGCAAAATTGATTTTGGGCTAATGAAAAAGTCGCTATTTTAAGCCTTTTATTCGCGGCTCGATGTTTCACCTCAACTTGTGCTGGTTTTTATAATTCCGAACACTTTTTAATGTTGCATTCGGTACAACCCTTTAAATTCTGCTGACGTAGAGAGAGTGATTAATATGATCAGTGTTCTAAATCACACTTCTATGGTATTTTCCTAACATTATGATGGCCTATTAATCATTAGACCTTACGTATCTACCTATTCGATCATTAATGTTTTGTTATGTGAATATCGCAGATTATGCGTTGCCAACATATCTTTCGTTGCAAAATCTTGATCAGGGTCGCCAAGTGAGAAGCTAACATCCAACATTACAATATAATATATATATATAATGAAAAATAGAATGCGCAAATCAATTTAAAAACTTACCAGCTTGTACTAAATTCTGAGCTTCAAGGTCCACAAGAAAATCACCTGTAATTAATTTTAGAATGCATCAGAAAAATTTGTAACAATCTTGTCAAAATGGAGCGCATTGGAGTCAAAGACCAATTAACAAAATCGTAATTTACTAACATCGGTGGATGAGAATCTACTAAGATGAACTGCGTAAGTTTTCCGATTTACGATTATTTTTTATTTCGCTAAAAATATTATTATCAAACCTCCTCCCTGGAGCATTTTTGATACTGGGCCTGCTGGTGGCTTCGCAACTGATTCTAAAATGCAGTTAACACAGTTTCATTATTGGACACGTAGTGGATATAACGATCGTTTCAATATTATGTTGTTGTTGTTGTTCTTGTTCTTAAAAAGTCGCTTTTCTCTTCGAATACTGGACCAATTGCTTTGAAATTTTCAGTGGTTGAAGATAAAATTTTTCTCCAGAAGGCTATTACTTTTTATTTCGCTATGACGTCATCAAAATTATTGCCATTGGGTGGCGCTACGTGTCCATATATTTGAGCATAGCTCTCTTGTTTATAGACACTTGGTTCCATTATTTTCTATTAGAAAGTCCTTCGCATTTTTGTTACTGACCGTTATCACGAAGGTTAAAAACATATTTTTTTGAACAATCGAGTTCGAAATAATTGTTATAATACTGCATATTTTAGTTAAATATAAGCATAACTGTGAATAAATAGCAAAGTTGGAAATATGGGCAATATATTTTTTAATGTCATTTTTCGTAAGTATCATATTCCTTTATGGTTACCACGTGTAAAAGTGCCTGAATTAAACATAATAACATATATATACTTCCTATAATGTATTATCATTACCTATGCTGTGAACTGAATTTTTATCCTCAATGTTTGGATCCACCACAACAGTCTTCAACGTACCTGGTTATAAAATAAACGCTTTTGATTTTAATTGAAGGAAAGTAGAATAGCTTTTAGTGCGAAATGACTTTTCTTCATTCATTTATGTCATCTCTGAGTCTATACACCTATAGATTGGGCGTGAACATTGAGTTTTTAATTCCTACCCGACTCACTCCTCGTACTAACAACAAAAACCGACAACCATATCTGAGATCACCGTTGAAATAGGAATGTCCCGGTTTTAAAACAATTAGCCTATCATAACATCTTTACGGCACTTGTTTGAAATATTCTATTCTGGTATTTTAGGTTGTCATTATGTACGTAGCCCCATCACTACGCTCATTACAAAACATTTGTTTATACTTCACACTCACATTTTGCGATCTCATTTTCGACGTTTTCACGGAAATGTTCCCCAGTCAAGATCGCGCAATCTGTAATTGAATAAAATTAAAGAAGTAATGACGAAAAAATTGCATGGCACAAAAATCTTAAATTGTCAAAATCGCCATATACTTTCATATTACACACACACAAATGAAATGAAAATATTAAACTCTCATATTTATATGCGGCAACATAAATAAGTTTTGTGATATTGATTAACGACAATGTAACCTCCTAATTATTAGCAGTAATTCTCTCACCAACTGATTCATCTCCACGTCTTCTCGTTTTGGATTTCTGAATGAACATTATATATAGTTCATGAGAGGACATAAGTGTTACTATAGGGCAATTAACATAGCTATATGTTTAGTGTAGTTTTCTTTGTTTATAAATCAATAAAGTTCAATAGTATTCATATCTCGTAAAAACAAACTTACTTTCGGAAAAATGCATGTCAAACAAAAGAAGATCTTCACAAAGCTTTTGAAATTCTTCCATTTCTGTAATGAGGATAAATATAATATATTTGTGTACTCGCTGCATTTAACGTAGTTTAAATTTATGTATTTCCAATTTAATTAGACTAATTATAAGTATTTTGTATATTCGGTATTTACACCAGCTTGATGAGTATATCTGATGGAAATTTGCGCAATATAAAAAAGGTCTGAAAATTATGAATAAAATTGTTCCAACACAAAAAAATCAAATATACATAGGGCTTTGTTCGAAATTCATCAACTTTGATTTTCTAAAGCAGTATATTCAAACCAATGTTTGGGTCGCCTGACATATTATTTTGGCTCGCTTGTTTTTCCAACGAAAACCTAAAAGTTATTAGTTTTTATTTCTAGTGAATTTTTTTTGTAGGGCATATTTTGGTATTGAAGTGTCGCTCAAAAGTAATTGTATGTTGGGATTATCACAGCTTAAAACCTGGGAAGCATCTATTTTTTTCAAGTAGAGCCAGGCCACGGTTTCAACAAATCGTTTATGGCAAACAAAAAATAATGTTAAAATAAATAATAATGAGAAAATTAATGTTATGTAAAAATGATTATTTTTTTTATTAGTAGGCTAATTAAATTTTGCGACCATAAAAGCACTACATGTCGTTTAGTATTTGAGCATATCCCTGAGACGCGAGATTTATGAACTTACTTTTTTACAAAATTTGGTTCGCTTGAAAAACGTTGGGAACTAATGTTCTATAGTAGTAAACTTGATTGAGTGTAACGCCTATTTGCCATCTATCCCATTCGAAGTAACAATTTACCTTGCCGCCTCGTTTATTCTCTCCTCTTGTTTCGGAATTTTCTCCCATTTTTGATCAAGGTTTGACGTTTGATACGACTTCCTGAACAAAATAATGAATTTGAATTATGGTTCAAATTTAGGTTGAATTCAAATATGCATTATGACGTCACAGGCAAAACACTTCATTTGGAACCTGTCTGGATCAGCGAATCTTAACATATTCCCAGTTATGTTATGAATGTCGTTGATCTGAGTCACAAAACAATGGGATTTACGTATTTATCCCGGGGGAGAAGAAAGGCAAAAAGGCGGCGTAACCATATGGTGAACCACCACGGTCTCTCGTCCGGTTACCATTCCATGTCGGGTACGGGATTAGTTAGGATGGCGAGGAGTCCAGCAATCGTCTTCCACATAACTATCCCCGCATGGAATTCGAACCCACGCAGAGTAATCAGAGGTTCGGTGACAAGTACGATAAGGCACACCTGAAATCCCGGCGGGCAGGCACCAACTTAACCAATAGTACATAGTAGGCTATACGAGGTGACATATCAACATAAGTATTTATTTCAAACAATTTATACTGAACATTACCGGAAGTTTTTGCGTGCCCCCTCTGCCCGGTTGGCGAACCTATAATCACATTATTAACAAGTGAATGCCTCAGAATAGCCTCGAAGCACAATAAAAACGAATTCCGCTTGTAACTGAATATATATACTAATATAAAGAAGCATCTTTGTTCTGGGTTGAGCCGGAATATATGACAGCACGGAAAATAATAACCATCACTCAGTGATGACAGCGTCTATGGTCCTACTTACATTATCCGTAACTTTGCGCCAATGAAGATAACAACCATGGACATTCGGATCTACGTTCATCCCACTTTCGTAATTACGCGGATACTTTTATCCATTTCTTTTCACCTCTGTTACATTGGTACGCACCAACATTTGAACCATCGTAGCCATGCAACCAATGTTGATTTTATGGTTGTTCCATTCTTTTAGTGTTATATTAGCGCACCGGTTCTTGTTTTAGACATCTAGACGATCGCCGCGCAAGTTATATTTGATATTTTAATTCGTGGAAGGAGTGTCAATTTAAGACAGATATTTTTCGAAACCAAAGAAACTGTATTTACAGAGTTCATTATAAAACAGAACCTATAACTAAAATTTTAAAACCCACTAAAGCATGCAACTATTGATACCTAGTCATCAATGATGCAACCCTCCTCAGGGGTCGTTTGCACCCATATACTTCAAAGCCAGGAATATGTTTCAAAAAAATTTTCGGTAAATGTATGTATGCAATATTTTTGTCGTAATTGCCTTTTTACTTGGGTTAATAAAATTTCAATCAAGTGAAATGAAAAATATATTGCTTTTAGATATAATATACTTGTGCTGTTGCCTGTTGGGATGCAAAAACAAACAATTTGGCCTATGTCATAGTAACCAAACTTTTTTGACTATGGGCCAGGTATGAAACTGTGTTGAAACGGGCCGGACAAATATTTTTGTCAATGCAATACAATAAATCAATGACATTAAACAACATGATGGGCAACTCTGACGTCACTCCATAAGACTACAGGCGAAAGATTGTATTTCATGATACGCTCCAATGCACATATTTCTCGTCGCCTTTCGCGACCGTTTTCCGTTCGCTTTTGCTGCTCGGTGTCTTCTTTACGTGTAGTACCAGCCTTTTTGCGCCTGTAACGAAAGAAAATAATCTTTATATCTAAGAAGTTTTGCTCACTTGGAAAACTGGAATGGCAGACAAGCTGTAAAGAGCAATTCTGGACATCATAGACGTTTTTTTTTATCAGAGAAGATTACAAACGCGATAGCGGAAAGATTTGAGTGGAACATTTTGCAGATATGACAAAGTTCAAAGTTAGTAATTTTAATGTTTGCGCTTAAACATTGAAATTTCATTCAAAGAGGGTGTCATACAAAACTGTTTTTACTTCTCTTAACGGTGCTGTGATACAATTCCATAACACAAAGTTTGCCCTATCGAACTTGCTTTTGTAGGTGAATTTATTAGACATATTACATATTCAGTTAATCGTAGGTAACATTGCTGGTACATAATGCATCGTAGATAGGTTTGTTTAAATTTAGGAATTTAGCTCATAGCCCACTAATTAATATTATCTTCTATGCAGGATTGCAGGGCTGAATTCAACTTGCAGCCTTACCGATCACCTGACGATGCTCATTTAGTTTGGCTCGAGCAAGTCTTCTTGAAATGGTTGTGTGGATGGAAACTACCTATATGTTTTGCCTTCCTCCGATTTTAGACAAATTTATTCTGAGGGATTTCGATTATAATTCTCATTGATTGTTGGCTGTTTATAATTCCTATTAATTGTGAATTCTGATTATAACAAAGAGTTAAAAATTTTTTACCTAATTTACTGGCACCTTTTTCTTGTCATACTCCAAGCAGAGGTAATAAACAAGACAATACATTTATGTCATCTGGAAGCAAAATATGCACACTAATTAATAGTTTGACACATTGAGATAAACATCATGACAGAAAATACAAGTTAAAGATATGTATGACCATCACATGGTAATTAAAATTAAAAAAAATTAATAGGGGCTGTGGAGTATGAAAAGTTCAAGACAAAGAAAAGAACAAATTCATAGCTCATAAACTCTCAATTTTGCCTCCATTGCTTTGTGAAGCCAATATATTTCGAGTGGCTGAATTGGTTTACCTTTATGATAGCAACGATTTTGTATTTATATATTTCAATTTTATTGAAGTGATATTATTTCCCAAGCAATGCTTGAATCGTCTAGAATAGAGTGGTGTCAAACTCATGGGTTTTCGAGAGCCGCATTGCATTTTGAAATTGTAAAAAGGGCCGCAAACAGTTTTTGATAATGTATACTTGAAAGATATTTTTAAGATAGTTTTAGTTTGTGACATATATTGTGATGCAACTAAACAGTTGGATTAAGTTTTATTATTTTCTTCAATTTCAAATGCAATTACATATTAATATTTGCATTCCACTATTATTGCAACATTTGCAAGTTACTGTATTTATTATAAAAAATCATAAAATTCTATGTACAACCATCAAAATCATTTTTGAACAAGGATAAGGAAAGAATAATACATACACTAAAAATGACTTAATCTAAATATATGAACCTAATATTAACTAAAATACTACAGTATAAACTAATGTTTTTTAATTACATTTGTCCTGACGTTTGGCATCTTTTTTGTGTCACCAGCATACTAAGGCCAGACTGAAATGATTTATAGTACCAACTCTAACTAACGAGGTCACATGATCATGGGTTAATCTGGATCTTTGCGAATATTTAATTAATTCCAGTAATGCAAAAAAGTTACTTTTATCATTTCATATAGATCAGTAAAAAAACAAATGACAGATTTTTTCGACAAGACATTTCGCACCACATTGCGTGGCATAGGATTGCTTGAATTATTATTGATATTGATTTTTAGTAACTAAGTCGTTGTATAATTATATTAATATACAAACACATGGAAATTTTTGTTCGAAGTTGGTCTTCGAATTTGTCATATTGACTGCTGAGCTTATTGTGTTTTTTCATTGTATTGATGGAAATATGACAAATTAAACAATGTGCTTCAGAATTTTGTGAAATGCAGAAATATTGCAACTCCCATTTTCTTCGAAAATGCCACCTTCTTCATGTACTTGCGTTTCTTTTCTCAAGTGTTTTATTCAAGTATTCTTTTGCTAGCTTGATGTGTATTCTTAATTAGGTCAAAATGTGGACGAAAAAAATTAATATTCCAAAACTACTTTCAGTAAATTGTTTTCTGTGTGAATAATCAATTTCACTTTAAAAGGTTTGAAAAATCTATTACATTTAGATAAAAAAAAAACTTCCAAAATACTATTACAATTATTGTTAAGCGTTCGATGGCCGCACTGGAAGTTCTCTGGGGCCGCGAGTTTGACATCCCTGGTCTAGAATGAAGTTGTCCAAAATATATATAGCAGTATTTTATCATGAATGATGATTATACCCTTCCGGAATTTCTTCTATAGTACTACCAAAAGTTGATGAACCAAATATAATACAGGTGCAGTGAGTTACCCGTAATCCTCATTTTCCAAAGCTGTTTTAAGTATGTCTTGCGTGTTTTGTGCATTTTTACAAATAAGACCGCTTATGCAATCTTACGCTTTGGAATTTTTAGTTATTTTCCTCAAGCCCTGCAGGATGTGGGGGCCATACACAACTCTACCGAAGGGTCAAATGTCTTTGCATGCCTCCATAAGTTGTTTTTCTATTGCAAACATTTATGGAGTACTCTACTCTAATTATATTTCTTGGAATCACACTGTCACTGATATGTCGCCAGACTTCTGATATCTCCCCTTCTGCTATAATTGTCGTGTGACTAAATAATAGGAAATTGAGATTAGACGAATAGTTGAAAGTTTTGCTTTATGTCTGCTTAATTTCTTGATTGATATACTTCCTATTTTTGCTATTGCTTCTTGTGCTGCAGGGGTCTCACACTGCTCAGACAGGTTTGTCAGCAACTTTCACATCTGAAGAAAGAGAGGAGATTTATTAATTTTCGCGTTAAGAACAAATAAAGCAGTCTATATGATTTAGAATGGAAAAGCTAATAAATCCAATATCTCATGTTTTATGAAAAAATGTTGTACTGAATTTGGTATATAAACCAACTAATAAAAGGGTTTAGTCAGAAAATTACAAGCATTCGTGGCTCCAAATACGTGAGAGATCAGACTATACAATATAGACCGATATGAGTGAAATGTTAGGTGAACTTGTTAACACTTTGATTCAATACGCAAATAAAAGTGAATGCGAAATAGTATGTTACAATGAGCAGCAATCAGCAACGACTATATATCCTCACTGATTAAAAAAGTCTAAATGAAGGTGCATGAACTATTTGACCATAAGGGGTAAGTAAATATGCAATTTCGGCAAATGGGCAACTACGTACCGTACTGAATGAATAACTTCGTAGTATTTGACAGAGGCTGGCTTTCCCACATGTACTTAACAGTGCGATGCCCGGGTGTGATATACAACAATAGTATTTACCTTACCCGTTTACCTCAACTTTCCATAATATCATTAAAACCGACAACAACTGTCAAAGCAGGCACGAACACCATTCATGCTATGCCTTGAAAGCAGCACACATCCGCTCGTTTTCGTCTCGTCAAGTATGTGCATTGGAGCGTGCTATCGGATACGATCTTCGGCCAAAAATGCCGGAGTTGCGCATCATGTTGTTTAATGTCATTGAATAAATTCACAAAGTTGGGAAATCCATTTAATTTATCCAACAATATGAATTCTACATTTCTGAAGATTTGAATATCAAATTCTATATCGCAGAATATAGATTGAGAACATCATAGCAAAACAAATATACAAGATGTCTAGATCTTGAAAACTATCCTGAGGTTAGCTGTTAGCAAAACATCGCTGGCATGCATAGCCGCATGTAAGCAGTACAAAAGTTAATGTGACTTGTGAAATTCGGAGCAGTACACGAGAGATTACAGTACTATTAGCGCAAAATGCACGTATACGTTCATTTTGGCACAAGAAACGTACACAGTAACAGTTTCGCCGAAAGCACGCGCCGGAGCGTACATTCTTCGCAAAAAATGTTGCGTACCCGTAGAGAATTTTAGCCTATTCCATCACAGCTATTCCTAGAATAATTTTGGATCACTGCAACCATAATACAACTCCTAAGATGACAAAATGATGATTGACTTATTTGATTCATACTTAAATTTCCGAAACACAGCCAAAAACTAACGAATTGCATTCAAAATTGCAAAAACGAGGTATTGTTCACAACTACGACTGAAAATCTGTCTGAGTTGATGCGAAAAGGCTTATTTTATTGTTAAGTCGTTTTTTGCATCCTGCTGATTGCTCAATGTTACGAAATAAACAAGGAAATCGATTCTAGGGGAAACATCTCATAGAAAAAAAATTCGGACAAAACTTTGTTCGTGTTATCGCGGTCTAGATGAAAGGGCGCCACTGGTCGGTTTCGGCCTGTGGGCTGTAGTTTGGTGGTCCTTGGCATAGAATGATGAAAATAGAATTCAATAATTTGCCATTAATATTAATGCTGCATGTCGGATACCAAATGAAGATTATGTGTAGCCAAATGATTTGCGCATGATGCACAACATCAGAAGTGTCTAAGCAACATTCTTCAGTTTGCCTCTCATTCATCAGCATCTTCAAAACCTTCAGTACCATCCAAGGCTCCTCATCATTCACTCAGGTATATCTGCGATTCTACAATAACACCCATCTTCATAAAAAACTTTTTTTGCCAAAATTTTAACTTGGAAGAGTCTTTTTCAATTCACTTTCAAAAACTTTGATCATTTCGAAGTTCCGGTGGAGTTTTCTATTTGCGGTTTCTATGATATAGTCAACATATTTATCATCAGTTATTCGGTTTCCCTGAAATATTAAACGAATGAATAGATTTTTGTGCATAAGACTGCACAGCATGTTATATATGTAATATTTTCAAATATAAATATAATACCTAGATAAAATTAAGCAATCAAACCAATGATTAGTTTCCTTGAATCAACATTTTCAATTAGTATAAAAATAGAGTATAAAAATGATTCTAGTCATTATGACCAAAAAATTATTGGACTTAATGTCACATACCTCAACAGCATGGGATTATAATATAACCAATTGTCAATGGTTTATCAGTGACCCTTTACTCCTTTAGGTATTGGCAAAATGAGAAATATTTGAACCATAAGTACAACATCAATAACAATTTCAATAGCTATTGTTGAAGGTAGATGTACCTCACTATTCAAATTTCTCTGCTCACAATGGACTGATCATCACCAGTATCCTGATGAGTAGTTACAAAATGGTTCGAGCTAATTAGAAAAATATACATATCAATAAAAATCCTCCTTCTCCTCCAACTACCGATTGTGCCAATTAGCAACAATTTAACTAACACATACAAGACCAAAACAAGAAGCAGAAAATGCATCTCGATTTATTGTTTAACTGTTATCAAAATTGTTGCATATTCAACAAAATACAGACCAATATAATAGTTTGTATTCAACTTAAATATAATAAACTCACTTGAATATCCGTTAAGGCACTTCCAAACAAGCAGTTCCTCTTACAGCTGATATGATTTTTCTCCCTCCTTTTCCAAGCTTATTCCAGAGTTACGAAATCCAGCTACAGATGCTTGATGAAAACACTTGGCTGCTTCTATATTATTGCATTGCACATGCATAACAATGGTTCAAATTTTAGTTTGCTTGGCCCTTGAATGTTCTTTAAGTTTTCAATTACATCCACAGGGTTTACAATCTCATGGGATACAAAGTACCATTGACAGCCTTTCTTGGTATTATTTGTGCGAGGTTCATCATTGTTTTCATCCTTCTTTCTGTCACGTCACATCATCAGAACATAGCAATATTCTTCCAGAGCAAGAACTCGTGGTGAAATAACCAGACTGCCCATTAATAAAATGTACAACGTTTTCAATTGCAGAATCTATGCTTCCTTTCCTGCTTAAATCTGCTTTAGCAAGTGCAGCTGCTTTCCATCGTGAAAACTCAGCCATAGATTACACTGTTGTAATGAAAATGGATGAGGTAAATCCACATTAGACAGAATGCCTCAGGTATTCACAAGGTAACTGTAAGTAACAATATCAATATCTAGCATCTTTATCTTCTTTATATAAAAAATAAACAGTTACATTGCCATATTTTGTTTTAACCTTTCTTCAAAAGTGATTAGAAACCAAGAGCCGACTCCATAAGCAAAGCAGGGAATACCAAAATTGATGACTTTTAAAAACCCGAAAAAACAATTATCCCACCGGAGATCTTCATATGGACGCTTTGTACAATGGTATTTTAAGAATGGCCAACATCCAGTTCGTAAGACATGGTAGTTTACTGAATCAACTGACCAATTGAAATGAGATTTTCCAAATTGGTCATTCTTAACACTATTTGCTTTACAAAATAAGAGGTCCAATGTGGATAGTTCCTTTGACGTAGATGCGCTGTCAAAACATCTGAAGCATTTGGTTTTCCAGATACTATTTGTGATGAAAGTTTTTTCTTGCACTTATTATTAAATACATTAGATCGAAAAATAACAAAAAGTCTGTTTTGGCACAACATTTCTGTGAGAATAATAATAACAGAATATTAGGATATTACTAAAAATTTGAATGTCACATGCGATGTGAAAAGTTGTAATTTATATTGGGTAGCCTATATACCGGTACTAGTTACTTATAATTCTATTACAGATATTTGTGTCTGCCACATATTTTCCATTTATTTCTCACAACTTGCATTTGCCCATATATATCTATATAATTATTAGGGTTATAAATCCTAAATCTGTCCATGAAGATAACATCATATTTGATTAGTCTGAATAGATCAGGTTGGTAGTATAATTATGATAAAATTTGAGAGGTCGCTGAAAAATTTGTAAACTTATAATAGAGCATGTATGAATACCTTGAACTAACCCAAATTTGTTTAAGTTTGTGGACATATTTTTAACTTAGTTACAGGAATGACCAAATTACATTTGTCCATATTACAAATTCTCATCTCAAATTATTATATAGCCTACATTGTTTATAGACATAATGAAAACAACAATCACATTGAATCCTGTTCAATATGTGTTGGGTGGTGTCAGGGTGTGGCAACAGACTCTGATGAAATTAATTAGTCTTATGATCTTCAGGTTTATCCTAACCATTTTCAGATCATTACCACAACATTATCGTTCTGTTATTTACAAACTTTTCTATTTTAATTAACTTGTTGCTTTTATCTATTTATGAGCCTATATACATTGTGTTTTTCTGATGGATATAAAAGAATAGTAATACTGCAAGTGTAATATGAAGCCTTCATCAATGGTCTGATCTGATGGTAGGTATGAAAGAAACTGCCGGTAGGTAACCAAGATTATGAACATATCTTTAAGTCTTTTCTCTAAAACTGTTGATTATATGCAAAAAACAAAACACCTAACTTAACACTCATTGAGCGCACAGACAACGACTAGAGTTGTTTCAACTTGAAACTTAACTCAACTCTGCCTACCCAACTTTCATGCTCGATCTAAATAAAAAAGCCCAGAAAGTTATTGTTTCTGTCCGTCATCGCCATACGCATTTGAGACAGACAGCTTCTCGCGAGCATGTTACAATACAATGCGCGGTAATGCCGCGGGACACATAGCCTTCCTCCTTTCGTCATTTTTGCCATCAGTTTGCTATATTTTGAAGCTAACGGAAGAGGATTTCCGTTTTAATTTATTTGCGTATTTGGAATGGTTTTGTTGGTTGAAATAAATGAAAAGATACACTGAGGCATAGGAGGGGGTCGTGGCATTTGCCAGTCATCTCTGCGTCGGTAGGTACAATAAGTTATCAAAGTGGAGTAGGGGCAGAGTAATTCTACTGTTCTGTGATTGCATTTATTGGATAGTAATTAAAGGTTTATATCAGGATTATATAGCACAAAAGTAAGAATTCGGATACTTTCAGGCAGGAATGGGCGATATAGAACAGTGGTTCCCAACCGCCGGTCCGCGAAGATTTTTTGCCTGTCCGCGGGGTATTTTATTTTGTTGTTTTTCTGCTGTCTTAATCGCTTTACCGAATCTGAAATGACGAAGTTACGTTGGTTCGTTACGTAATTTCTCTTCTGTCGTCATATTGCTGTTTGATAATTGCGGTAATAATGGCCCGGCGACGTCGTGGCGCCGAGTAATCACACTTTTCGCTTTATCGGTTCCGATGCATCGCGAAAGCGCTTGGTCAAATCGAGCAAGGTTAGAAACCTGCAAATCAACATGCATTCTTTTTCCGTTCTCCATGCTTTTCTTGATTAATATAACCATCCAAATAAAAGGTTATGAATGAATATTTCTTAACTATATTATGTTAACTATGCAAGAACGATCCTCATGGCGCTGTTTATTCCAAATAGGATTCAGGATTTAAGGGTTGCGGATTGAGGCTAAACTGGTTTGAGCGGTTATTCTTCAAGCATATTCCATCGGATAGGATCCCTAAGAATTCCATATTACTTTTATTAGATGGCCATGCGTGCCACCATTCTGAAGAACTAATAAAAGCTGCTGAAAGAGAAAATGTAATTATTTTTGGCATTGGTGCCCATACCCCATACCACACACGTGTGCCGACCTTTGGACGTTGCTGTTCATAGAAGTCTAAAATCAAATGTATCCGCGTTTTTAAATTCCGACCAAGCCATTCGTGGTGCACTGTGGATCGCAAAAAAAGAACTGCCGAGAATTCTGAAAATTCCTTCTGAAAGATCATGTCTATGCGCAATATCGTGAGAGGTTTCGAAGCATGTGGCATTTTCCCATTCAACACAAATGTCACCAATAAGTCCAAGGTATTTCAAGGAACTCCTTGGGCTGATGTTGATTTGTCTGAACATTCGTGTCCACAGTGAATTGCCACGCAAACTGAGCTAAATGAAGAAAACCATTCCTCCGGACCCACTCATCAACAGCATTCATTCGTCACTCTTGGTCTAGTGCCAGCGGAGCTGAGTGATGTTTTTCGAAAATTCCGACAAATGGAAAAAGACCCCTTGGTATGAAAACAAAAGCGCGAGTACTAACAGCGAATCCAATTTTTACGATATCGGGTGCCAGCAAAAAATAATTCGAAACGAAAAGCGCATAATTAAACCCATGCTACTGGAAATACACACACATCAACTTCCTGCTATCAAAAAAATCGTCGATTGACTGGAATGGCAATAATAAATGCCACATGAATTGAAATGCCGAATCTCAACAAGAGCAATGGATTGGTTTCCAAACTTTTGGATGTCCAAATTGGACATGCCCCAAATGCTTGCTAATAAATTTGGACTACAGCCAAGAATTTCTTTGTATGGATTGGGAATAATAACATCTAATTGTATTTGATTGCTTTAAATGTAAGCTAAATTAATAGTTGCATGTCATGTGGAAAAATTCTGAATTCCCACGTCACAAGTAAATATTGATTGCATTTTAATACACATTTTCAACAATTACCTATGTTTCAAATTATGACAAACGGTGCCAATTAAGGCCACTGTGAGTTTTGGTTGTCTTGAAGCTTGTCCCGCTGTTTATTTCGCATATTTGTAAGTCAGTGAGAAATTTTATAGCGAGTGATACACCAATAATCTATTGTGACAAAGTCTTAGCTCAAATCGATGAGGGCAATTTGAGATATCACTATTCAAAATCCGAGGGTGGCGGTAATAGAGTCATATCAGCGTGAAAGCAAACGCCACATTGTCTCCACCACACAATATATGTTTTCGCGAGCATGGTTTCTTTACGTCAATGACAATCAGCATGCGTTTTCTATGTAGTTCCTCCAACTTCTGAACTTTTCGTATTCCATTTTATTAGAGACGAAATGAACCTATGGATCGTTTTGATTTTGTTCTCTCCTTCTTAGTATTATTCTTTTTGCTGTTATAAAAAAATCGCTTTTCTCTTAAACTATACCGGTACTGGACCAACCGGCGGTTAAAGAATGAGTTTTCGTGTACGTACGCTTTGTCCATATATTTGAGCACCGCTCTCTTGTTCTCTTCATGTTTTACAAAGTTTTATGCGAGATCTTAAATTTCCCTTGTAATTTATTCCCACCCTTCTACTAAGATTCGGTCATGAATTTGAGTGTTTGACACTTTTCCATTTCATATGAATATTAGTAACATTCAAATCATTGAAAAACGTGAACTTTCTTTTCGGTATTTTGAATAATTGGGCGAAAGCTAACGTTAGATGTTAAATTGTCGTAGGCCCTATTAAACCGTACATAAGTACTAACACCGGAACGTATAATAATTATAACATAACAATATAGTAGTTCTCTCCCTCACTCAAGTGAGTCGCAAATCAGTAATAAATGGGCTGTCTTCGTTAACAAAAAAACAATTTGATATTGATAATAAATAAAAAAATATTTATGGCAGTCATAGAGCATGACCAGGACATTTAGGTCTACCGAACAGCTTGTCAAAGTCGAAACTGTCCCGGCTAAACCGAGACGTATGGTAAGCCTATACTTAATAAAATAGGATTTCCATACTTTTATCGGGGAGAAAGAGTCGAAAAGATAGCTTCAATATATGGCATACCACGACCTCTCGTCCGATTACCGGTCTATGTCGGGTATGGGATTAGTTAGCCAGGTATTTGTCTCAGATGCATGTTTCAATGTAGTGAATTTCTCCATGTATTGCTGTATTACTTTTTTAATAACCATCTTTTCTTTTTATTTAGCAAGTCAAATTTTATACTTTCAGATTTTATACTTTGCTTTCCAGGTATGCAGACAATTGGAAGATCCACGCTCAAATCGTCATAACTCGTTACTAAAAATTTTGTGTATTATTTGAATTTTATTCACCTCGTCTGAATGAAGTTGAATTATAATCAATTATATAATATGTTAATGATTTATGACCGGGAAATGCGAATTATTAAACAACAACAATTTCTCATGTTCCATCATTATTTAACAAGCGTAGCAATGCCAATTCTGTTTGTTGCGAAATCAAAGGTGGTGTAGTATTTTCCCATGAAGGAATCACCCAGAATCCAGAGCGGCCCGGCTGGTGGAGGAATATCAAATTCGTAGAATGACGAAATGCAAGATGTCTGGCCGTCCTGTGTGATCTATAAATCATAACATATTACATAATATCTGAAATTAATAAATCAAACATAATTTGAACTATATTTATTGTAATTTTAATTCCCAGAACTTTTGACAATTTGATTTCATATGTCTTATACATGAAAAAACGGTATAAATTATTCTAAATAACAAAAATAGTATGTATTTAAATTTTTACCTGTAATACGTAGTCTTCCGGAGTCAAAGTATAGGTAATTCCACTCAATACTATATCCACATCGGGCATGTCTGGAATTCTGCTACATATCACTAACCACTGAAATTTGAATAGGTTTAACAATAGCATATTTACTGGCCATGCTAGGTTGTTTTTAGTACTTCAAATTTGTTCCCTATTTTTAAATTTGCTCTGCATTGTTACGGGGACGCGCCCTTTGTTATCTACTTATTTATATTGTAAATAACTATTGTAATTGGTTATGAGGAATTGTATAAGTACTTGCCTCCCCTAGAACAAATCGTATAGCACCGATAGCTTCATTGATTGCTCTGATTTCTGCTGCAGGACCAGCGATCAATGACGTGCCTGAATCAACAATTGCCTGCAAATTATATAATTGGTTAATTAATATCAGTGAAATTTATGTTTTGTGTAAGATTTTAAAACACAACTGGGTCATTGGCCGACCAATCCTGTCATTTTTAATGAAATGTAAAAAAAATAGCGCATAAAAAAATTCGCACTTAGGACTCGATAAATAAATTTCGGATTATTAAAAAAAAATTAACAGCTGTAGCACACGGCCTATTACATTGTATACTTTTTATGAATCAAAACGTGGCCTATATCTTACCCGACATCCACCGACGCATGCAGTTGGTCTCTCCAGCTAAAAAGAATGTACACATTACATCGTAATATTTATAACAATCGTCAATCCTTTGCTTTCTATAGTAATTTGTTCGTTACCGAATATTCTTGTATTTTAATAAATCATTTATGTAGCAAAAACCTGTTGAATAAAGATTGATGTATTTGATAATTTCGTTCTGCCCTAGACAATGAATTAATTATTAGGTTACACAATATTCAAGGTTTATTCTATTCATTTTTTTAATAATGTGAAATTAATTAATAAAAGCACACTCACTTCGCAACCGAGAGCACAATCATGGCCGGTGTGTACAGTCATTGAATCCATGTGGAGTTCCCAATAAGCCTGGAATGGAAATGAGTGTGATGGGTCCAGGGAGTGTCTAAAGGGTGGCTATAAGGACATCAGCCACGGGCATCATGTTATAGGGGTGAGTTTGTTGCTTAGTAATAAGTTAAATAATAACAATACAAATATTTCACTCTTACGTGACCTTCAATTTATTTAGTATCATGCACAACAGCATCTATAATTTGTTTTACACGCCCTTGGATGGGTCGTTCAGCAATATTGATATACTGCCATAATAGGCTATTGATATTGTCAATGATTTATTTTTGTTTGCTTCAGATTTTATTTAAATATTAGCTTTGATTTATATATATATATACTTATTAAAATTTAATTGACGTCCAAAATTTGAACGATGACCTATTCTGCTCTAATGTAAAACATACGCACAAACAATCAAAAATCCAGCATATATATTTATTACTCTTTACAAAGGTGTACATTATCTAAAGATATGGACGCTAGTTCGGTTACGACTGGAAGCTATTATTCAAAATTGTCTGAGCCTCCTAAATACTTTTTTACTATAAGCAAGCAAATATTCTCATATCTGAGCAAAAAAACCCAATTCATTCGCCTTGTCGATATATTATTTAAAATACCTGTCTAGTTACGTCGTGCCATATAAAGTCTCCGGTATACCGGCTCTCATCGACCCCTCCAAGGTAAAGTTCCCCTCCTAAGACATCGTTTGGATTTCTATCAATGCAAATCCAGATATTTAAATCAATGTTGTTTATATGTAAGTATAGAATGATTGTTTTTAAAATAAAATGCGAATATAGCGAGATGTCAGGGCGCGTTATAATTTCGCCCGACCAGAATCCTTGGAACACAAGCGAAGCCCTAGTCCGAATCTCAATCATGCCACTTCGAAACAAATCCTTCATCCTCATGCGCTGTAGTAGCTTTGTTACTACGGGTAAACGAACAATCAGTAAGATCAGTAAGAAGATGTAAGATCAGGTGACACGCAGAAATACGTCATAAAGAAATTATTCATATACCGTAGTTTAGATTGCTTTAAGGACACTTCAGCAATATATACGATAAAACACCATTTAAAATCAATCACAAATATTTATGGAAGCATAAAGATTTTATGCAATAAAATTAACTGATATAACCAGGAAATTTGTGGTATTTTAAAATATAGTAATACATGATCCTTGTTTCTAGCAAATGACACGTTAAAATGACACCGAATGGGGTGTATGGCTACATAATGTATAATTGCCATTAATTGGTTAAGCCGAAATCATATTTCATCCTATATATATTTTTCGTTTCATCCCTATATTAAATGTGTAAACGTTCAGCAATAAGAAAGATAAACTGTAGAGTTGTTCTTGTCTGGATTTCAAGCATTACTGATGCTAGTCTATTATATCGATGAAGAATTAAATTATGGTAGACGAGATAAAGACAATCTCGGGCATAAACCTTTTTTTATTTATTTTTATACAATACAGCATTACCATCTATTGCACCAGTGTTCTCCAACCTATGGGTCGAGACCCAAAATTGGGTCATGGAAATTTTCTTGAGTCGTTTGTTTTTCCAACAGAAACCTAAAAGTTACTGCCTTTATTTTCTAGTTTATTTTATATCTATATCGAAGTGTTGCTCAATAGTAGGCAGAATTGTATATGGGGGAAGTACCACATGCAGCGTGAAAACTTGGGGACTGCTGTTTTGCTTGAGTAAAGCCACGCTACTTTTTCAAAAACTCGCTCATAGCAAATAAGCGCATCTTTGACACTTTGAGTTATTTTGGGGAAAATAAATTTCATGTAAAAATGGTTGTTTAATACAAGTCAGTTAATCTTGTGACAATATAAGGCCTAATCATTACATACTGCCTAGTATTTGAGCATATCTCTGCGTGGCGAGATTTTACAAAATTTATCTTTTAAAAAAAAATTGGGTCGCTTGAAAAAAAGGCTGAGAACCACCAAATTACGCTATCTTGAAACTAGTCTGAAGTACACTTACCGATTGAGATAAAACGAAAACTGTGGCTTGTCTACAACGCCATCGTCAATCATGGTATTGAATACCGGTTTAATACCATTCACAGAAATAGTTGGGTATCCCAAACCCAAAATTCCTGCAAACTGGGCGGCTACAAATGTGATACCTGGCTCTACAGTAGCTTCCGCAAAAGTCTGATTTTTTGCTACAAGTCCAGCAATCTGGAAACACAAAAATAGCAAAGTAATAGAATATAATTATGTGTAGTGATACATAAATAATATTCAAAAAAGTTTCCGTTGCAGCAGTCTACATGTCTGGTATCTAAAAATATTTCTTTAACAATTTTACTTTAAATTCTGGTTTATAATTAACATGGTGCTGCTGAAATAGTAAAATACAATAATTTTACGCAGATTTAAGAGTATATATATATATATATCACAATTAGGATATTGTCAGCGACTGTTTAGAATATCAAAATGACCAACTTCGCAATAAAACGAGACTTAATCTAGAGTTGTCGTGTAAAAGTGTAAGCCTCAAATCAGAAAATCGAGTCACACCGGAAAGTGCCAAACGACGAACTAATTCAATGTCATACGTATTTTGTGACATTGATTTACGGAAATGTCATTGATTTGACTTATAGTTGATTCGTTTCTAAAGTGATCAACTCTAATCATGTAAGTGATCTTACGGCAACATCATCTCTGCTTTCGAATCCCTCCATCGATCCGGTTCCGTATCGAATTTCGAAATGGTCGCCATCTTCCTCGTAAGTTGATGACACATCGCTGTCGTATCCTCCATGGATATCTGTTTAATTATAATATGACAAAGACAAAGTCAAATTATTCCGTTTTGGTACAGCTAGATTTTAAATCAAATTCACTCTAATAAAAGTATGAAATATGGACTATATATATCTCAGAAGAAAAAAAAAATTCTTTTTCGCCTATCAAGAACACGTATATATTCATTTTTTTCTTATGTCGTTTTAGACCCATGGAGTCGAATCAAAACCTAGTTTATTAAAGAGAATACCTTGCAGTAAATTGATAGTTCAGGCAGATAGACAGTAATGCAAAAATTGTAGTTTTTCGCAATTCATTGATAACAGGAGTCCATACTCCATAATATCAATCTTTAGTATTTTAAATGAGTAATCGTGGTCGAATACGCAAGAGTAAAAACTAGCGATGCATGATGGCTAGATTACTTACAGCAAGGAATATTGCTTCCACATGGAAATGATGGTATCCAGAGATTGGAAGATCCAGTGTCAAATATAACATCAAAACTTTGCGGTGGATTTCCAATATCAATCCTTCCAAAGTACTGAGCCTAATAAAGCATGAATGAATTAAAAAACATTTAGACAAAATTTATAGTATTTAGGTGTTGTATATTGGAAGCAGTGACAGATATTGTAGGCTATCCGTACCAAAATATACTTGTTCATATGATTTCTAAAATTTTTCCACTCATTTTCACAAAAAAACTCATTTGCAGTGTGCAACTGGTCAATGCATCTGAAAACGATTAAGTGGTTATCTCAGAGATGAGCAAAGTTTGTTTTGCAAATAACCGGAAAATCGTTTTAGCAAAAAGATGCATTGTAAAAGAAGTAGGACTTAATTATTTCAAAAGCCTATATCACATAGATATAGTTTTACTATCAAGCTTGCTTAGGCCTCGGAACAACCTGTCACAATGTCTTGGACAAGTTCTCTGCCTTTGTAGGAAACCTAACGAACGTCACAGTTACTATTCCCATCGCTATGATACTGTCGAATTCAATGTTGGCCTACAATGTTGAACCGGTGATGTAAATAAAACATCGATATTATTTTAACAGTTCATGGTTTAGATATTTTGCATAGAGTTCAACAATTCTGTATGTTGTTTCACGGGTGTCTTCAAGATCAGCGGGTCGCACAAATTACTTTGGCGGGCGGCAATTTGTCCCCACCTGGGTCAGCTATTTCTATATATATTCGATATAGGCTGGTAACGAGAAGAAAGGTTGTGGTTCGCCATGTGAGTAATGAATCCTCTAGCCAAGAATAATATGGTAATATTTTCCCATTCTTTGTCGCTAACGTTAAACGACGTGTAGGGTAAAACTAAATAAGAATATTTACTCTGTAGGCCTATATATGGAAAATACTACAATACTCATATTAAAAACTGCGTGAAAGTTCACATATTACATTCAAGTAATTCGTCATTGGTAATGTCGCCGTGTCTTTTGTTCCTCCGATCGTGTATTTGTTGTTGAGAGAACCCGTGTAGACAAAACCTTCCTCTCTAAGTTTGTCGCTCAGTCTTCTCATTTTCCCCAGTTTCACTCTAAAAATGCCAAAAATGAACAGAGAATAAAAGTTTGGGTATATGTCTTATGTGAGTAAATCACACACGTATAATTCATTGTCATGCTAGATGGGATTTTTGTTTTAAATATCATTTATTCGATCATATTATGAATAGAACATTTCAACAATTGTTCACGTGTTCATTATATATACATACGGTTTAAATGAGCATGGGAAACTAGAAATATATTCAGATCAAAGAAGTTTCCACAAAACTATAAACACTAAAGACTTCCAATGAAATCTATCCGCAGCATAGCAACTTGTGATTTACGAAAAAGTCGTTTTATGCGACTCATCAATTTAAGAGCTAAACCTTCTTTACACGATAAGTTTGCACAAAAATTATATTATTAACTAAAAAAGATTAGTAATATGTGCCCAGTACAGAATTTCAAAAACATACTCACACTTGTCCGGCATCGCAAAAAGCGACGACAAAAACAAGCAAAAGAACAGAAAACTTCATATTTGCAGCTGTAATAATGTTCGACTCCCCAAGTAAACCAAACCAGCTACAGGACTCGAAAATTTGTAAGCTAGTTATGAAAAAATACAGTAAATATATGTTGCCTAAGTTTATCAGTTAGTCTAAATTGGATGTGTCGAGTCATTGAGCAAATAAACAACGCCATCTGTTCATACTCACGCGACCCGATCTATTTATGACATATGCGGCCGAGGCAACTCGTCCTGCAGTCATCGAGGACAAAATACCGCTTTAAAAAATTCAAGCGTTGACGAAAGCAAGGGTTTTCCTGGCGTCAATCACCAGAAAAAAATGCAGCCTTTTTACGCTGAATTCAACAGCAGCTGGTATTCATTCTTACTAGCAATATCTTCATTCTGTAACATAACTAGACCTATTAATCTAATCATCTTCAACTGTTGACACTCAATTCAGGGTTTATTACGAAATAATATAACGATAAAACTCCTTTTCCATTTTGTATTTGAATCCTTTCCAAAACCACGAATATGCCCACGCATGCCAAACTGCCACCGCCGAATTTGACACACTGAAGACAATAACACATAACAATTTGATAAATTATACAAGTCCAGTAGCACAGGTAACAATCCAAAATACCTTACTCAGCACAGATTCTTCAAAATAATGATAATAATGCTAAATGGTAGAAACAACCCAGAGGAATTTAAATTTTTTGAATAAGATGGCACAAATAATCGATCAAGATATCAGCACCCAAGGTTGGCTAAACCAAATTGTCATCTGTTCCAAATACTTTCTGAAAGGATATATTTGAATATATTACATAATAAAAATTTGGTCATGTTCAATGGAGATTTTGATTTAAGATATTACAAATTTATAGAACTTGAATTTAGTAATGCGAATAAAACCTTTTTTCAATTTTAACAGTGCCCAAAAAGGATACGAAGTGTATTTTATGTCTGATCATCAGAGTCCGAGTGATTATGACAATAAATTTTCAAAGAAAAATATTTTGAATCCTAAAATCATTGAATATTACCAAATTTGGGTGTGCTGCAATATGCAATTCCTTTTTTACATCATGATAGTACGAAATCCCGCTAATAACAATATAGAATAAGGATAGATGCACGGATCAAAAATATTTAGGATAGATTTTGAGTACCATTATGTGCATACATAAGTGATTGTAAATTCCCAAATCAATTTACTAGTAAAAAAACTACTCTGTTGTACCAAGAATGAATGGAACATACCAGCCAGTGAAAAAATTTCTCACCAATGAATATTACGAGCAACACGTTGGGGAATAACACTATGTGATATGTCTAAAAGAGATATTTAAAATACCAAAATAGCCTAATGTTAAAGTGAAATTCACACCAATATAGTCATAATTTAATTTGGAATAATAAAGAACAATATTTTTCATGATAAAAAATTTAACACACCTACGAATATGTTCATGGGATGTCCAAATATGAAATGCAGTTTTAAATGTCTCGATAACTACATAAAACAAATTTTCTTTTCGGGTTATATTCGACTTCTCACCTGCAAGAATACCATGATTTTTTTCATTTTCAAAATAAGTGCAAACAATTGCTGTTATTAGAAAGTTTCAACTAATAAACCAATGTGTTCCATGCAACAAAATAAAGCATAAAAGAGATGAATTGAACCAAAAAATATGATATTTTTCTATGTGTTTGGCAATGGGACATCAATACTTATGTATATGAAGTAAACTGTATAAGATATCATATCCTTTAATGAACATAAGGAATTGAATCTAAACGAAAACCTAAAATACTTTTTTTCTTATCAAATTTCTCCTGTGAGGCACGCTATTCTTTGCTCAATATATTCTGTATATTATTCATGCTCAACCTGCACACCAGATTAAAATTGAAACCAAAGTAATTGCAGGCAGCTTGCTGCCGCTGCATAGGACCAAGAAACAATTTCTGTTATTAATCAACAAAGTACCATGAAGGCAGCTATTATGGCACAATCATGATTTGATTTCAATGGAAACTGCAACATAAACCAGTAAAAGTGGAGAAATAATCTGCAAATGACAATTCCACTATAAGTAAATATAACATTGCCTAAAATTGTTTTAATCACAAAATATTTTATACACGTTTTGCCTACTAATAGTATAATTATGTTGAGTTAAAATACAATTTTTAGTAAGTATACAATTGGCCACTCTACTTTGCTCAAATTCAACCACAACAAAAACATGAATGCCATTATTAATAAAAATGTGAGGGTCTAAGATAGTGAATTCTTGTGTGAAGTAATTGGGCGTAAAAAGCAGTTTTTAATTTTTATTTCAAGATTTCAAAATGATGGTTTCAAATTTTACAAGAAATTCCATTAATAGTTTATTTGAAGGGACCATGGGTAGGAATCTTTTATGATAATGCGAAAATGGGATAATTTATATGGCCAAATATGACACCAATAACATTTTGTGATGGTGAAATCTAATCTGAATCCAGGTGTAGCCTAATAAATACATAAAATAAAGTTTTTTTTCCTGTAACACCACGAGCTGTATTAACTTTTCCTGCGTTTTAAAACTTTGTCACATAAAATCTTCCATTTCATCATATGCTGAATAGTCAATAAATTCATCCTTCCCACCTCCCTTTGTTCCACCAGTAAGTTTGGCCTTATTTGTCTTTTTGCCACCCTTCTTTTGCTACAATATAAACGAAAAATGTTTTGTTATGATTTCAATGTCATCTATAATTTGTGGTTAGAAGATTTTTCCTGAAAAACCAATCCTATTTATTATGATATTACTATATATATATTTTAGGTATCTGGGAACACAAATATGCTGCAAGAATGAAAAGGCATGATACCCATACAGGGAGGACAGGCGCAGTAAAAATAGACATGATCAAGGGTACTCCTGAAGTATGTGAACCAAGATGGTGGATACTGAAACGTAGTATGTGTACCAGGTTAGGGTTAAGTCATAATTTTATTCCAATTTTTCATTATTTTAGTTCTATTACAAGTTCGAGGACTAGCCAAGTGACTGACTCCCGTAGTATTTATACCTGAAATTATGGCCTAACCCTAACCTGGTACCCATACTACGTTTCGGTGTCCGCCATTTTGGTTCACATACTTAGGAAGTACCTGATCAAGAAACCATATTCAGAACAAGACATTGGAAAAAAAATAACCATTCTGCTTTCCTGTAATTCTCCAAAGCAATTTGAACAAAAAAAGTAGGTATCCTAAAGCAAAACTTCAAACATCTCAAGTGGTTTATGTAAATAAGCAGCAATATTAAAACGAGAATATCGGTCAGAGACCGAAGACTTATCGATTGAAAGTTAGGAGATCCCCCAAAACAGCGCTCTTACTCCATAGTGACACCTTGTGTCCCGACACTAATTAATTAATAACTCGCTGATTATACTACATAATTGATCCAAAATCAATAGGCTTCTGGTACGACATATGATGAATGCACATGCAAAACTGGGGCAGATTCAATCTCGCTTTCCTGAGATATCGCGTGCATCTAATAGACAAACAAACAGACAGACAGATACCTATCAACATACTTACCGATTAAAATCGATAAGTAATAATGGAAATAACAGATTTGATCACAGTGAGGGAATTGGCTGCACTGTGGCATATTCAGCTTAGCATTGGGAATATGCTTGCTATCATGATGGCAAGAATCCCTTGGTGAAGACATAGTCTCAAACCATGAATGAAAGGATTTCTGAACACCATACAAAATGATTTTCATAATTAAGGTACAAATTTTTGTGTGTGCACATATATTTTTAATTAATCTGTAAGTCGTCAAAAATCTAAAACATACCCTTTCTTGTTTTGCTTTTTCACTTTGTAAAACATTCAAAGAACTTATGAGTTTCTTCAAAGATTCGGCATCAACTAAGGAAAAGCAGATGAATGAGAAATGCACTGAATATTAAGCAGCTCTGGATGCTTTATTTGTAACAAGTCCTATCTATAATTATTTCAATTTAGATCAGGGAAATCGGTCAGACAACAACAATATGTCAGGTCATACTAGCTGTCTCCATTATTAGTTCCCTAAAGTAATTATCATGTTAGTTATTATTCATCAAATTACTGATTAATCTAAAAAGATCCATATGGAAAAATTCACAAAGTGTTTCCAATTTCCAAATCTGCTCGACTAAATTTCACAGACATTTCGAATAGAAAGTCCATTTACAGATGACCCTTTTTAATATAGGCTAGTTACAGATTTTTGGAAGAACCCCCAAAGGTTTGCTCCTTAATAAACATCTACCCAGTCTCATTTAAAGACGATGGTTTATGTGACGGATTGCCAGTAACTTTGGGAAAAAATATTAATTATATAGATGAGACTAAAAATACTGCAATAAAACAACTCACGACTTAAGCAAGAATTCCGAAATAAGGTTTCAAGGAAGGATTGATAATGCGGAGACGATTCATATTTTGAGAATTTTTCTGAAATTAACTTTTCGAAATTTATGAAATCTTCTTTAGTTCTTGGATCACAATTGTCTATTGTGATCAAATCGGCAGACGTTACACCTGAAAATATATTGTTTACACTTCATTCACTTATGTTGCTGCATTATCACCATTTACATCCTATAAGATTACACTTGAAATTAAAGCAAATTGTAACCATAATTGAAGAAAACTGACTTCGATATGAAATTGCCATCACAAATTACTATTCCTAGAGTTTTCTTTGTAAGACAGTGTTCGATATTAAAGCTACTTATTTGAAGATATTCATGATAAAAAAAAATCAGTTGTTTTGCTTTATTCTACATATGTTTAACAAATATCAATCAAAAAACCAACCGAATGTATCTTTAGCAACTTCAAAATCAGATTCTTCAGATAACTTTTGAGCCATCAACTTGTCAGCCATAATTTCTTCTGGCGTTTTCTCTGCAAGTGCTGCCAGCCTTTTTGCCTCTGCTGCTCTAGCTGCTTGTTCTTCTTTTTCCTTTAGTTTCTTAGACAGTGCCTTTTTTGTACTTTTCTTTGGTTCTCCTGCAGCTGCAGCTGATGAAGAAACAAAAAAAAATCATGCAAGGCCAGGAATTCAATAGAAATTTTCAGTCAAATATGAAGTGAATTATTTCACCAATAATAATAATTTGTATCAAACCTATAAACTGGAAAGCAAATCCAAATTTTGAGGATATCAGTTGAAATCACTTGGACAGAAAAAATTGTTCAATCACTCAAACAAAATTTTTTTTTTTTTCAGATAATAATTTTTTTGAATTATTGAATGTGTAAATAGATATTTTCAAATGGAATAATTCAAGAATGAAAACAAAACAAAGTCTTGGTTGATTGATAGTAGAAACAGCAAAAACTACTAATTGAATAATTCTAAAATATTATTTTCAGATATGGATTCTATAAACTGTGCCATGTTCAACGAAGAGAGTCTTTGTATATTCAATGAGTTTGCTTTGCATGTTTGTTGGTCATATTATAAAACTTCCGTTAGTCAATATGATGGTATTTAGAACAAAGTCAACAAAAATCTGAAAAATTAATAAATCAACAATGCTTTTATATTAAAGAACTCAAAGGCAAAACAATTACAATATCGAGGGTTCTAACCTAAAAGGGGGAAACCTGTTTGAGAAATTGAGAAAAACCTATATTTTTAATTTTGAATATCCTGTAACTTTTTATTTAAATACTTTTGAATATTGTTTCAAACTATAATTAGATTACCAGCTTAATAACCAGCACTTACCTAGTTCTTCATAATATTTTTAAATAAAATATTTTAGAAATTTCAACATTAGCCTTGGTCTTGTAAGTTAAAAAGCCTAGCTATATTAAACCTTGATTCGGTGTTTCTGGCTTTTTCTCTTCCTCTTCATCATCCCAGTTATCTTTGATGTCATCCTCTTCATCTTCTCCCTCCCACAGATCAGTAGCTGGCACAACGGGTTTGTCAATAGTTGGAGGTTCAAAATCTTCATCTTCTGTTATTGTAAAAAATATCCTTGTTCACATACATGTAACAAGTGATGAAATAGAAAAAAAAATTTTGTATGACTTAACCATATCTTAACAGTAATTGTTTGATTAGGAAATTATTTAAATAATTAAAGTCAATTTTACATGTCAGTGCGGTAATACTGTAAGGCAATAATGAAAAGAAACATTAGCATGAACAATATCTAACCCCAATCAGCCATGATTCTTTATTCTAATTGCAGAATTGGCAATATCTTTCTTCGTTCAACAGGACTTGTACAAAGTCAGAGAGTGTTCTCAGTGATAAAACTTCCAGTCACAGAGTCAGGGAATAAAAACCCGATGTAGAATTAGAGCAGTGAAGCAATGTGTGAATGTCAGAATGTCTAAATACTGAAATATACCGGTACCGGTACTGACTAAAACACAACCTGGAATAATACAATGATCTAGTTCTGTAGTTGCTGACTTCAAAAAAAATAAAGTTGATTCAGTGATTGTAAAGTACCGGTACTCTACTGACCCTATGTTGCAATATTCACAAATAATAAATGATGTACAGTACAGTAGTAAGGAATAGAAACAGAGCATTGATACCGTGATATAATCCAAACCCCTCCCAAATCTTCTTCACAGACACCGATCAACACAACACATGTTCAAGCAAGCTGGTACCGTAATTCATGGTTGACAGATCTTTTGGTTAGAACGATCCTCTATTTCTACAAAATACTAATTTAAATACTAAATTTGTCAACCATTTTATCTCTTAAATAAATGAAAAATGCCAAAATAATTTATATAATAAGGAAAGCAAAAATTTTAAAACAATTCCAAAATTAATCCAAGATATAAGGTAAACTGCTGGCCCCAATTCTGGCAAGATACATGAGAAATCTTGGGCGGGTTTCCATTTCTTCTCTCTCGCGCCTTATGGCGACTAGTATTTGATCATTCGCCATGTTTGATGGGATAGGATTTACATACCGTATTTATCCCGAGGGAGAGGTAAGTTGATAAGACGATCATACGGATCACGGCCTCTCGTCCGGTTACCAGTCATTGTCAAGTATGGGATTAGTTAGCCAGGTATTTGTTTTCGAAAGCATGGACTTGATGGGGAGGAAAACGTAGCCGACCAGCGCTCACGTGACCTCCGGGCGAGGAGTGCAGCAACTTCTCGCTGAATCCTCATCTCCTGTTGCTGAAAAGCTACTGAAGTTGACGTTTTAAATTGGGTTGGCCCGATCCCAAATTCCTTGGATTCAAAGCTTTCCTCATAGATTTCCATCTAATACCGGAATTTCATTAAAGAACTTTACTTTTATCAAACATTTTATCTGATTATATTCTTCCACCCATTCCTCACAACTTTGGTCTGTTTAGTTTCGAGCATTGTCGGAGTTAAGATTCTGCGGGTAATTATCTATTCTTGAATGATAGCAACTCCTTGAAACAAGAACTATGTGACAGAATTTAAAATTGCATGCTTACCTTTTACCAACAAACCAATAGAAAAGTCACTTTTCTGAATCGTTATTTTGAGAGCAATATGAAATAAGAAGCCCCAAACGAAATATTGTGTCAAAATCATGGTTCGCAGATGGCATTTTGTAATTTTGATGCACTCCTAACAAGCTCGGAAGCTCATCTGTTGTTAATCTTCTCTGTCTACCTTGTATGCAGAGGAGTATTCCGCTTTTCCCACTTTTCATGTTGCACATAACTCTATTGTAAAATCAAGATCCCAAATTCTCCAATTCAGTTCCGAAATACTAAAAGATAACCTGTGATTTTCTCGTTGGTGGGTTTTCGCAATCCCAATTCTCTGCGAAATCAACAAACAGACCAGGGAATTAAGGAAAGTTGAGAATGATTTACTCAAAACTATTTAACCTACATTATTGGTGGCTGATCGTGCTAACTCAGCAATTGGATCTTTTAGAAATAAATTGAGTGCCCGGCTTAATGATAACAGTTTTGATGTAATCATGTTTATGCAATGCATGAAGTTACAAAAAATGTGCTTACTCCTAATTTTTTTTTATCGTATGTAGCCTAATTTACTAATTTTATTTAATCCCGGAAATGAATTGTGTCATCAGTAAATTATATTGTTTATCAGCCAAACAAATTGATAATCCACTGGAATTAATATTAATGATTGTGTGAGGTAAAAGAATAAACATTTTAGTAACTTTTTGACCTCTACCTCAATATTGGACACAGAATGTCAATATGGACATATGTCAGTTTTTATTAAGTTGTATCATATTGATTGTGTACTCATCTACAATTTCTGCAAGATTCACCCTATATGTCATCTATTATTGAATGCATAGTCAAGGATGAGCCCGAGCAAACATCATCAGGAAGTTATTATTTTAGCTTAAATGTTTAACGGACTATAGAGGGCAATTTCAGACAGATGAATGACTTACAACAAATTGCGCGCAAATTAAATCATAATATAAAAGATATAGAAATCTAATGAAGCTGCAAGGTCGACAGTCAACTATCGAACCTCAATTATATGAGACTCGAACCTGATTTCTGCCATGCACGCTGTAGAGAGAAGGGCGGTTTATAACAGGTAGGCGCTGGAACCCCCCTATACGCCAAGACGCTATCAGCTGTGGTTGTTACGTTATTCGTGATGCGATAGTTACGTATAGTTTAATATAGTAGGCAATATTAGTTTTCTATATACACACAAGAGGTGAAGATACCTTTACAAGTTTATCAGTATGACAGTATGGAAACAATAGTCGGCGCTGACACGTAATCTCATTCACGAGTTGTCACAAAGAACAACAAGCTTTATACAATGTAATCCAAGCAAATTCCAAAGAATGAACCAGTAGCTAGTGAAACTGGTGTTGTACAGTGATACTACGGAACTCCAGATGACAATTTGAAAATAAAATATGTGAGTAAAATGGGTTGCCTCTCCAGCAAATCAACGGAACCGGCAAACTCATCGAATCGTGTGGGAAATCATGTATCGCAGGGTAGCAGGCAAAAACGAATTTCAGGTGATAGTGGTATCAGTTTAGAAACGGAAGAAATAGTGAAGTCTGCAGACGAGGAACAAATCGCAAATCATATCATACCAAAGAAAGGTAAGTTTTGTTATTCACAGATTTATGCTCTAAAAAATATCATAACTCAAATATATATATTTCATTATCCGCAGTATATTTAAATAACACGCCCTTGACTGCTACACATTTTTATTCGAAATTTATATCAACTGAATTTAATATAACTTGCAATTTTGTCGCTGGTACTACAAGTATTAATATATATATATAGTATGTCTCAATTTATACCAAAATTTCATTTTTAACGCGGAGTATTGATAAAGAATTCAATCTTCGCTGCTCGTGTATAAAAAATAGCGTGAATGATCTTTCACCCCTATACTACACATTCTTCTAATTTCAGGCATTTCGTTCAATATACCAACATCGTCAAAAAGTATTATAAGAAGCCATCCACCGAAGCGTTTAACGGTAATCATAACAATTGTCAGCTTAATACTAATAGTAAGAGATAATAAATTGTAATCAACAACTGGAAATCCGATCAGGAAATCAATAATATCAATTTTTTATATATATTTTTATGGAATTAGCGCGTTTGAGTTGGATTCGTATAATACACAAAAGCACTGAATATCATCAAAGTAAGGTATTTAGAGTATCGGTTTGGGATAATGTTGTGAACTTGAGATATGAGGAAAATGTTCTTTTTCATATTGTCGAAATAACTCTATATTTGTTATATTTTAGTCACGACTGGAAGTATCAAAAAATACAAAATCAACGCTAGAGCCTTTTGGCTCAAATTTAAACAGGAATGAACAGATTAGGCAGGTTTGTGGCCGCGTCATTTTTAATTATAAAAGGATGATATTTAAACGTAATATAAGTAATACCTACTGTTCTTGTTTGCTTATCTTATGACCTATACCAATCAGAACGATTTCTATCTGAAATGGAATCTCGAATAAAAGTATTTTTTTGATTACTTTTCACAAAATATTTTTTTGCCACTCAATTTGAAAACTTTTTATCGTAGATTATATATTTCATGCAGCACGACATATTTACTTTAAACCTTCTCTTATTTCGCATTCACTTAGCATTCAGGAATAATCTCATTAGTGCCCTATTATTTTTATTACGTAGAATGAATAATTGCTCTGCACTGGAGAAAGAGGAAATATTTGACTTGTCCATCAAGAATAACATATTAAACCCGAAATGATTTGTAACAAACGTTTTCTCAGCACATGGAGTGATAAAAAGTGGCGACAAGCCTGTAACAGCCAAATTAAAATTTGACACAGTTACGAATTCACATATTTTTATGTCATATAACCATACTATTATAAAAAATTGTTTAGTCACATGATCATAATAAGAATACCACATGTCATACAGTAAGAAAGTTTATAATAATGCAGTAGTATATTTCTCAGCTTGTATTGAAGCAAGTTCAAGCTGAAAAACTTCGTGAGCAGGAACGTCATTCCATAGTAGCTCGGCAAAAACGAAGAGAAGACCGTGCTCACAAAGTACAAGAACGGGTAAGACTTGATAAGTGATTCTCAGAATAAAGAAATTACATTGTGTAAATTAGGTCAAAATAAATTATTTTTCAGAAGAAAAAAATGATGGAAAAGGAGACAGAAATTTGGGGAGACGACGACTTAAGCGAAATAGAAGATGACTTGAATTTTAATACTAATGAAGGTAAATATATATCTGCGATGATTCCAGTTCATGTGATATGTGTTCAATCAGAAGCCCGGCTCGCAGATCTTAAAAAACTAATTTTATTGGTAGTTCCTTGTAGTATAGCCCACAAACATACAGAACTGCTATGTTGAAGGGTCAATCAGGGTTGCGATATTATAACACAATAGAATGCTATCGTGTTGTATATGATTTGATACGAATTAATGACGTAAAAATTGCTATTTTGTAGGGTCAATCAGGATTGTGATATGAGATAATGGAGTGCTATCACGTTGTATATATGACTTAATACGAATAAATGACGTAAGGTTTTTAATAATATATATAACACTATTTATATTTATTTTAGAATATGATTTATCAACAGATGGTGAATTCGACTAAACTCGGAACAAATATCAAACACAAATAGGAGCCAAGTACGAATATATTGAAATAATGAAATATGTAAAGACAGTAGGGACTGTGAAACATAACATTGATTTAGATTCGCTGGAATAAACAGATGAAAATCATTACATAACAGTCACGATTGCAGTAACTTTTTTCTATCATTTATAAAAAGAAAAGAAATATATTCACTTTACATGGGATTCATTTCCACATAATTGAACTTTTATTTTTCATCAAGACTGAATTTTGTATCGGGAAAATAATTTTCTTACTAATTGAGGAATTTGTTCAAATGTTGTATTTATTTCCTTGTTATCGGAGCTTTAAAAACGTTTTGTAAAAAATATTAAAAGAACAAAAATGTTGGGCATACCCATCTACCTTTTCTATACTTTGTTTGCATAGTATAATACCCAAGAATTGAATATGCGGTATTTGTAATGAAAGGATTTGATACATTATACAGTATTCACATAAAAATGTTGAATTTTCTTAAATAAAATTTTTCAAATCAATATGGTTTTAAAGATTAATAAGAAAAATACAAAAATAACGAAAGTATGATCTTGTAAAAAGATGATGAGTAGAAGTGTTGCTTCGACGTAAACCCGTCATCTCCATTTGAAGTAGTTGAAGAAAATTGAGAATCGTGTGGCGTTGATTGTTTCGGAAGATCAGCTGAAATAGAACAAAAAAATATTTATATATATATATATATATATGTGAACCAGCAAAGAAAATGTTTAATTTCGTGATAATGAACAAATTAAATAAATATAACTTTTCAACAAAAGTTGTACAGATGGAATAAAATTATTTTTCTTATACAATTTCATTATTTTTCTAATAAAAAATTGCATAACATAGTACATTAAGGTCACTATTGTCTATTGATCACCTACTTGTCGTCGGGCATTCTTCAATATTGCATCCTTTGGAATCAGATTCTCTTCCTCGTCGTCTAAAAACAATTCCTGTTCCACAACTTACGCTGCATGTTGACCATGATGTCCAAGCGTTTGACACATCTAGCAAGTAACATTGATTTAAAATACTATGAATAATATAGCACAGTCGCCACGAATATCAGAAGTTTTTATTTTCCTTATTTTTGCCTAATTCACAAGCTATCCGGGGCCATGGTCGACAGTGTTATGTGATTATAAATATCTGCAATCTGAACAGAAATATATTTAACTGGACGCCTAAGTATAAAATTTATCCTTAAAATTAAAGATAATTAAAGATTTTTCCATCGACAATTGGAAAATTGAAAGTCATAAATCCCAGAATACATATTTGCCAAAATTTCTAAGATTTTCATTTTCTGACACTAATGACGTTTTTTTGTATCTAAATGCTATACGTTAAGTTAATTAACTGTATTATCCGCTTTTATTGTTTACTAGTTTAATGTGGCAACGCAATTTACATTGCGTTTCAATGTTGTAACGTATTTTTGTTCTATCTTTTGGATATATTATATAGCATGCCATTTATTTGAAAAATTTTCATAAAAATATCAATTTTTGCAATAGACTCGAATGGGACCTCCTGAAGTATGTGCACCAACATGACGCACAACCTGAACATAGTATGTGTACCAGGTTAGGGTTCAGGTTATGCGACATTTTGGTGCGCATACTTCAGGAGTACCCCCGAATGATATTTTATTTCAGTTTATATATACACTATTTATGATATATTGACTTTACCTAAAATTTATGTTTATAGTATATCAAAGTTTCAGGTAAAAGTACGTTCTACCCATCCGCAGCGTAAGAGGATTTTAAACGTATGATATTAATTACAGTTATTCATGATAGTAATTTTTTTCGGCAATGACACACGGCAAAATATCTAGCAAAGATCAGTCAAACATAGTTTTTTAGTGCGATCAGTCGACTCACGTAATAATCACAATTATTACAAGTTTAATTGAAAGTGAGAGAAAAGGCGTTTACGTATTATGGCACCAGATAAGTAATCCATGATATGACAAGGAGAAATGTTGTCTGCTGATTAATTGGCCTCGCATGACCTTAATCATATGAAACAATAACATTACCGACATTACATCATGTCTTGGTCACTTATATCTTCAGCGTATAGTCTGAATGATATTACAATTCAATATCAAATATACGTTATATGCAAATTAAAATTAATTTAGAATATGAATTTATTGATTGCATTAATTTCTAAATCAGCAATATCCTGACAGTTCTTATGGGTTGTGAAGTTATTTAATGAGTTTTGATTTATAACTAAAAATGATAAGTTGTTTTTCAAACCTAAATACATAATATTCATCGAGGCAGCTATGAAGAAAATACCAACAAATCTCATGCACAATACATTAACCATGTATACATATATGAGTATTGTGCATTTTATACGCGGCTGTTGGTTGGCACACTCATTAAGTTATTTAGGTTGATTTTGCTTTGAGGAAATTAGGAAAAAGTTCAATACATCATAGTGTATAAAACTATCCCACATACTTGGATTTTATCATCTGAGAGCTTTGACGTAGATTTAGCTTGTATTTTGAAAGTTTAACATTCCAGAAGTATTTTACGTCTTGCAATTCTTTAAATAATATCACTACAATTTGATTAAGGAATAACTTACCATTTGCTGCAGCTGTCCCAGTTCCATGAGCTGAATGATAGTCCGTCGTAATCATTATAAATCCCACAATAAAAACTATAAAATTCATTTTGCCGATAGCACAAATCAGACTACAAGATTATTCTATAATCGCCTATGATAGTTAAGGTAAATTATTAAGTGAAACACAAAGGAAACCGATTTATATAGAAGTATGTAGTCGGGATTGTGAAATTGAATGGGGATGCCCTCTGGCTACTTACCTCCAAACTCTGAATTCGTGGTGTTTATTCCGGTGATCCCGGTTTAATACACAGAAAAAGTTTTGCTATGACGAGCAAGTAGAAATGAAAATGACATACAGCACGGTCATCAGACTATTGTAAAGCTGTACTATTCCCAGAGGTATGATTGTTTCACAAGCATTCCATGTGTATGTAGGCTATCCGCGTTCCACAAGTATCAATGTAATAAAAAAACTCTAACAATAACGCGTAATATTCGACACAGTTATCTAGACTTATTTATATTTCTAACAACACGTGTTTGTGCTGATAAAATAGAGTCTTACTAGATTTACTAAAATAGAAATCATCGTTGAATTTAACGTTTTTTCGACCATTACCTTTTCCCTGTAACGCGACACAATTCTCGTTTACTGTTTCGCAATATTGCGCATATCATGAACAATATTTATTCTAAGTACTCTGAAACTAAAACAAGGAGGTTTACTTCCCGTAGCAATACTTCGTAATACACCATAGTATTTGTCGGGAGTGATCATTGCACGAATGTCTGGTGGTTTGGCGCTCAAAAGCACATTGAACCTAAGCCGTGATAATTAAAATCTACCATGCATAAAAATATTTTAACAATATTTATATTATTCAAATATGGTTTGTGTGAAAGACAAAAAGATTGAATAAATATCACAGATTCAATTAAAAACCAATTGGCAAAGAAAATAATAACTATATTTTATAAAAAATCATCTTATGAAACTTATGCCCATGTAAGAATAGATACCGGTCAACATTACGAGGTCGCAATCAATAGGTTGGTAACATACACATGAAAACTAGACATATACAGGCAACTTATATATAAAACCACCCAATTTAGTCGTTCGTGTACAAGAGGTTGCAATCTCTGATGCCATAACAACTCACAATATATGAATGCTCATAACGATAGGAGATAGTAGATAGTAACGATAAGTAGTAAAGAGTAAAACAGGTTTGATATCACAAAGCCCCAAAACAGCTGGTCGTTCATAATATATGCCGGTGCAAGTTGTCTGTAAAAGCCTGTAATGCATATGCCATTGGTTGTATATGTATATTTAGTTGTCTCAATATGTATAGGACTTGGTTGTATATACATATTTTTGGCTGTACAGTACCAACCCCACTCTTTCATTGTGGAATTAATATTGTAAAGTTGAAAATTAATAAAGTTGTGAATAAATTTCATAACTGAAGATTTGTAGTTTTTCACTGCTGGTCCGCAAAAAAATTCAACCTGTTGATAAATAGGAATCAAGTCAATGGGGAACGCACGTATTTAGTGTTAAACTGGCTTTTGGTATGCTGTCAGACAACGGAGCTAGAGAGAAATACGCTGTTGCATGAATACGGTGAAGCAATAATATACTGTAGTTTGAATTTTTGTTTTCAAGTCGCTGTGCAAGAAATTATCAAATAATAAAAATGTCCATCTACCATTCAGCCTTTTGTTATTTTCTGTGGGCAGTGGATGCATAATCCGTCGTCTGACGTCATCCGACGTCGCCCGAACGCACATTTCGACTGCCTCTTGATGATTTAACAAGGCAGCTATGCTCACGAAAGCCAAAACGAGTATGCAATCTGTCACGATAAACTACCGCTACGGTAATCTCACGATAAACGCGAAAGCGTGGCCGCAACAAGGTGCGCAATTTTGATGACATCATCGCACATAAATAAAAATCCTATAGGACCCACAGAAATTTGCAGGCTTGTCCATGGGACATATTTTTCTGTCCGATTCCCACTCATCTCATAGCAATTATGCCTGTCCCATCCCATCCCATCACATCCCATGGGATTCCGATTGTAATAAATTTCAATAAAAATTGTTAAATTTAGGTTTAGCGTCTACTAATTAGGACTACATGTACGAATGGCCATGCAAAACAACAAAATTACGGACTTTGTTAACTTTATATTCATAACTATTATACATGCGTCCATCAGCCCCCTTACGAAGTATATTTTTAATGCTGAATATGTTTTGCTTGAATATATATATAACTAACAAGAGAGCTATGCTCAAATATATGGATATGAAACCCATAACGAAATGTTTTACCATCATTTCCCCGAAAATCATACGATTTTCGTGTCCCACGTGTCCCATGGGAAATACAAATCTGTGCTGTCCCATCCCATCCCATGGGACGTTTCCCATGGACAAGCCTGGAAATTTGCTCAAATGTACCGTAACTGATACAAATTTATTTTTTATATTTTTATCTCCGTTATATTTAATCTTTATTATGTACACACATTTACATAATAATTGTTGTTGGTACACGTTTTGTTAATATTTGGGTAATTTAGAATGCGTAAGAACGGATTAAAATGATTATCATTGTTTCGGTACTCGAACAATTCGGTAGTCGAACACTAATCCGAAACAAATTATGTTCGACGACCGAGATGTCACTTTATATATTACGTAACAAGGAAATTTGCATTAAATTTATCGAATGGTTGCACACGCATTTGGTGAAGGCGGTTGGCGAGGTGGTTAGAGCGCTAACTATGGTGCCATTACAAGTTATATATCTTACCACCTCATTCAGGTTGTAACAAATTTGCTTCCGTTCCGACCGTCGTCGGGTGCGGACGTGTCAGCTTGAAAAGACTAGTGAATGCTACGCGTTGTATGTTTCGGTATCTGTAATCTGTATCGCGCAACATCAACATGAGCAAAGCCCATCCCCTAGAATTAAAGAAGTTTATGGATAAAAGATTGGATTTAAAGTTAAATGATGGACGATTTGTTACGGGCATATTGCGAGGTTTCGATCCTTTTATGAATCTAGTCGTGTATGATGGAACAGAGCGTAGAAAAGATGGGATCACTGCACCTGTTGGAATGGCTGAATGGTGGTCGTTCGTGGAAATTCGATATTAATGTTGGAAGCATTGGAACGGATACAATGATTTTAAAGTGAACTAACCGAAAACGACAAAAGAACACAATAACCCAATCCATGATTTGTGCATAGACTGCTATGGAACATCCAATCCATTTACCAAGCTTGTTTTTTAGTAAAAAAAAATTTGTCACTGTGTTATTTTTGCAATATAATTGAAGTAGGCCCACAACATCACCATTTTTTGTCAGCGAGTGTTCTTTAATCCATATATCTGTATATGAAAAGCACATACACGTCTCACATTTTAATTTGAATTATAAGATATTGCCCGATGTCACATCGTGTTTTTGTTTTATTGTGTTTTGCCTGTTTTTGGGGGACGGGCACGTACTTGTACGTATTTAACTTTTTTATTACGTTATGCCCGTCCTCCAGGTCCTCTGTATTTTGTTTGTCCCTTTGTTGTTGTTTTGTGTTTTGTTTGTATCAGAGTGACCGAATAAAATTGATTGATTGATTGATTGATCTATTTATTAGTCATGTCAACTATTGTTTGTTACCTAAAATTGCAGAAACAATATATTGCCTCCATAATTTAGTATTAGATCCCAGAAATGTATAACAAATTGTAAGATTATTTGATGATCGTTAACTGAACCAGGATATGAATCTTCTTATTCGAGTTAATGTCACGTGTTCTTACATATTTCTAATGTACATTCATTACATACATTACCTTCTTTGTAAGCTTGCCGCTTGATTACGCAAGGCATGTAGCTTGTTTTCAACAATAAAATTCTAGAACCTAAAGTAGCTGAATCATCTCTCTTAGGAGATGATCCATCAACATATATTTTATTTTTTATTTTTGTGCTTTTTTAAAAAATATTTATGAGTAGTATTTTTAGATATTTTTGCAAAACATTATTACCATTGTTTACATTCCTTCACTAAGTAATTAGAGCGAAGGCTACTATTTTGACCAAGTAATTTTAGACGGAATCTCGCTTTAAATGCGTTTTCATAATCTCGTTGATGTTTGGAATATTTTCATAACATGTTATTGTGGGTTTCACCACTCACAGCGGATTTTTTCCTTAAACCCATGGATATTTTACACTTCAGTTATTTTCATAAATACCCAATTTAAAATAAGCTCGTTAGTCGTTACTGCCTGAAAAATATTGATGTGTGTGATAATCATTTCTTTTTGATTGTATTTATACACCAAATTTCACAAAAAAACATATCAAATTCCACCAATATATCATTGAATTTTATTTTTTAACATTTATTTCTTGAGAATGCGCGGTCAACTTAAAGATTGGAAAAATTAATTCAATGAAATACTTAATTCGTCATTGCGTTGTTGTTTATGCCCTGATCGATTTCTTGCCCATATCTGGTATGTAAATTTACATTTAGAAAAAAGATTTGTTTGTCCACTGTGATATTGCTAAAAATGAAATAAAAAGTTGAAAGAGACCAACGAAGCGCAAATGAAGAAATCTAAAATTAGCTAGTTGCGTGTTTGTGGAGGACTATCGAATATCGTTTGCATCTAAAATATGCAAATATGCTGAAAAGAAGTATAACGCCAAATGAAAACACAGCGTACATTTTAACAACGGAAGGCGAATGTATCATACTTTTATTCTCGTTATATTCTTGATCCCTGGCGACAAGAAACATTCGGCTAATTTGCCCAAGATTTTTGTTTTTCTAGTTATTTTTCGTGCGTTGCGGCTATTTGTTCTCATTTATTTGTAATCTTATGTAATTAAATCATCAGATAAAAATGGATAGAATAGTTCTTGGAGCAGGAGATTATGCTGTATTTGGTGCTATGCTGGCAGTTTCTCTAGGAATAGGAATATATTTTGGCATACGAGACAGAAGAGCCAAACGCGGAGTGCAACATTATCTCATGGGTGGAAGGTACAACAAACAATTTTTATATTATTTGTATTATTTTACACTGGTTTCAGTTTGCGACTAGGTAGGTCACAATATCACTCTTTTATGTGCATTTATTGTTTTGTTCAAAAATATTAGACTGATATTAGTCGAATATTAGACTGTAACATTAGACCTAGCCAGAAGAATTATTCTATTGCTTAAACATTTGGACAGTAGTTCACTGATGAATATTTGATACTTTTATTTATTAATTATTATTTTTTGACCATCAATTACCTGATAAACTGATTTTTTATTTATGATATATAATGCTTATTTTTTTCAAGAAAAATGTCTTTTTGGACAGTTGGAGTATCACTCAGCTTTTCTGTTATAACTCCAGCCACAATACTTGGCATACCTTCCGAAATTTACATCTTCGGCTCCATGTTCTTTTGGTGAGTAGTTTTAACTAAAATGACTATGACTATAGTGTTAGCAACGGCAATCAATCTAATCACACAATGCGATAATCCAAAATCCAAAAATGCAGGCCCGACCCATACCTCAAACTCAGGCAGAACCTTATGAACTGAAAATAGTTTAAAATAAGCACAGCCTTGGAATACAATACGGACTCTGCAGTAAACTGATCAGATTCAAAAACTCTGATAATTTTTACACCTTTCAAATTAATCAGAACTCACTTCCAAATGTGCCCAGACACATTTCTGTCTTTGTTGATGGGGACGAGCAACAATAAACAAAAGCTTTATTTACAATTGTTGTAGCGTGATTAGAACAGTATTTCGTGTTAAATTGCCAACTTTTTATTCATAGAGTATTTCAAACCAAACTTAAAACTAACTGTATTAAGTTGTAGAGCGTCAAGTATCACGCCATCTTTTATAATTCCAGGATGCTTTTAGTACCGCTGTTGGTGGGAATAGTTGTTACTCAAATATATATTCCTTTATATTTTCGAGTAAGTATCACCAGCAGCTATGAGGTAAGTTTAATATTAAGATCCAAATAAAAAAAAACGGCCTTTGACTATGAATAATGGTTGCAAGTAAAGAGCACACGTAGTTTTATTTGAATTAAAAAAACAACAACATAATATGCTTGCAACAGACGCAGACCTTTTTGTTATTAGGGATTTCATGTAACTAGTACTCATTTGCGCTCAAAAAGTTCTCTTGGGCTTTTAATTTTGTGAAACTATGTTGATGCTATTAATAAATACTGTTTTTTATATTTTTCCTAAACTGTCAACACAATGATTTTTTATTTAGCGTATTACCTGAAAATGAAATATATACACGTATATTCTATTGCACACTTACATCGAAATTTAATATAGTATTAAATACTTCGGATAGAGCTTACTAGTTGTGCATATAATTCTTAAGGCATTATTCTGATGGCTGTGCAGTATCAAATACTTAGATTTCTATTTTAGTACCTTCAGCTGCGGTTCAGTGCTCCTGTTCGAATTCTTGGCACTCTTGCTTATATAACGCAAACGACCTTATTCATGGGAGTAATGATATATGCCCCGTCTTTAGCTTTTGCACAAGGTAACCAACAATATTTCAACAGCATTTTACAGTAAATTACAATGAAAGTGTAAACCTCTCACTAATAATGACATTTATACTTTTTATTTAGTTTCTGGCTTCAATTTATGGGCGGCAATTTTTACCACTGGAATTGTTTGTTCTATTTACACAACTTTGGTAAGGAGAATAAATTTGAACAAATTTTCTGCTTGACCGTCATGTATTTTTTTTTATTATAATTTTTAAAATGCAGGGAGGCCTCAAAGGGGTGATGTTAACCCATGTATTTCAAGGAATCTTGATCATATTGATCTTAATTATAGTCTTGTTTACGAGCGCAAGCAGCGTTGGCGGGTGGTACAAAGTTTGGTTGGCCAACTACGAAACAGATCGTTTTACTTTCAATGAGTAAGTATTTACCTTTCATGGTTATTATTAACTCATTATTTTATTAAAAAACAATGACAAACAATTTTTCAAAGCGTTTCTTCCAGGATTTAATTCGATTGAGTTTTAAATTGGAGATGTACGTGGGATAATTGTTTCATGTTAAACCAGACCACCGAAAATACACTCACAACCCGATTTCTTTATTATTTATCAAAAAATGAATAAAATATGTTCACACATGATGCAATTGATCTCGAACAAATAAATGCTTTTGAATTTTATATTTCACTGTGATATAATACAATATAACTATAGAAGTTGGTGCCATAATGATCATATTAATGACGTCATATTATTTTAATTTTTTTATTCTCATCAGTTTCAGCCTCGATCCTAGAGTACGTCATTCTGCCTGGAGCGTCACAGTGGGTTTAACAATAATGTGGACGAGCGTGTTCGCTACAACACAATCACAAGTACAAAGATTCTTAGTCTGTACATCTTCAAAAGATGCAAAACTGTAATGTATATGTATAAATCTTTTTAGATTTAGACTATCAATTTTATGTAAGTATATGTTTGTCCATTTCCTTGCTTTCTCAATATAATATAACTGTTCATACATGGGAAATATATGATTAATGTTTTACCATATCATTCTTTTCACAGAGCCATGATAACTTGTGCCGCGATTGTGACTTTTGTTCTTCTGCTATGCATGGTTTTGGGTTGGGTCACGTACTCCTATTTTCACAATTGCGATCCGTTGTCCATGAAACAAGCGACTTCTCCTGACCAGGTATACATACATTGTGCAGTTATTGGACACGTCAGTGGACATACCGATCGTTTCAATATTATGTTGTTGTCATGTTTTTCTTCTCCTTCGTCATGATAAAATCGCTTCTCCCTTCGATTACTGGACCAATTGCTTTGAAATTTTCAGTGGTTTAAGATTGATTTTCCCGCCAGAAAGCTATTACTTTTACTTATTTCAAAAATTTCTGTGGACTTCAAGAGATTCGTTTTTTATGTGTCAGAATAAAAAATAGCGACACCTTGTGACGTGTCCATATATTCGAGCATAGCTCTCTGGTTAAAATACAGCTTACATGGATTGCTTACACGGATTATAAACAGTAATGCATTAAATCAAACCCTTATTTTCAATACTTTCCTCAAATAATCGGTATAGGTATTTTGTTATGCTATATTGGCACAATCATTTTAAAATTGTCGAAACTTTTTTCAGTTGCTTCCTCTCATGGTTTTATGGATGTTTCATAGTAATCCAGGCTTCACTGGTGCATTCATGGCTGCAGTGTTTGCATGCAGTTTAAGGTAGTTTTTCATTTAAACTTTCAAAACTCTATAAGTTTTTTTCGAAAACAAAAATTACGACTTTTCAATTTTCAGTCCCGTTTCTGCCGGAATAAACGCTTTGTCTTGCGTTACTGTAGAAGATCTCATTCGCCCTTTTGTAAATTGGAGTGACCGCACTTTGACAATATCTGCAAAAGGTTTGTTTTTTTGTAATAGATGTTGATAAATGGTCTGATTTTCATAATATTTCAATAGATCTTTCTATCTTTCTGGAGTAAAGATTCTAGCTTTTACCTGTGATTACATACGCTGGCGAATAAAAGGTAACACGAGACGAACAATGTGGTGTAGTCAAATGCAAATTGGAAAGAAATCCGATTTACGTCTGTAACCTTATTGTCACTCACATACCCACATATTATTACATACAGTACAGCATAAGCTTTCAAACATTAGCTGTAATATCTTCAAAAGATATCAGACTATTCAAGTGATATTCGCGTCCTGTATTGAAAATATTGAATAATTACATCAGCCAAAAAATTGGATAACATGAAATAGCGCTGCAGTTTTAATAGTAAATATTGATGAACTTTTTTGTTTTGTATACAATACGTGTATTTAACTTGTTTCAATCTATTTTTCAGTTATGGTTTTCTTCTACGGAATTATGAGCATTGGGTTTGCTTGTCTTTCAACAATACTTGGTAATATTTTGCAAACAACATTAACCTTATTATCAATCGTTGGAGGTCCCACTTTAGGGATGTACACCCTGGGTGCTATGTTTCCACCGGCAAACTCGTGGGTGAGTCCCACCACTACCTTTGGCATACATTGTACTTATTGCATGTGTAAACTAGCACAAATTCTCTCGGTGTTAAATTTTTAATCTCAGAATATTCTAGTTTTCTAATCTCCTCATTATTGTGGATTGCTCTAGTCTAATAATTGTTACTGTCCGTGATCATCTATTCTGTAAACATGACATTTTCTGGTTGGTTAATGTTTTTTTCATTATACTGTAAAATGAAATTCACTATGCAATAAAATATACTTTCCAGTAGATGCCTGATGTCCCCAATCATGTACTTTAAATATTCCTAAAAAAAGAACATTTTCACGTTCATTCAGGGTTCTTTCTCTGGCTTTTTTGTTGGTATATCCTTAGTATCGTGGATATATGCTGGAAGTCGCGATCATCCACCACCACTCCAACAATTTTGGAAGCCAAGACATCTTTCAACTACCAACTGTACACTGGCAAACGACAGCCCTTTCTACAATTCCTCTACAATACTGTCCACCAAAATTTCAACAATAAGTGTTACAGAAATCTCTTCAGCATTTGATATCGTCGATCATTCAACAACATCTACATCCTCAGTGCTCCTACCTACAGTAGCTGATGTATATGCCGTTTCCTACGCGTATTATGCTGCAATTGGATTTGCAGCTACTACAGTGGCCGGACTTCTGATAAGCCTGTTAACCTGTAAATACGTTTATCTCAGTTTGTTTCAATTTACAGCAAACTACATGCATATCAGTTTTAACCTTGTAATTCAGGTGGACATCGGCATGTTGGTGAAATTGATCCAAAGCTAATCGTACCTGTTTTTGATCATCCGTTAATTAAATATTGCCTGCCAAAAGGATTTCGCATGATAATGTGGTGTGGAGTCGATCACAATCAATCGAATGCTGCTGAGGTATTTATTTATTTTGCGTTATTGAACTGCATTTGTTAGTGAAGTGAGCACTAGGATATTTTTCTTCCCAACTGGTGAGTCAGAGTGATACAATTACTAAATGTTGGCACCATAGGCTATAGAGCATAGTTTTGAGCATCCGTCAGTCTTCAAGTACTAAACGACCTTGCGCTTTAGGCTCCACGACAAGGTTTGGACATTGCATCTGCTTGTGACGCATAACCCTTCTATATTTATGTTTTAACAGGATTCCGACCTTGAGCGTAAATCATCAGACCTAGAGAAGGGACACTCTAATCCTGCCTTAGAAATGACAGATAATGCGTTTGTTCCAGCCCACCTCGAGCATTGAAAGTTAAACGAAACTATCTGTGCATCTAAGGAACTGCTCCAATTTTTGAAAATAATATTTGTCCACACGAGGGCAATCTAATGGCCATCCAGTGAAGATACCATTGAAGTGTTTATCATTTTTAACAACTTTCTATATTCGTCGTCGTTATTATACACCATTCTACCGAATAAACCAAAATTTTTTATTCCAATATTTGATTGTCTTTTGATTTGTTCTCTATTATCATCTAATTTTCAGTTGGTGGATACTGGATACACAAAAATCGCTTTCAAGACAGAGCCAAGATAGACCGCGTTGGTGCAAAAATTTGTAGAAATTATTTCTATAGATTGAAGAATGAAAATGTTTGTATAGAATTCACTGTGAACAAACTCACACTAATGGCAATATTTTAAAGCGTTAAGCTATGTAACACCTATACGTTAAAGTGAGAAAATATCAACGCTGATACGGTTCACACAGACCGACAGCTTTTAACAGTTTTGTAACATTTAATCTCAAGAGTTTAATTTCGGGATATTAATGTATTCTACACAACTGCTAGAGAAAATGAGAAATACTTTCTATGCGTTGCCATCTATATTGGATAGATCGTTAAAACTGCAGTTGTAAAGTCTCACAGAAAGACTTAGCGTTGAGATAAATATGATTTTAAGTAAATATGTGTTCTGCTGAAACGTGATCATTTTTGTACTTTTAGGGGTTGTCGACGTGCACGTAAATTTTCTGTAATTAATTATGGAATATTAAATCTCATCGCAAACTTTTTTTTACCATTTTTTTCAACATACCAACAGTTGGGCTTTCATGGAATTTCGATAGAGCGATAGGCAACTAATAAAGACAAATCTAGATTAACCTGAGACTGGTCAACAAACACACAGAGCTTAAATAACAAGGAAATGTAAGTCGTCAATTTTGGGGATGCCAGAGGAATAAAGGATGCTTCTATTTGAAGAAACCACCATTAGTTTTATCTGATCATTTTTTGAATAAATGTTTTAGATTGAAGAAATATTTTAATTGAATAACTGTTAGATTAGAGTAAGGTTGACGTATTTTCATATTGTTAACTATAACCTCTTTCTAGCTATCTTGCAATACGTCGTAATATATTCATAAAATGCGACTGTTTATTACTACAGATTAACGATAATCATTTGAATTATCAAAATACTTAGTTGGTGCATTATTTTAAAACTGTTAGTATTTAATAATATGATATATAGTTTGCATTACAAAATAACATGCATTTATCAGTAATTAGATGATCACTGTACGCATGCTGTTCCAGTTAGAAAGCTGAAGTGACGATGCAGGAATCGCATACATCAATGGTCAATCAAGTTCGTTAATCTATGAAGCACTTTCTGACAATACGAACGTCAGAAGGCTAGCAATATTAGCAATATTTTTAAACGCGCAGTTTTATATTTTTGTTTATGGCTAAAGTTAGACGTTGTTTGGGTTGTTTGCCTACAAACGTGCAGTATGGATATCATAAAATGCATGGCGCCCAATCTGAACACAGTATGGGTACCAGGTAAGGGTTGTTCAGGTTGTGCGTCATCCTGATACGAATACTTCCGAAGCGCAATGATGCATGAAGATTCAGAATACGTATACTAGGGCTAGGTCACAATCTATGATGTTACAATGCGCCACAACAGATGATTGCTTCAAACATGAGAAATGTGCTGGCGATAATAATGATATTGGAATTCTATCTTCAATACACTATAACTTATAGCCAATTGGTAGTAAATTGGCGCAAACTAACCAGATTAAAGACTAGTGCAAACTATTATACTCACGTTACATTAAATTTATCCCTAGGTTATTTTGAAAGGGTGAAGCTGAGCTCGTTGCTGAAATGTGATGGTATTCTTACGCTTAGAGATACTCCAAAACGGCTATTGATCGAAATATACAAGGTACTCATACAAAGTGTAAATTAAATGTAATAAATTGCTACGATATAAATATCATTCAGCTATCTCTCTGGTTTTCCACAGACAATGTACGCGTTTTCAGTTCATTTATTTATTATCATTCGATGGCAATAAACCAAATATTAAGTAATACGTAGTTATTAAAACTGAAGAATTCTACTACTCAATATGAAAAACGATAAAGATTGCTTGTTCCGTGTTTCAGGGGTGTGCAATCTTCAAATACAGGAGGGCCAGATACAAATAACCGAGTGAAACCGAGGGCCGCACCTTTATTTAGTTGTCGGCACAAAAGTTGTTTCTTTTTGTTATTGACCAGGGATCCTTGCAAAAATGATGAGCTAAGACTCTTGCGACTCGAAGGGAGTGGAATTTCTTTCACGTAAATTGAAAACTCGCTTTGCGCGCATGCAATCATCCAAAATTAGCACTTTTCCGTGGGCCGCAAAATTTTTCCTTGTGGGCCGCAGATTGCACATCCCTGATTTATTTGATTATGGGTTGACAATTTAGTCGTCGTCAGTTTCATCTTTCACAACGAAGCTGTCATGTTGCGACGTCATCTAAAATGTTTACAAAAATACTTTTCAAAATTAGCAAATATAATATTTATAGTAACCCGTTATGCTAGTACCGTGCGTAACTATTCGAAAAATGGAAAAGTTGGTTTACTAAAATTTTGCGGATAGTTTTATATATTGAAAGCTGCAGCTGAGCATCAGAACATAACTTATTTCTCTACCAATCGTTAGTTTAAAATTAAATTTTTCCAACGCCCAAACGGAAATTTTGTGTTTAAAACATTCCTCTTATAGCCACCTAAAGATATGGCAGTTTTAATTTGAGAAAATGTGAAACAAAAAAATATCTACCAAGAACTGTGACAAAACAAACTTTAAATTTCAAATCAATATCAGAATATTCATATTCGACAATACTTACTTCGGTGATATCTTCAAGTTGCATTCCACAACAAAGAACATTTCGCACTTTCATCGGCAGAATGAACCTCATTAAACGATGTTCAAATATTGGGAAGAAAAGTTTTGAATCTACTTTCCCAGAGTTTTTATATCCATCTAAAATAAGGAGTTTTGTAATAAATTATGCCCTGACTAACCTTGCATTCATGTATATTAAGTCAAAATATATATGTATAACTGGCTATATTCTTTGAAACAAAATGATTACCTTTATATATCGTCACACTAATAACCGAATTGCGTAAGTCATTTTTAGCAGTTTTGAGAAAAACGTAAAAAACTTCCTAATGATATTGTTATGCCATTGAGAGTCAATAATTTGCCATGGTACAATTTTTTGATCGTAGCCGGATTTAAGTTAATTTGTATGACGCAGTTAAGTGACGTCATAATGGCACACTGTGACTATGACTTGGGGACATACGCAATTTTGCAACTTTACTATATGCACCAGTCCTGAAAACTAAACATTCCAAAAACGAATGTAATTCTCATTATCTACAATGTCTAATCCCCAAAATAGCTAATCAGTTTCAATTACATTATTTTTTATGTTTAACAATATATATTTCATCAATATAACACGTTCTGCACACCCACCGAAATAAGACTAAGATTAAATATAAAGAATAAAACAGCAATGCACCCAATATAAAAGCCAACCAAGGCGAATTGGACTCGGACAGTGAATATCACAAGCGCACGTCTTTCTATACTGTAGTGTAAATTCAAATTTATACGCGCTAAGCTAGAATCCGAAATGCAAAAACTCGAAAATACTTCGCCGAGGATATTTTGCCTTTGTGACGTAACAATAGTCCTGCGATAACAATGATAATTCATTATGACGAAACAATTACGTGCATGTCATACTAAATCTCCATTTTTATCGGTTTCGGAATTCTTAAAATAAAATCTAAGTTAACAGACAGGTGCGCAGCTTTACATAAATACCTATTTTATAAAAAAAACTCAGAATCACCAAAAATGACTTACGCAATTCGGTTATTAGCGTGACGATATCCTAATAAAATAAATATTTAAATAATTTCTCAGTCACTTGTTCTTACATGTTAAAGCACTGACGAAAAGACCGACTACCAAAGTCACTGCTAAACCAATTGGCGCGTAGTAGAGATATGAGACATCATACAGGTTAGCCAAAGCAGGACGTGGTGCGTCATACGGTTGTATGGATGCAATAGCTGTATTCGAAACCGTTTCTGACAGAAAAGGAGACGTATTTGTCATTTTCATTGTCGTGTTGATCATACTAATAAATGTGCTTTCAACGTCATTCTCCGATACACATTCAGACGTAGATCGATATTTCGGTTTCCAATATTTTAGTTGAGGAGGATAATGTCGACTTCCAGCATATATCCATGACGAGAATGACACACCTGAAATGAATCCGATAGAAGCACCCTAGAATGAAAAAAGAGGAAGATTGTCAACCTATTTTCAAGAGCATAAAAATCATTGTCAAAAACTATATTAGTTTTGTTATGACAACCTTATAATTTGATTTCTATGTTTATCGATACCGATAGATATCTCACAGCTACAGCCTACTTTTCTACCAAAAATTATTCCATTTTCAGTGGTGAGACAGTGACCTTTCTTTGAGCATTTGTGAATAAAAACAAATTGTAATAAATAAACATAAAGACATGTTGCATATTGAAAAAAATAAATAATTCAAAGTGATTAATGTTAGACAAATATACCCAAGAGTTAGCTAATGGAAACACAGCACCCATAGTGTACATCCCCAATGTAGGACCTCCGAGAATTCCTAGTAATGTTAAAGAGGTTTGAAGAATATTCCCGAGTATAGAACACATACATGCAAATCCAATTCCACAAAATCCGTAGAAGCAAGCTAATGCTGAAAAAATCAATGCACGATTAATAACACGGAGAAATTGCTCTAACTGTAGAAGGTTATATTTTCATTTGTACAGGTTGTTTATCGGTGTCTTTCATATACACTCGCACAACACTTTTCTGTCTCAGGAACTTTTGCAAATTTCTTATCAAATATTAGTGATTTAATTAATCAACACAAAAAATACTTTTAATTATTATGCATAAATATTCAAAGATGCTGCTATTTTGCCACCTAAATATTTCCACACCATTCAATGAAAGGGTGATCTGTTACAGATAGAGTTAGAAGATATTAGGCAAACACATGACTGCTAATGACCTAAACAACCATATGATGGAGACGTCGTATTAGGTTTTTCGGGCATGATGTGAACACTAAATCACTGGTAGTGTAAATTCGGTTGATATTTTCCCTTTAATTAAAGGGGGCAAATCAAATTTATATTAGACTAGTTAATGATAATATTTCACTCAAAAAAGCGATTGCTTTGCGCAACAGTAATAATTTATCGGAACAATCTATAGCTATGCCGTGTCCCATAACAACTTCGCCAAAATATGTGCGTGTATTCGAGTTCGTGTGCGACGAAGTTTCTGCTGCAAAAAGTTTTGAACTGTCGTCGATATTATTGTTAAGGTACTCCTGTAGATCAGTGTTTTCGACGTTTTTGGTGCCTGGAAACCCAATGGAACATTGCAGATGCCGCTAAATTCCTGACCAATAAAAAGACCTCGGTGAAAAAGAGATGCGACGAAAACCTTGTTACAACAAAACATGCGCCAAAAGATAAAAATATAACAAATAAAACCTTTTGCAACAACAATCATGGTGGAATCACTCCATCTAACAAAAGGCCGAATAAGATCTTCTGTTGTTACGCAAGCCATTGCGTTTATTCCCGAAGATAATGTGCTGAAACATATGACAATTGAATAGATCGGTTTGGTTTACGATCGATTGATCAGCTTTGTGCCAACTTTTTTAATGTTTGAGAAATTTAAAGCAAGAAGAATATTTATAATAATGAATATCTCCAGTCGCGCAAACATCTACATTTGAACATTATTTGAATTCTAGAGAGTGACAAATACAATGTATAGCTGATGACAACTTTCACTCAGCATGGTCTATATGACGTGTTCTCAAACTTAAGCCACGCCTCCTTTTGGGCTCTCCACCGTCTGAGAACACTGGTCTATGGGGTCATGAACTTCGCGTAAAGAACGGTCTAAACTTTGGTTGGAAAAGTGCAACATCTTATTATATACAAGCTTTAAGTACCTCAAACTTCCAGCGTAAACGGCTGCCAAAAATGCTCCTGAAAGCCCTGGGTAAAGTTGGAATACCCTCGTCACCATGAACGGAAGCAACTGGTGATATAAAATGCAGAAGGTTAAATGAAAACAATTATTGACAACGCTTTGGATTTAACGTTAAAGAAAGTCTGGATTATAAATGTCATGTAATATGTAATTCTTATCATGAAAGTATAAGGAAACCGCATACTAATTTCCTGGCAGAGAAATGAACATGAGATGGATAGATTATTCACGGTCTATCAGAACCGATCAAAATAAATAAAGATGTATATCCCATACTTGGATATAGAATATACTTGAGTGGTGCTCCAAAAGTCATAATCTATATTGTATCCATTGTAGTCATCAAGTCATTTTCCAAAACAATTTGCAATTTTTTCAAAAAGAGATAACGAGTTCTCAAACATAATTTTATTGTTTAAAATTTTTCTAGAAGTTACCTGGTCCGGTGCGGTGACTTGCTTGGTCAGAATGGGGTCGCAGTTGTGAAAAGCTGCGTATGTTACCCAACCTATGATCACGGAGAGTAATACAACAAACGATATTACAACATCAGAAAAGATCATTGCTCTGATAAAATAGAATGCAATGCATTAAATTGGATTTAAATCGTTGCATATTTATCGACTCCACAGATTAGGAGCAGTTGTTTGAACCACAGAAAAAACTTTGAAGTTTTAACCCCTAAAATTAATGAAAGTTACTGAAGTAAAAAAAATCAACTCAACAAGAAGGCCATATTACAAGAAAAATACTTACTTCTTGGCACTTTTTGCACTTTTGCAAGCTAAAAATCGTTGAGCTTGTGATTGTGAGGTAGCATATATACTTAACCACAATATCGTTAGGCCGATCAGAAGACTCCATACCGTATGGCGAGTTCGGGGATCGAAATCCGAACTTTGAATATAATAGAAAAACTATATTACAATAGGAAACAATAGTCTTAGCGAAAGAAAGTCATGGAAAAATTGGCAGTGACGCTACGGTCATTGTGGTGGCGGAAGTAATACGGGGAAAATGAAATTTCGAAGCAATAACGTAAACTTACTCAAAGAAATTGAATCGATCAGTTTTTGAGTTTGCTTCCCACACTATTTTCCATCCACCAACATAACTAGCACTCATAAACAAAACAATGACTTGAATTATCATGATAACAACTCCTTGAAACACATCTGTCCATATCACCGCTTTCAGTCCACCCTGAATTACTCAAAACAAGAAGTATAATAATTCAGATCTCTAGGCCCTTTTACAGCGGCTCAGCTCATATGAGAGAATATTTACGCTTAATTTTGTGCTCGGTAAACTACTGTTAATATCGCTCTTAGCTCTTTGTTGACTTTATCGCCTGATATGAGAGAAGCGATGGAACCTTCCAGCCGTGACGCATCGTGCGAATTCTATAAATAGCGTGGATTTCAAAATCGCCTGTCAGACGTCTGAAAATGTCGACTCAGCTCAGACAGGAAATACTCCTTTATAATGACTTATTGTTGGTTTAGCATGTATTTTCAGACATATATACTATCCCTGACCATCCCTGGCGCTGTGTTGTTTTGATAAATATGATTTTGACTGCTCCATAGTTGGCAGAAGTATGGAGATTTTTTGTAGTTAAAAACGTAAAATTAATGGTAATTTTAACGCGTAAATCCGCGTATGGGATTGTTTACGCCGTTCTACGCGCATTTCCGTCAAAAAAATTTAATTTTTTTGCGTTGGGGGTGGTCTGTGCAGTAATAATAAGAGCTGTGACGTCATCAAAATCAGTAATTTTAGCCTTGAACTTGATACACCTGTAGATACAATTGTGAATTTCAGAGTAATAACCATTTATGCTATAATAGGCGTTTCGGTGATGTTGTGTTAGGAAAAACTTGACGGAAACGTTGAAAAAAAAATTAATTAATTAGGAATTAATTATTAACCCTCTACTGTACACAGAATTTCTCAAAGTCTAATTTATTTGCAGAAATTTTTGAGATATTTTTGCAAAAAAATTTTTTTTTCGGAGTGTAATTTAAAGATATATTGCTGAATAGAACTCTAGCACACGCTTTTAAAAATCCATAAGAGAAGCTTTAGGGCTTAGTGGTTGACAAAAAAAATAACTTTAAAAAGACCATGTCAAATAAATTGGGTCAACAGCTGTAAGAGAGTTAATATCTTTGAACTCGAACCTCCCGTGTATGCAATCACTAATTAGAAAAACAAAATCTCAGATTTAAAGACAGGAAAACAGTTGCTAGTTATTTGCTAGTTGCTATAGTTATTTGGCACTTGTATTTGGCGATACCGCGGAAGTATTAATTTGATTACCCAAGTGAAGTAGCACAAATATCACCGCTGTATTTAATTTTTCCACAAACAAAATATTTTCCTAAAAGGACTCTATAGGTAAAATGTTTACCTCTGCTTTGCTTCTGAAATATTGTTATACCTTTATTGCGAAATGAAAAAATACTAGAAACTGATTCAATACTGGGGTAATCGCATTATACGCATTCATAGGTATTAAACGAAATAATATTGAGAAATTGCCGGAATTCGCTTTCAAATGTTGTTGCAAAAAAGTTGAATTCTAATAAACATAAATTGTGATGCGGACTCACCACAGTTGTGTAAGCAGTGCAGACAATGCCCGTGGTAAATATTGCAGCCCATAAATTGAATCCAGAAACTTAACAATAAAATAAAACATAAATTTAGGTCTTATTTGAATTGGGAAAATTATAAAAGCGGTCATCAATCTCGTTGTTCTTATCAAATTTTGCATCAAAGCTTGCAATGTTTGAAACATTTCAATCCCAATTTATTTATGATATATGAAATATATCTGTTATGAAGAATAAAGTTCCATAGGTCTTGTATAAATATGGTTCAAATAAATTACTTGATTTTCAAATGATAAAAAATGAAATGGTGTCAGAAATATATTCTTTACAAGTGTATATTTCAAGAAATATGATAAGAAAAACGACAATCAAAAAGTATTTCTATACATTTGCACTTATTGAAAAGGGTGCGATATATACGTGGCCAAACTATTTTTGTTTAGCATCTAACGTACTGATAGTGTAACCATTACTATGATAGATCACTGGTATAAATAATATACACCCTACTGACCATTTTTAAAATATTAGTATAACTAAATTCACGCCCCTTGCCATTATACCTTGCGTAAATGCCAATGCTGGAGTGTATACCATAACACCAATATACATTGTCGTTTGTACTATGAATGCAATTGTTCCAAGAATTCGAACGGGATAGCTGTAGCGCAGCTGGAGGTACTGCAAAATGAAATAAAATATATATCGGTATGTAAAAATCAAACATATTTATATACTGTAGTTTTATAATCATGGGTTTCTTTCATTTTAGCAAAATATTTTTTGTTTATGTCATCGTACGATTTATAACTTTGATAACAAATATATAATTGTAAAAATATGGGAAACGACCATAGTTGGCAAGTTTCAGAGCAATGTGTGGAAAAGTCAAAAGTCTCTTTACTGAAATAGAGAATAGTGAAACTCTTCCCCCTCTGCCCTCCCTCCTCTTAATCTGCCCTCCGTACCTATATATATCCATGCATGTTTATGAAACCGTGTCTAGACCGTACATGTGACAGCTCTTCAAATTGGCTACCGTGGTTTATCTCGGAGCATGGGTGTTGAAAATGTCACGAGGTAATTTTGCAAAAATAAGACGCTGTTCTATCTTAAACTAAGTAAATTGCATGTCTACTCCACTGTCTAACTTTAAGCCTAAAATATTTTTCTTCAGAATATTTTTTAAAATCCCCCCAACGGAGACGTAAACATAGGTTGACTCACTTCATATATACTTGTAATATTCAATCGAAAAAAGAGTGGTATGTACAACGAAATCGTAAATAGTCCAACAATCCATGCGGCCACCACGAGCCTTTAAAAATGAAGAAAAATACCATATGTTAATTAGGGTATGTACACTCTATTATGAATCGAGAAATTACGAATAGTACAGAATAGGCACAATTTTTGTTTAATTTTAAAGGAAAAACTCGCGAAAATATGGTATTCTTAAAGCCTCCTTAATATTTCAAAAGATTTAAATTGACTTGGCAAGGCTTACGATTAAAAGACTTTATCATCTTTGTAATTGCATTTTAAAATTTAAGGAATCATCTAATAAAAAAAAGAAGAAAACACGACAACAACAATAACATAATAACAAAAAGATCCATAGGTACATTTCGTGTCTGTTTAAAACCTAATATTATTACACACTGGATGATTTAACAACTCATGTTATCGTTTCAAAAGGATAGAATGAATCTCGAGTCCATTTTCCATAATTGAAGAATATACAACGAACTATGCGTGTTAGTATATATGTGAATTAAGAGCTTAGGTAAGGTTTTTATACTTTTAACTAGAAAGTCTCATCTGATACGTGTATTCTGAAACACACTGATTGGTTGCAAGTTGGTTTAGCATGTATTTCAAATACAGTCACTCACAACCATTCTGCAGATAATATTTCAGAAAATTAAAAAGAACCAGAAACCTTACAATCTTCTAATACGATAAATAAACCAATTTTAAATTTTAGTATAATGTGGACAATACTCACCAAATAAACATAGAGCCAAAAATATAAATCTCAGCGGGAATGGCAAGAATTGTTGTCGGTGAAATCACGGTAAAACTGAGTGACATTCCTGCTGCCCAGCTGTTCATGTTACTATGATGGGAAATGAGATAATATATTTAATAGCTAATATATTTAATATAAAATCTATACAATAAAATGTAGGGTATAGAATTATTGATGGTCAAACACGTAACAAAATGGTTTCAAATAACTAAAATCTTTCATGTTTAACATAGTGTACCCATAATTTGTAAGAATATGTATAAGTGCATTTATAATAATCATTGTTATTGTGATACTTTGCGCTTCCATTTGTTTCTACTTACGCGGGAATGCCCAATAATATAATTTGTGGAAACGGGCTATAAAGATTTCGTTTCATAAAAGTATTTTAACTTTTTGACCTGCTTTCTATTTTCCAATTAACATGCATTGACCAATTGGTTTTGGATTCGCAATGGCCTCTATCATAAAAAGTTGAAAGAAGTAGGAATTGTGAGCGAAGATCAAAGCAAGTCGCGAAATTTCGGCCAGATAACTTTGCTCCCATTCACAAAATGTTGACATATACACGAATACTTCTGTAGTAATTTGACGCTTTTTGTTTGTAGTTAGTATTTATCCATTTTTTTAACCAAAACAACATTTTGTTTTTAAACATGGAATCTGTTTCGAAATATATTTTTATACTTTTCATTAAAATACCTACAATAGTTCTACAGACTGCATGGAAGATTTCTTTGGCTCTAGTAGTCTACATTTGCATACAGTTGGCTAAGAACAAGTAATTTTTGGCGCTCTCTATCAAAATCGAAACCTAGAGAAACATAGAATTCAAAGTTCTCTGATGTTATGCTTCATATCATGTTGAACATATTTAGTCTGGATTATTGAATATATCCTGAATCAAATCCATCACAATTGCATAGCCGCACGCAACAATGGAAAAACGCCACGAGTTCGCCGCTTCGGAGAATGCGCCAAACACCGCCTACCGTGTTTGGTTATGTTGCTTCTAATCAACCAGAGCTAGAGTATTCGTGCACAAGTCGTCATATTCCCTAACCATGTTCCAACTTATTCAATAAAAAAAAAACGTAATATCCAAAACAAAATTATTTTAAAACAAATATTCCAGAACATATCCTCATATTTATCAGCATACAAAGCTCGCTCGTCTCGAGTTTTGAATGAAATGCAACCTAGAGCTATACTGAAAATATATATTTCAGTTTGTAATATCAATCAATTATATATCACAAATACATATGTCAAAGACAATAATAATATAAGTACAAGTAGGTAAGGCATATTACTTGCACTCACTCACCTTCCCGCAATAAGGTAATTCCTTGTCTTGTCTTTTGTACTCCTGTCTTTCCAACTGTAGTATATACCGATTGCCAGGGAAATTATCAACATGACGCCAAATACAACGTAATCAACTGGTCTGAAAAGGTTCTGGTCTTGCATTATATTTGTAGTTAATGTAAAATGTTATACTTCTATATAATGTTGTAACTATTAAAATATTGTTTAGTAAAAACAAATGACAAAAATATAACAAATCAAGAAATAATAAACTATAACGTAAACGTCCAATATTTGGATTTTACTAATAAATATTGTTGCTAAAATTCAATTTAAGAAATTTGTGCAAATAACATCGCGTATGCCTAATGCGTAGTTTCAAGTCCTATAATTGCGACGTCTGAAAAATAATAACAAAACTATACTCAAAACTTTTCAATCAAAAATACGTTTTAGGATTTTTTATTCCACGTTTCTTCAAGCTTACAACTAACAATGTCAAATAAACACACAAAAATACATGATCGGGAGCTTCGTATATTCGCGATATTCACACCATCAAGCAAACGTGATCCTCCGTATTGTCAGAATATTATTGTAAAATAAATGCGATTCTTATCATCTACGATTTTTTGCGTGCCACCACTTCCAGTTTTTGATGAAAAAGCCATACCCAGATGTCTTCTTCAACGAATTTGAGATACAAATGAGATAAAAAAGTTTTTCTGTCAAGCTGTTACATTCATCCCTGACAGTGTTGACTGGAACCACTGAGGTCGTCAATCGATATTTTATAACATCCTCCATAAACACGCAATAAGTTATTTTTAGTTTTTGGTGTTTTAGTTCCATTGGTCTCTTTCAACTTTCAATTGCTTTTTTAGAGTTCCATATTTTTTTTAAAGTTGTAGTGCTATAGTAGAGATAACTGCAAAGCATTGCAGTCCATATACAATATATAAAGCACAATTGTTACTTAAATAAAATTTACATACCAGACGAAAGAAAAAAATTCATCAGCGTATAATCAACAACAGAATGACGGATTCAAATTTTAGGATTCAATTTTTTCGTTTGCATTCTTCTAATCGACTACGCATTTGTAAGAAAAAATTAAAATACGACAACATATTTGTGAATTTAGATGAAATTTCATGTAGAAACGCAATTGCAAAAATCTTCTTGCAGACATGAATATTTTTTGAACAATAATAAGCTTATTTACAATAGACGTATACGAAAATAACTGAAGTGTAAAATATTTCTGCGTTAAAGTATAGATCGGCAGTCCATCTTAAATCTACTGTAAGTGGCAATACCGACATTAGCAGGTTAGGAGAAAATTTCAAAGATCAACAAGATTACGAAAACGCATTCACAGTGAGAATTCTCGTAATATTAGACTACTTTGCAAAAACGGCAACCTTTGTTCTAATTCACTTGTTAAAAGAGAGGAGAAAATGGTATTTATGTTTTGCAAAAAAATATGTAAAATACTACTTAAAAATATTACTTTAAACGCCCGAAGATAATAAAAAAGATAAGTTGATGGATCATCTCTTAAGAGAGATGATTTAGCTACTTTAGGTTCTAGAAATTTATTGTTGAAAATAAATGCGATTCCTGTCATCTACGATTAGTTTGCTTTCGCGTGCCACCAGTGCCACCACTGCCACCAGTGCCACTTTTAGACGAAAATGCCATACCCAGATGATTCAGCTACTTTAGGAGGTTCTAGAATTTTATTGTTGAAAGTAAGCTACATACCTTGCGTAGTCAAGCGGCAAACTTGCTGAGATGATTTCTGCAAAGATTGTATAAAATGAACGAAAATTTAAAATATTGTAATAATATGATGAAGCAGGCACGCATAACAGAAATGTAAAAAGATAGATTCTCATATACTATACTTCCGGTAATTATATCAGCAAAATATTTTAAAATTGTATTTCTATTTTGTAATTTGTATTTCTATTCTCGCGTCAGTTGCAGCAGCTATGACTGAATCAGAAAAGCAATATAATATCTTTGCAACATTCTTCAAAATAATTTTTGATAGGTCACATAACAATATTTCATGACTAATAAATGCATACGTGAACTCTCTCATGTTATATACATATAATTTTATTTACATTTTGACATCTTAATTTAGTTTCTGTTTGACGATGTGCATTGAGGTGGTCATGAACGTGAAACCTGGTGTCAGGTAAACCTTGCCGCAATAATAATTATTCAAAATGTTAATTGATTGATGTGCAATTTTATTAATGCCATAAAAATTCAATTTTTAGCAATTTCTTGCGTAGCGACTGGACAGAAAGACCTCAAAGTATAATACTTGGGCGTATTTTGTCACAGGAGTATTTCTCTATAGCGCTACCAACTGATAGCATATCGTAGGCATAACTAACCAGTAATCGACGGGGTGTTTAAAGGCCGACACTAAAACTCAATCTACCTCATAATATTTGACGTTAGAAAGTCAATAGAATAGTGGGTAAAATTACCGAATATATCGCATTGGTAGCCGCACGTTTGATAACAAGCCCTTGACATGATAGTTTTCTTTGTTTGTTGTTTTGTTTGTTTTTACTCCAATGTAAAAAGATCAATTCGCTCTTGATTGCCCATTATTTATTATTTCCGCCAGCATGTTTTTCTAATAAATTTAATGAAGGCTATTTTAAAAACCGAAATTCATCTGAGTATTGCACTATTGTGTTGTTTTTAGTCTGGCGCACACAATCCTGATAACTAAAAGTGCCATAACACAAAAAATAATATCAAGAGAGCTATGCTCAAGTAGAAAGGACACGGATGGCAAAACGAAATATTTCATCAATATTTCCCTAAAAAATTATATGCGGTAGCTTACCAGTACCTGTATCGCGGTACCGTGTCTGTCATAGCTTTTCCAGGTCCTGTGACGATGATCCATTCTTCATAATTCAGTTTCAACGTGAATTGAAATGATCCAAGTGATCCGAGTCACTTCTGTATTACCAGATCTGGTACCGCAGTCTACCATTCCCCATAAGAAAGCTTCCCAAAATCATATGCGGTAACTTACCAGTACCTGTATCAGAGTACCGGTAACGGTATAGGAACTGTCAGTTTCTGTGACGATGATCCATTATTCTATTTCAGTTTCAGCGTGAATTGCAATACCAATAGATCCAAGTTACTTCTGTATTACTATTTGAACTAAGAGAACACAATAGATAGGTATTGAGAATAAGAGGACTGGACACAGACCTAAATTGAATACGCTGACGTTGAATGGCTTCACTGGAAAAAAGCATTTGAAATTATCTCTGGAAACATTTCCAACTGAAAAACTGGATGAATTGTGAGTTTAAATATACTATGCGTGTCCAATAATTTATAAATACACTATAGAAACATTACAACTCATGGTAAAACTATACCCACGTTGAAAGGGTATGTATACCACAATCAAGATTCTTTAATAAAATGTAAATTTATATAATACTACTTAATCATTGCAGGTTCGGATGCAAAGTTTCTGGTGGAATCCCGATTTTAAACGATAAGTGGCTGACTGCGCAAATAATCTGAAACATTTGAATATAAAAACTTTCACCTTATCTGCCATCAGTCAGTTGTGTAACTTCTCAGTTGTTTCTTCTAATCTATTATCATTTGCTCTAGACATAAACGGTAGAGCAACGCTGTTTACGTCTGTTTTGTTATTACAATTGTTACTGGTGGGTCAACTTTCCACAACTAGTCCATACGAGGTATTTGCCATATTAACAAGCACGGTGTCTTTTAAGTTATTGCGCAGCTTACACCTTGTTGTTACCTAGCAATAACCAAGTCAAAATTTTTGGCTCTAACCTCGACAAATGCACAGGACTGAAAAAATACTATGCGCCATGCAATGCAGAGGAGACTTCCAATAAGCCAAGCGGATGATCGGACTTTTTTTATCGGATTGTTTATGGTAATTGCGGAAAGCGAGTGAAACAACGCGACCCACGTGGCATCATCCCTGAACTATCTGAAGATTATATTAATCGTTGCGAACTGACTTTTGTGTCATTTGGTTAGGGCGCATCGATGTTGTGACACTTGTGAATTATTATTTTTATTTCAGTCCATTAGCGATGATTGAGTGAATAAATCTAGAAAACAATCTAGATCACTGTTTCCCAACCCGAGTTCGCGGTCTCAAATGAGTCCGCGGAGCGTTTGAATTAGTCCGCAACGAGCCAGAAATTCAGCCACGTTGCGATTTACGTTAGAATTTACATAAAACATAAAAAGCAAGTTTAGTAACATAACATTAATCGAGTCAATAATTACTGGTTACTGAGTATATCTGGGCATATATTCGAATATTCAACTATTAGAATAGCAATTTACTATTCGGAAATTTGGTAACAGGTGACGCGATAGGTCACTTGCGCTCAATCAGACGATTGGATTTCACGGTGACCGTGCATTTGAACCCATGTGTATATCCGCGGGTTCAATCTATATGCGGGCGCTAAAACCCTAAGTGGTGTTTCTCGCGAGTTCTCACAACGAGGAATAATTTTTTTTCTGATTGGTATCAATGGTGGCAACCCAAATTTTCTAAATTGAAAAGCAGCAATAAAAAATACTAAAAATAAAACGAAAACACCATAAGTTTTGTATTATGATGGTCCGCGACCGATTAAAAACGCTTTTTCGACATTGCAAATCGCGAAATTTTGGATGCTACCGTACCAGGTGTTGGCGTAGCGTAGGTGTTGTACGAACAGCTCAGATTTGACGAATTCACAAAAATACGAATCAAAACAAAATATAATCGGGCACTTTACCCCGCATCTTTGTAGTATTGCTTTTATTTCGTCAACACAACCGCAGATTAAAATGATCACAATAAAATTAATAATAAACCATGGCGATGAATATGTATTTTTGATTTACCAATATATATACTTCAAATATATTTTTAATAAGTACTGAATCAAGTTGTACTTTCTAAAAATTTATAGCAGATAGTAGGATTTTTCTAACGGCGATAACAAATTAGCAAGATCGCAAAAAATATGTATCAAAACTAAGTATAATCGGACAATATATTCTCACATTATTATGTTCACAGATTGTCATTGTATTTTAGAGAAGTAATGCTTTCATCTTATCGTAGTTCGACGCAACCGCGAATTATCATGAACACAATTAAGTTAAAATAGGAATACATTTTAAATTCTCGTCGTTGTTATGGATTGAATATTGTGCGTCAGAAAAGGCCATTGTTGAAATTCGTTAAAATTCTGTTGTGTTCGGTTTTATTGCCTGTTCACACAGAGTATACGGTTGCAATAAACGCACCTTTAGTCCGCAAATGGTTTCGCCGTTAAGAAAATAATCCGCGACCAAAAAAGGTTGGGAAACGCTGATCCAGATAAACGTTCTCCGAAGAGTATTACTACAGCTATTTTTATTGGAACATCCTTTCTTTGACCCGCATAGCTTTAATGGATATTATAATTTAATTAATCTCAGTGCAGTTGGCCATTACGCAAATCACACTCTGACACTGATGTGATTTGTCCGCATTACAATAGTTAGTTTGAATATTGATGATGATATTGAATAAATTTACCTGTTGCTAGACAAATATCCAACAGAAAAACCGGTACGTTTTAACCAGAATTTTTTACGCATAGCGCACATTTAAATACTTTCCGGTTTAGATGTCGATGCGTTATTTTTGGATAGAGCAAACCAAATATATGTAAAGTAGTTCCTTATCAACGTAGCATTTATTTTATATACATATTATAGCTGTAATTTAGAAACAGTTTATTCAATTAGTTTATTTTGTACATAATAACGTTTCATATATATATATACTTGAAAGCAAATATACCGAAAACCAATCATTAAAGCGCAACCGTATTATACTATATAGAACATATAGAACTATAGCGAAATATGGTTATAATTTATATGGTCTAGTTTTAGTATTTGGTATTTTGTAGTGTTAGTACATTTTAGCGTTTCATTCTGTAGTGATAACTGAATAAATTACAATACATCAGAAATGAAAAAATGCTTGTAAAAAGGTTGAAGAGACGAATCCGTAATGTGCAATTTCATACTTTCAACTCGTCTTGTGCTTCAAATGTAGGATTTTCTTGACCGTTTTTATGTTTTAAAATATCATTGGCAGGAATGCGATCCTAAAAAAAGAATTTTTTAAAAGAACTTGTGTTACCTTTTTATATTCAAATTTGTTAAGCTAAAATAAATATATAACGACTACGAGATTTAACTGAATTTTTTTCTATAAAAAACTGTCTAAACATATTCATATCTGGAACGTCTAGAGGTTCTTAAGAACAATCAAATTTGTACTAAGCAATCAACATTCAATTTCTTTTTTCATCAGCTTTGAGTCGTTACCTAGTACTTACGAATATTGGGTGATATTCGATATAAGCTTAAAATGGGTTGATTCTTGAAATCGCATATTGGTGCTTATTTATATTAGTTATATTATTATCTTACTGTTTTATCGTCTACTTTATCATGATCCACTCCACACCACATCATCTTTCTGAAAGATTTTGGTAAACATGACTTCAGTATAGGGTGATCGAACAAAGGTACAATCAACTTCGGATCGACATGCTTCACGTTTCTGTGTCCACCTAAAAAAATAAAAATCACAAAACAGTTCGACCGACGAAACCCGGCATGATCATTTGATAAATTGATCCTTAACATTTATATTATATTACTGCAGTATTACTATGATATCAAGCTTACCTGTTAACAAACTTATTATAAGACCAACCACTAAAGTTATTCCGAATCCGATTGGAGCGTAGGAAGTGTAAGAGACGGAGTAAAAATCTGCCAGTGGTGGTCGTGGTTCAGGTCCTGGAAGCTGAGGAACCGCAGTTGTATTAAATACCTCCATTTCGGATGTGACCGGTATCGATGTCATCATTTCCATTGTAGAATTGATTAATAAATCGGTAACCGGAACTGGGCAACCTGATACACTGCGATATTTAGGCTTTAGAAACTGAACAGGTAGACGATAACGTTGACTTCCAGCATAGATCCATGTTATTATTGCAAGGCCAACAACGAATCCAGAAAACGTTCCCTGTTATGAGAATTAACGAACAACATTGTATTATACATCACACTTTTCAACATAGATGCCAGCAACCTTTTCTTCAATTGCGGAGAGGTTTGGAACATAATTTTTTCGCGGATCGGCCGTCAAAAAACTGCTAATCTTCGGCTATCAACATTTTTTTAGCACATTTTTATTCAGCAGTGAGCACATTGCGATTAAAATACCACAAAAAGACGGTTCTTGTATTTTGGCGTTATTCAACACAAAAACACCCACAATATGTGTCATATTGGTGATTGTTTTTACGTGTTGTGAGCTTTGCGTCCCGGACGTCAGATTGGCCATGGAATATTACACAATCATATTTTATATAAACGTTTTGCAGAAATTGTGTCTAGCGATAAAAACTGATTCAAAAGATTTTACCTGGCGAAGTGCCAGGCGAAGTGCCAAACTTGCACCAGGCCACGATCCCGTGATTGCCGAACAATATTCAAAACATATGAAAAGAAAGTCACTTAGTTCACATTAGGAACTTCGAAAAAAAAGTAATAACATTTCTTTCGTCGATTTGTAAATAAAAAAAATTGCTTACATATGAATTTGCTGGCGGAAACACTATTCCAAGAGTATATATTCCCAAAGTTGGGCCTCCTATAACAGCAAGTAACGTCAGTGTAGTTTGTAATACGTTGCCAAGAATACTCGAGAGACATGCAAAGCCAATAGTTAAAAGGCCATACAAAAGTACCAGAACTGAAATAGAAAAAAGGAATCTTTTTAGAATTCAACAATTGAATATAGTAATTTTGTGAGTTGATAATGAGAAAAGGATGGAGGAAAAGCAGGATTGGAAAATAAAAATTAGGTGTAAAATTTTTTAAGAATATTAGAGTGCAAAACTTTTATTTTGTCTCTTCTCACATATGGCGTATATACCTTTTGCGAGAATAGTCATAGTGCGATCACTCCATTTTACAAACGGTCGAATAAAATCTTCCGACGTAACACATGCCATTGCATTAATACCAGAAGAGACAGTGCTGCAGATGAAATGAATAGTTATTTACTTATATATATTTTAAATACATTGTAATCATATAATTACTGTCATCTCACGACCCAGTTCTCTAATACCGGTCGACTTATTCAATCCCACAACTATACATAATCTGGGACAATTTAAGTATAGTATACACACAAACTTTCGAACTAATAGTCTTCAGATGCTTAAACCTTTTTTTTATATATTTATATGAGATTATTGAATAAATACTCTCTACTGCTGGCGTGTCTTATTAAAGTGTGTATAAATGGAAAATAGATTGCTTTCACAACAGTCTGGTCCCATACAAATACCATGCTTGCAGAACGTTCTGATTCGCCCATATTCTGCATTTGGGTTCACAATTCAGGCGAGTAGGAGTAACAGGTTTTGCTTGAACCGTGAAATAGCGGTTTAAAAAATGAATATTCGAAAAGTTGAAACAGCAAAGACTTGGACAGTTTTCTTCGAATAAAGCCACAATTTATATATCAATAAGAGCCACATGGATATCAGCTTACAAGATAAAATTCATCGGAACATCAATGTAATACGATACCTTAAGGATCCTGCAAATACAGCTGCTAAAAATGCCCCGGAAAGTCCAGGTTGATTGCGGAATATTCGTAAAACCATGAGTGGAACCAACTAAAATTAGGTATGCAAAAGAAAAGAATTATATGTGCCAATGTATACTCATTTTTCGGATTAAAAGTAGTTCACAAAACTTTTTATCACACAGTGATAGTTCTCATTTTTTAAATAGTTATCATATTATACAAAATGTAAAACTATACTTTCGGTAGATCATAAAGTATTTAGAAACTTATTTTCCGGACTGGGTTTTAAGTGACTGCTTGGATTAGATTAGCCTAAAATTATCCGGCATTTATATATTTTGCTAGGCTTTTCACGTTTTGAAGAAAAGAATACCTGGTCTGCTGAAGATACTTCCCTAGTCATCAAAGGGTCACAATTGTGAAAGTAGGCGTAAGTTACTAATCCGATGAGTAAACAAAGGAGAAGAGACAACGCAATGAGAAGCATTGAAAAAACCAAAGCTCTGAATATACAAAATAGAAATTAATTTTTATATGAATTCTTTACTATTGTATGTCTCTTACGGTCGTAACTAATTTTTCTTCACCACTCTTCAGCAGAAAGAAGTTTGATATAGGTATTGCCTTCTTCCGTCATAACATATAGAATGGTTGATTTCTCTTTTTATACTAACAGCGATCACCAAATTTATGCACAAAAAAAGAAAAAAAAAACAAGATTTAAAAAAAAAAACGCTTAGTATTAGAAAGACGAGAGGGAACGAAATTATTTCATTAACTAGTGTTTATATTATCTGCTTACTGATTTGCTTTTCTTGGTGATGAACAAGCCAAGTAACGTTGAACTTGTGACTGCGTGGTTGCATACATACTTCCCCAGAGAAAGGTCAATCCAATTATTAAATTCCAGAACGTATGACGAATTCTGGGATCGAAGTCGAAACTGTAAATAATGAGAGGTAGATAAGTCGAGATTCATTTAAAATGTAACAAGTCTGTAGGCGCCCAGGACATGTAATCATGCACTCTTAGGCAAGAAGATTCAAAATTTAGTAAGAAAGGAGATGAAAGATAGTCATTGGAGTTGAAAACAATAAACGAGAGAAGCAAACGACGAGAGATATGAATAGAAATATGAGACAAAGAAAAAAGAAAACTCACTCATTGAACACAAAACGATTTGTGTCATGATTTATGCGCCATACTTCATGCCAACCTCCAATACTGTCTGCACTCATAAACAATGTAACGATTAGCATGACAATGACAACAGCTCCTTGAAACACATCTGTCCAAATTACAGCTTTCAAGCCACCCTGGAATAGTATAAAGAACAGTATAAAGAACAGTATAAAGAACTATTAGTTGTTGTCTGTGAATAAAATTGGGTCAAATTAGACGAATTGTAAGGTAAGACTGATAGGAGTGGATATATGGGATTTCGTAAGAATGTTATGTCAGAGTGTACGAATTAAAAGTATTTATGGTTGCAAATATAATTCTCGGTGGTTTTCGCGAGTCCGAAGTTATGCCTTACAGTAGACCTGGGTATTTTCGAATATCTGATGATTTCAGAATCAAGTTGAATCTTGAAAAATATGTAATTGTAAAATATATTACATGGACCTACGTGTATGGGCTAATGTAAATTAGGTTGCGTGATACTTAGCGCAAAAGTTTGTAAAATTAAATGGAGAATATTTCTCATAAAGAAATTCTTACCAATGTTGTATAAATGGTGCAAACAATTCCAATAGTAAATATTGCTGTCCACAAATTCATTCCTGAAACTATATGAAAAATAATTAGTTTATATTATTGATATTTATACAAGCTAGTACAAAATACACGAATTTTAACAATATTTATCAAATATTCATCACGGTAATATGAGGCCACTCATTGCTCATATATATAAGCATTTTCAAGATCTCCTCTTTTTTATCACAACATGAAATTATTCTCACCTTGAGCGAAGGCTAGAGCTGGGGCGTATATCATTACACCTATATATACTGCATTTTGAGCAATGTAACCCAGTGTTCCAAGTAACCGAACTGGGTAACTGAATCGAAGCTCGAGATACTGTGATAACAAAAAGTGCTTTCAGTAAACAGAACAACATACCGGAAAAATTTCTCATCGAGTCAGCTTGGAATAGTTGCTAATTAACGGCATAGGATCATTAGCGCAGAGAGAAGACTAGAATATACGGACACAAAGGCGAAAACGAGGTAGTATCATTTCTTTTACAGTGGCGGTATAGTCTGACCACCAGATCACTGAGATGTGAACACGGAACCACGGCACGCCATTTTTAATTTTGATGATGTCGTCAAAGAAAACTTCGAGGCGAAAAACGAATCTCATAGAGCCCCCAGATATTTTTGAAATAAACAAAAGTAATAGTCTTCTAGCACAACAACAAGCTGAGCCACTAAGAAGGTAATTGGTCCAGTGGCTGAAGAGAGAGGCAATAAAATATTGTTGTAATAAAACAAATATGGGATTGTTGTCAATATTAGTTAGAAAATTACTGTATTTGTACTGAATTACTGTATTTTCGTAACATGAAAATTTTTTTAAATTTCGTTTCATAGACTTTAGGGTTGACATTTAGCCCAAATGCAGATCAATAAAAATCTTCGTAAATAAAACTTGAAAAATGTTTTTCAAGAGCAAGACTGAAACTAATTTTAATAACTTTTGTATCATTTTCTATTAGGCTTGGCAGTTTTTAAGGTAAAAAATATTTTAATGTTTATATTTCTTATTTTACTGTTAGTGTTGATTCACGTTACCTGGACGAAAACAATAGACCATTGGTTAATTTTGTTATCTTGATATAGAAACTGATTGTAAAATCAAGTTATTTATTCTAGAGCAACTATAAAGTTAAGTAATAAAAACTTACTTCGTAACTACTTGTAATATTCAGTCGGAAATATAAAGGAATGTAGATTTGAGTAACGACCACCATCAAGATAAATGGGGTTATTAACACCCTGTAAAATAAGATTGAATTTAAAAACCAAAATGCACCAATGAGAAATAATCAATTTCAATAAACCTATGTGGTAGTCAACAGTGGCATAAAAGATCCCACAAATTGGGAACAAGGTATAATTCAGATATAAATAAGTCGACATTAACGTCAGTTTCTTATTAAACTCATTTTTTAGTGATTTGAAATATTTGGAAAAAGACAATGCGATAGCCATATCTCGTAGCCATATATATATATATATATATGAGTAGTATAAATATAAAAAAAATGAATGAACGAGGCAAAAATATATTCCCTCAAAGCGAAATGTTTGTCTAAAATAGAAGCAACCAGTCATACCAAAAAAACATTGTACCAAAGAGGTAAACATCCGCTGGAATTCCAAGAACCGCACTGGCTGATAAAAATGTAAAACTGAGTGAGAAGCCGACAGCAAACACATTCATTTTTCTAAACGTAACATGATAATTTGTATATAAATAATAAAGTTTTAAATTCGAAAACGTTATTAATTCTTCTTTATTTCCATAAGGTTTCTACTCACCTGCCAGCCATCAAATAATTTTGAACGCCATTTTCTTTTCCTCTATCTTTTATGCTGTAATATATTCCAATTGCCAGTGACACAGCTAACATAACACCAAAGACAGCGTAATCTCCCGCTACGAGAAAATACTGTTCAGCAGCCATGATTTTGTATATATATATATTCGTATTCAGCTATTATAACTGTTTCATATTAACATATATATACTCTTTTATTCAAAACATCCGTATTTAGTAATGAACTGATATACTTTTCTGAATTGCAAAAAATTTTCATTCTATAACTACGTGTTGTTATGTGAATGTTACGTCGACCTTTCAGTGATTGGCATCGCGTGACTGGTGACTTGACCCAACGAAATGCATCGGTGCATTTTACTCAAGCATTTCTAGATCGTGGTGCTATTCTGAAATATATTTTTTATTTTGTGCGGAGCCAAATATGGTTGAGTCACCGATTATCTTCGACTCATGCCAAAGACTTAAAATAACAACATTACCATGGTTGAACATTCCAACGAGTTGGCGATTCAGGCTATAAATAGTCTAAAACATTTTTACTATTTTTACGAAATGTAGTAAGTTATTGAAAACCAAGTTTTACAAAGCTTCAGTTGCAAACTTGCGTAGACTTTAGCAAAGTTTATTTAAAGCGTTATATTAAACGCATATTGTTGATAATTGTTTAAAATTCGATTACTGCCGAAGTGTTTGGAACACCAATAATAGAACTTTGAAAAGTTTTAAAACTCGTTCGTAACCAGAGCTTAGCTGTTGGTCAACATAATAACATCGTTATTGTTAAAATCTCCTTTTTCACTGATAAAAAAAAACTTGAAAAGTACGCTGCAAAATACCCTTCAATATCATTTCATCCATCAAGGATAGCCAGCAGAAATCTACTGTAAACTACTTTTGTAACAAGGTATCGAATTACTCATTATGCCATATCGTGTTCCGTCCAGTCGCACGACATTGGAGTACATTGCAAAGACTTAATCTTGTTGTCTTTAGAACTGATTTTATATTCAGAAAAGGCGCATACAGATATAGCGATACATATTGATAATCTCTTTGTTGAGACAATTTGTTGTTGAATTTCGTTATTGAAAAATAGATGGATCAATACGAGAAATAATAAAAGACCGAGTTATAGAGGAAAAACGATATTCTGATAACACATGTTTCCTTCAATGGCTTAAAGGTGTACATCGGCGCACTTTGAAAAACGGTTTCGTGGTTGAGTTTTTAACTTGTATATTAAATTCATAGTTTTTAATGGATAAAATATTTTTTGACTGGATAATAATTGAGTTTAGTGTTTAATACTTCAATAGAAGGATTTCTCATACATACTATACATTTCGATACAGGTTTTCACTATTCAATCCACTTTCAAGCAGATGTTCTGTAATAATTCATGTCTGATCTAAAATATGGTACGTGAGCTCTTGGATTGCCACTTTCATTGTCTGGTAGGTAAACATAAGTTTAAAAGGTTTCGAGACGTGGTGTGGGCATAATTGGATTTTGTTTCTCAACTTTGTTCTTCGCTCGATAGCCGCACAATATCACTTTGTCTAGGTGGAAATAACTGAGAAATATTACAAAAATTTGTCCTACATAAACATGTTCTATATTCTTCCACTAGTGATTTATAATGAAAGTATCTAAGTCAAACTGATGCCTATATATGGTTCTTATTTGTATAATAATATCAAATATCATCGTGGTGTTGTGATAGTATAAAGTTAGAACGTGGTCCGTCAAGATCCCGTTTATTATTCGTATTCATGCAAGGAAATTTTTCTTAGCATAGAATCTGTAGTATACGTTTCTGCCCTGTTCCATCCCCCCAAAATTCAAAAGTTTGACAGACAGACTTTTTAGCTGAGTGAAATAAAGGAATAAATTTATCATTGCAATGTGATTGTCATCAGTTAAATAATGAAGAAAAGTTGCAAATAGTACTTTGAAGAATAAAAATATTTACAGTGAACATGTTTAAATCTCAATAATTATGAAATGCAGTATCGATGACACGTAATTAAATAAATGAGATGCAATTATCGCACAATACTAGTTTTGAGGAAAATTAACTATACTGCATAATGAAAAAATAAATAAACGATAGCAGATAAGCTGGTGATTTTATAGTTTTTTTCCCTAACATAAACAAAAACAGTTTCACTATATTAACGAAATGTTTTAATTTTTGTTTGCAGCTCAGTCATGGTTGTCTGGATTGACTTACTATTCATTCCATTACTGGAAAGACTTGCCAGCTATTACTAATAATTGATACCTAGCTTTACGCAGTTTTAAAAATGACTCTTCAGTAAAAGTTCAATCAATTTTTTACAACTGGTAATCTAATTCTGTTATTCGCAGCTATAATCTCTCGACTCTTCATCTTATCTAAATAACCTTGTGCCACAGATCTCATACAGTTCCGTCTCATGGCCTATCCAAATGATGAATACAAAAGGAATGTGATAGTGGAAAAAAGCATAATTTGTATCTTTGAAGGCAATACTCCACAAGCCCCGCCGTCTCCCTTTTCATCTTGTCCAGCCGAGGAGCTGTCTTTTCCACGTTCGTTGGCAGGGTCCTTTTCGTTTGTTTTATCTACAAAAACAGAAAGTTTTGAAATTTTAAAATTATTAGAAAATGACTATTGTGGTAATATATAAGTCATTTTGAATATTTCATGCATTTATTTATAGATGGTGCTTCTAATTTTACTGTGAACACCTCTCCTATACAACAAAAGTTTTCGATAACCAGCGAAGACTGACACATGATGGGATGAAACACTCACCTTGGCATTGTTTTAATTCACATCTTGTTACAGCATTATTTTCACCAACACATGGAGGTCCTTCATTACCAGTTATACACACTCTTTTTCTCGATTTACTTCCTTCGCCACAAGTTGTTGAACAAGAAGTCCATTCAGTCCATTTATCCCACCCTAAGCAAAAATATAACGCATAAAGATGGCGATATCTCCACGTATAATGGACCATATAAAATACGGAAAATATGTACTTTTTTACAAATATTCATTAAATTATCACTGGCAATGCTATTTATAGGATATATTTTTTCTTTATTTATAACTTTTGGCCACTTGGTTTTCAATTATTTGATCACCAATATATACGGTTTCTACAACAGACTTTACAAGTATTTTTTAAAGTGCTTAGTTTCTCTGCCACCATTCTTATGATAGGTTGGTAGTTGCTGAGTTTAGAATAATCCAAATTTCACGGTTTCGCGTGCTGATCAAATTTTTTAAACACGAATGGAGTGGTTGATGTAGGTCAGTCAATGTCTGGGCACTGTAACGCGAAATCTATATAGCTTACTTTAAATAGTATTGCTGTATATTAGCGATTTACTCTATACAGCATTATGAAATCGTGAAAATACCGATAACATCAAATGAAAAGACCTACATTGGCCTACATTATATACGTAAATTACAAAAATCATTAAATTTACTTGATTTCGTGCACTCCGTCATCTTGCAAATTATGGTATCCACCGTGCCTCCAACACAACCTGGACCGTTCTCGCATATTCTAGAACGAGACTTTGTACCTTCATCACACGTTGCATCACAACTGGACCAACTCGACCAGTTTGAAAGTTCTGAAATGTAATTGCAATATTTAGAACTTAAACTTGTAAAAATGACACATTAAACATATTTATTATAATTTTAAATAAACTTAAATTAGTGATTGTCTGCATTATGGTAAGTATTACCTTAGTTTTGTATCACACGAATAAAACAATCACATCACAAACGTCAAATTTAGTCAAAAGATAGGATTATTTGTTGCGATTTACTTCCAAAAATCGAAAAATTATGGCCAAAATCTTTATAAGCAATTATTACCTGGGCATTTTTGCATCCTACACGATCTAATCCGATTGGTATCTCCAATACAAGATTTTGGCCCCGAGTTTCCAACATTACATATTCTGGTACTTGTCTTCTGTCCTCCACCACACGATACACTGCATTTTCCCCAGGGTGACCAAGGACTCCAACCTAAATATTTAGAAAAAATTGCATGTTTTTTATGTTGAATGCGCCATGCAAACCAAACCTCTGTGGCCATTTTAAATTGACATCGCCTGAGTTGAAGATCTTTTTCACAAATATCACTATAAACGAATGGTCATGATAAACGAATTGAATTATAAATAGAACTATTTTAATCAAGAATTTCGCATATTAGTTGTCAAATGTGATGCCTATCTACTATTCACAAGTTTAATCACTTACATACGGACAGAAAAATCGTGTTATCCTTGGTGATATTTTTTTAAACTATTTTCATCACAAACAACACTTAATTGTGACCGCTAGATGGTAATAAAGAATCTTAATTATGTAATAAAAAATGGAAACGATTTGAAGAGGTAATAAAACGCCTTCGGAAAGATCTTCAAATGCACATTTTTGGCCGATTCACATCTAAGGTATCGTGAGTAATAGTATGCAATTGGCCGAAAAAGCATGCGAGATAGAGAAAAACTCTTTAATATATTGGAGATTAAATCACGATTAATAAAACTAAGTTCCGGAAATGAAATCTAAACCAAAGTTATGATGTGCTGTAATTCTTCAGTCAGTGGTTATTTGTAAACAAAGTATGAAACTAATAAAAACTAAAAACTAATTTTGCTGAGTAAATCGATTTTTTTACTTCTTCATTTTGCTTTGCTTACCCGATGTTGTACATGTCGGTGTAGAACAAATCATAGCGTCAGTGTTTTCCCCGTCACAATCGTCATCGTTTGACGAGCTACACACCCTTGTTCGTATTCGATTGCCAGATCCACAGGTGACGTCACAAGGACCCCAAGACGACCATTTGCCATAGACTGTTATATGAAATGGTGATTGGAACACGATTTTTTCATTTAAGAAATTGAAGGATACTATGAAATGAGCACGGTGGTCTTCTGTGGTTTTTATTTTAGTTTGTAAAGTTCATTCTAATGACTTTAAATCCTTTGTTTTCATAACTTCAAAAAATAAAATAATACTGGATTTCTGGAGCGATTTCAGGATTATCGAATAATATTAAAAATATATTCTTCGCAAATGTAGGAATGACTCAGCTTGCAATCTGGTCGAAACTTTCCGATTGATTTATTTCGAAGATAAAAAGATTAGTATTTATATAAACAGATTCTAGAATAGCTAAAAATATACCGCTGAAGAATAAATAACACATTAACGTAAAAGTTAATAGCCTTAGTTGATGATTGAAGTCACGCAAATGAAGTAAGCGTAAGGCAAATCCGATTATATTAAATAAAAGAAATGAGAATCGTTATCTTTATTGAAATGTTCGGTTATTTACGTAAAAAGCGAGCAACGTCAACTCATACTTTATTTTACCGAAGTCAATTGAATGGAAGTTTCGGGATCAAGTAAACATACAATGTGGGGCGCTCCAGTAGTATGTGCAACAAGATGGCAAACACCCAAACACAGTATGTGTATCAGGTTAGGGTTGGGCCATAATTGTATTCCAATTTTCCTTATCCTAGTTCTATTACGAGTTCGTGGTTCGTGGAAATTAAACGTAAGGCAAATCCGATTATATAAAATAAAGGAAATGAGAATCGTTATCTTTATTGAAATGTTCGGTTATTTACGTAAAAAGCGAGCAACGTCAACTCATATTTTATTTTACCGAAGTCAATTGAATGGAAGTTTTGGGATCAAGTAAACACACAATGTGGGGCGCTCCAGTAGTATATGCAACAAGATGGCGAACACCTAAACACAGTATGTGTATCAGGTTGGGGTTGGGCCATAATTGTATTCATATTTTTTTTATCCTAGTTCTATTACGAGTTCGTGGACTCGCCAAGTGACTCCCGTAGTATTTGTACCTGATATTATGGCCTAACCCTAACCTGCTACACATACTACGTTCCGATGTCCGCCATCTTGCTGCACATACTACGGGAGTACCGAATGTGGTTGTCGAACATTGTCAAAAATACGATTAATATTAAACTGATTCTATGATCTTGATAGGTTTATTTCATTGCACTATTGTTATGCTTACTTGGACAACTTTCAACGTTGCACCTTTGTCCCTCATTTCTAGGACCTCGACAATCTCTTCCCCCAATGCAAGATCGAGACCTGGTCATAATTCCAGATCCACATGTTTTTGAGCAATCGGACCATTTGCTCCAGGATGAAAAAACACCTTAATAAAAAAAAATGTTTGAGTTAAATCGTTTTGGGACATTTTTAAAATATAAAATTGATTGAGATAATACTAAAGTATTTGAAAACAGTTTAACTAAATATGTAAGCTATCACTGTAAAAAACTTTGATTTTACAAATTATTTCCAGTTTTATCAGTACGTTATTACAACCCACGTCGTGGACAAAAATAAAACGTAACATTAATAATGATTCTGATTTAATTAAACGTCAATCAAACAAATAACACCAATAAGCAAGTATAGATTGATTTTGCGTCGATATAAAAAGTCAAAGTTACAACCATCATAACTGCAAAGGAAAAGTTGGGATATTTCGCTTATGTGGAAATATATATGTGTTTTCTCACAAACCTACACTTAAGTTAAACTGTTTCATTTATCACAATTTTTAGTTTTTATATCACTTCCATTAAGATATTGCAGCCCACTTCTTGAAGATTTGGATAGTAAATTACTTGATTTATAAGTTAGATGTATGATCACAGGCAATCACTCACCCGGGCATCTGTTGGTGTTGCATACATCCGTTGTTTCAGTTGCTCCTTCACAATTTCTTCCAGTTAAGCATCTTCTAGTTTTTGTTGTTGATCCTCCACCACATGTCTTAGAACAGACACTCCATTCTGACCAATCAGACCATCTGGCAACTTGAACACACAAAATATTGTTATTAATTTCATTCCTATTGAACTAGATGTTAGTGATACAATGTGGGAGATACAATTAGTTGTGTGTTATACTTAATACATCCTCCAATACTAAACGTAAAAGAAAACAATGATTCCGGAACTTTAGTTCTATTTCTTATTTCAATGTCAATTTTAGTGTTTTTTCGGGTATGTAAGGTTAGCTTTTGAATAATTTTTGTTCAGTCGTGCTTCTTATTATTAAAATAGACAAATAATGCCTCAGTTTGAAGTGTCATAACCATAGGTGGCCCAAGTTAGTTTGTTTTAATTTCCCAATTTTTCAAATGGAGAATGTCGTTCGTGTCATGAGTATTTGTAACATCAGCAAAGGAACTTATTTATTTTGTCAGCATATTATTTTTCGCGCTTTTTTGCAATTACTTACAACAGTTCACGGTGCAGCTTATGCATTTAGATAAATCCCTTTCTCAAGATAAAAAAGATTATAATCGAATGATAAGATCAAATTTACAAAAAATGCTGATATTTCATAATAACAATATATAGCTTACGAACAAAAAACAAGGAATTAAAACAAAGTCGTTTTTCTGAAATATAAGATTATTAGGTTATTTTTTTATCTCCTCAAAATTTCTGACTTTGCAAAAATATCATTTTGAACTCGATTAACGAGTACAACGAAAAAATAAAAATTGCGAGAAATTGTTTTAAAGATTTTATTTTTTTAATATTTCCTTTTATTAAAACCCAAACCATATATATCGTATAATTGTGAGATCACTTTGATACTGTCATTTCGATACTTTATATTAACAATAGGTGTGGTCAGTAGGTAGATATGAGCTATTATATATTTTAAAACCATTCAGATTAGCTAAACAAATGTTAAGAAATTCAAGATTTAAAATCTATTCCAATAATCTCACTATATAAGGAATCAAATTCGTCAAATCAGAGCTGAAGTAATTTTAGATTCAAATATCAAATTTAAATCATTTAAATGAACAATTATGAATTTACATACGCAGAAAATAGTCTTTTAAAACCCACAAAATATAATCTGTTTAGTATTTACCGATTTCACAGCGCTTTCCAGGAATTACAAAACAAAATAATAATAATTATGGTCAAAAAGGCGAAACAAACGATGACTCAAGCTTATCTAGGTATTAAGCAAACCGTGATTGAGTCTCTAGGTTGTAAAACTCGAAAGTATAAATTATTCACGATTTATATCGGAATCAAATGTTATATAACAATAAGTATATTTCCAGATTAAATCTTAGACGATATTTGACTCACGCGGGTTTTAATTAGTTCTACATCAAATAAAATCGAGATGCCCTTTTAAAAACACCAGATGTTTATAAATTTTAAACTTTGCTCGACATCATAGCACGTTTTTGAATATATTTGACGTTTATGAGGTCATACATCGGGGGATTAGAACTAACAAACAGATTGTGCATTTGAGCTCTGTGTCCTATGGACTTGGCACTTTTGGTACAATACCATTGTGACGGCTCAAACGTCCAAACATCATGGTTAAAGCCATATGTCTCAACATATTTCTATGTTTAGAAGAGGCTGAGCTTAACGGGAAACTTCAACTGGTTGAAACTTAAAAATAACGGAAAATATTCGATAATATATTACAAGCATTTGCTCGAAGTTTTTACTAATCTCCTTTCTTATTCCTAAAAGTCAGCAAAAATTAAATAATACACGTGCAGAGAATACTTCGACGATGACAATGTTTTATTATTATTATTATAAATGAATCCATATTTACCAGTTTCACAAGGACCCGGAGCACATGATCTCGTTTGTTCTTTTCTTCCTGGACACCGGGATCCTGCGCTACAAGATCTTTTCTTCTTTTGAACTCCTCTTCCGCAAGTAACAGAACAATCTTGCCAACGACCCCATTGCGTCCATCCTCTTTCCGGAGCTTTTAAAATATTTATATATTTTGAATTTTATCGATAAGGAACGTGTAAAAAATAAGAGGTTCACTGAAATTTTGCGATTATCAAATCTTGCAAAAATCACAAAAGGCGTTTCATCGGAGCGACATTGCGGTCCTACGTTGCATTATCGTATGTATTAATGTTATATATTTATAGGGGCTCCCGAAGTATGCGAACCAAGATGGCGGACATCGGAATGTAATATGTGTACTAGGTTAATTAATATTCTGAAAACTCAAATTAAAATGAAATGCATCTTATTTATTGTTAAAAATTAAGATAAATTTGCAATAATATACAGTGCGACTAGAATAATATTCATGAATTCTTAATATAAACTACTGCAAATGAGATTAGTTTAAAGTTACACAAAAGGCGTCATGCGTGAAGCATATTATTGTTTGTCATTACAACACTATTAATTCCTTGGTCTGTGTAGCTGACCATATGTAATGCTGACAAAACACAAAAGCAATAATTTGCTTAGTGTGAAAACGTTATCGGACTCATTCCGGCTGTTACAATTTGATTCATTCCATGATCACTAATAATACCAACGTATACTAAATTTCAAAAATTAGGTAATCTATATTCGCAATGATTAATTGCCAATTAAATCAGACTCTGATCTTGTTTCCTCCAAGAATGACCTAATCAGAAAATGTCAAACGGTTGTCCATATTAGGGATTTCCTGTCTCGTTTTAAAATAGAATGCGTGACAATGATGAATTGACGAATAAGGCCAGTTCAAATTATGCCCAACAGATTGGTTGAAGACAATTCGTATACATTGTAAAAAGTGCAGCGGACAACGGTCATATGTGAATAATTTTCCTAGTCCAATGGTTTATGCATAGCACCTAATGGTGCCTGGAATTAAAAATATTCAATCTTATTTATAAAAAGCCTGAAAATAAATACATCTTTACTTTTTTCTGTTTTATTCTAATTTTCAGTATTTTCATAAAATGACGACAAACGTATTAAAAAACATACCAGGACATTCTTGGTGGCAAGTTTGTGAGAGCTTGTTTATACCATTACAGGATCTTGGGTTTTTGCATTTTCTGGTTCTTACCATTAATCCGACACCGCAAGTTGTAGAGCATTCACTCCATCCTCCCCAAGGCAAAAACTCTGTAACAATAACCTAGTTATAAAAATTTTCTTATCAGAATTCCAATCTAGAATAAAGTTTATGTATCAACATTAAAGCCTTTTTGCCCTTTTACTTTAAACTGTCAGCGGAAGGTAAGAATAATAAACATCAAGGTCAAATAATAATTCTATCTTGGAATATGAGCGAGAATAAGCGACGTCATGCTAAACTTTTTTCTGCTATTTAAAGTAACGTTTTATTTTACCTTCCGCCCGTTTATATTGGTTTAGAATTTGTAATTTTTATGATACACGAAGATGGTCTTACGTATGTTTATTCTTTACAAGTTCTGACCAAAGTGAGGTGATTTTGTATGATTTACCAGAATTATAGGATTTTTACACCAGCGTACGATATTAAATATTAAAATATAGTTTCTTGAAGTTACAGCTTGAGTTTACTTAGTTCAATAATACATCTAATCGTTTTAACAAGATGTTTGAACGACGGGGCAACGCCTAAGCTTCTGTATTCAAACGCGAGTGAATATAAGTTGAAGTAAAAATGCTCAACTTACGATCGTCATTTCCGCTTGGCCATTTTGGTCCTAACCCGCATAAATTTTGAGAGCACGAATAAGTCATTTCTCTTGCAGCTCCTTCACAATCTCCCGCAACAAACGTATTGCAAGTCCGCTCTCTTGTCGCCATACCACCAATGCAGGTTTTGGAACATGTTGACCATGGAGACCATTCATTCCAGGAAGCACTAGATCCTGAAAAAGATATAGAATACGAAAAATTAGAAACAAAAGATATATTTTAGCTTAAGGGTGACCGTACATTTGAACCCACGTACATTTGATCCCATGCGTATATCCGCGGGTTCAATCTATATGCGGTTGCTAAAACCCATGGGTTAGGGTGAGTATGGGTTCCATTATCCGTAAAACAAAAACATTTCCATATGTGCAATATATGCAGGTGCAATTGCCATGGGTTCAAATGTTCGTGGGTTCAGATGTAATGGAACCTAGCTTAAGATATTCCATCAGACTTCAATAATTGATTCAGGACAGCTGTTTGGCACAGCAAAATCCACTCTTGTCGTGATTGGGGGAAAGGTGTAAAGAGCCTCATAAGAAATATATTATACCAATTTTTTACCATCGCTGTCTTGATCTCTAATCGTGTTTGTACATAGATTATCTTCACATACATCGCCTTTATCACAATCAGTGCACGAACGTCCAGCAGCAAAAGGATGCCTGCAGATGAAGGAATGTAGTTTAAAAAAAATTTTCAACACTTCAGCACTGTGGACTGTTTGTGTAAATCATGGATAGTTCATAGATCATTCCATTTAAAATATTGACGACTAAAATTTCGACCAAGACTGATATATCGATAACGACGAAATCTTTTTTAAGCTTGAAGCAATGGTGTATGATTAACACTAAGATGTAATTTTATTCTGGAATACATTACTTATATTTATAATTACAAATGAAATTATTAGGAATAAATTCCTGTGATATTTTTGTTTCTTTAAACAAAATCGTGATTTTAAATGATTTATTTTCGCATTTAAACAAAAGTAACATGTCGTATATCCAGTTCAGCGCTTAAAACTGGTTTTGCTCTTTTGATAACGATCTCTTGTTGCTTGACATTTACGCGTATTTTCATAAAAATCATATTGTTTAATGTTGCATCCGCGCAATGGTTAAACGAAGCAATGCACTCGCGTACAAGTTTAGTATACATCTGAAACACTCGGTGACATACTTGATTACGTACGACGTCCGTCGGATGTCTAGATAATTACCTTATTGACTAAATCAATTTTATCAAATCAAATGAAAAGCATTATTTTGGAAGGCTTGGAGCAATTATCTCATTATATCATGTAGGATTTTACAATCTTAGCTGTTGAAAACAGTAATGGCTAATATTCCTAACTATATTTCCTCGTTGAAGCTAATTTTGGGGTTTTTATTTAGGCGCTCCAGTAGTATGTGTACCAAGATGGCGCACAACCTGATAACCCTAACTTGGTACATATACTACGTTCAGGTTGTGCGCCATCTTGGTACACATAGTATGAGAGCACCCATAAAAGTACTTTTTCTACATTTGCAATTTTCATTCTGAATGACATTTTACAGAAGAATTTTTAATAAAGTCAAATGATGTATCAAATGACTAACCGCGACAACCGTAGTCTACCTGACATTCACAGAAAATCGTTATCAGATCATTCAAATCATAATTGCGAATTCAGTTACGCAGTTGTATAGCAATTCATGTGGGTAAGAGTAAGATCGCAGGTAGTGAGCTGAGCAGCGGGCTTGTAGGAAAGACGTCGGGCTAGTCTGACGCCACGGCACTGCCACGTGGTGGCGCAATATTTGCGGAAATATCGAAATTTTGGGTGAAACATCAAGCTTTATAAGACTTATAATAAATATAAAAGTAATAAGCTGCTGACCGTGTCAACCATCTTTTAGTATTGGAAATAGTTTCGGAGAAAAAAATACTTTCTCAACAACAAATGTCATTTCATCAACAACAACAATTTGGCAAATCGATCCACATGTACGTGTCCAATAATATGACATGTAGATTGAATGCAATCTTGATAAACATATTCAAGGATGCCATTACGTGTGATGAAAACGTATTTATAATATGAACTTCAATTTAAATTCCTAAGAATTCTCTAATCAATTAGGTCTACTTTTTTGACTATGTAAAAATATTTTTTTCATGACTGGTTTAAATTAATGATAGTGAACTATAGTGAGTTTTTTCTAATGTTTAATCACCCAATTATTTTATTGTGGAGTTATTATATTAATATAGGATTGCTGTGTATGTTCATGTGGCAAAAATTATCATCGAATATTAGAGCATCTTGATTTTGGTTTCATGGATCATTCATCCAATCGCATTTCAATCTGACATCAACTACCTACCACATGTAATAGATTTTCTTAGATGCCGTTTAAGGAAATAAGTGTGCTATATCTATAAACCAAAATGGTTTTACACTCATGATATGAATACAGATTATGAATTTCATAACACACTTCAAAGCTTTGCTTTCATCTCCAAAACTATTAGTTGAACGATTAGTTGAACCCAAAACATAAAACATTCAATAAAGTTTTATGTTTATGCTAAAAGTTTCAACATATTCAGAGAGTTAAATGTTTTTCTAGCTTACGTCATGGCTGTGGTTGTGAGCTGTGATTTGTTTACTTTATTTTTATTTCAGTCCTAGTAGTAATGTTCGAAAACAGTCAAAATAGTTTCCCACGTAGTGTTTCACTACTCCCGAATAAAAGCTCAGGACGTATTTCTAGAATACGCTGAAATGAAAAAAAATTTATAGAATATTTAAAATGTGCAGTATATTATATATCACCAATTTTCGATTTTAATCAATATATTCAAATATCATAAATCAATATATCCTCCTTGTAAAATGCATCTTACAATGCTCTTATAACCTATAAATTTCTATGATCGTAAACACACTTTCTTGACTCGATTTTTAAATAGCTTGAATCGTGGAAACATTTAATTCGAACAGACTAGTCATCTTTGAGGCTGCTTTCTCACACACAAAACTTAAATGTAATTTTTCAAATTGCAACTGAATCTTTTTGAATTATGATTGGTTAATTGAGAACTGAATATTTCTGAAGTTGAGTTGGGTTCAAAATAAATTACCTAATTATATCACTAAATATATATCTAATCTGATTATCTCTCTCACAGCACACGTACCAAAATTACTCAGTAAGTTTACTAAATGATTCAACATCTTCTCACCTGGGGTAATTTCCACCGGGGCCATAATTGCAATTAAAAAGAGTTGCGCTTTTCCAAATCCTTCCATTCACTTCAACTTTTTTACAAATTGTAACACCACAACCTACTTTAAATGTATCGTCCCAAGCAGTCTGAAAGAATTTAAATACCATTGAAGCCTAACTAACCATGTATGAAATTGATAACAAGTTCGGTAATATTTACCTGTGTGTAATGACCACACTTTTTTCCTGGTTTACATGTTCGCGATTCATAATCATAATCCACTTTTTCATTGTCCCACGCCGATACCGCGTTTGTCACAAGATTTGTGTCCATTAGTATTCCGGTAGATATATAAAGGTTTTCTCCAATGTATTCAAATCTCGAATGTTTTCGTTGCTATTTATAAATTAATTGAAAAACAATAAATACAATAAATATTCTACTCTAAAGACAGCTTTGCCTAAGAAGTCACAAAAATATTGTATTTGGAATAATCTTTGCGATTCGATGTATTTTTGATTCAATCAAATAAAAATTAGGTTGGCACGAGAAACCGGCGGATAATTTATTTATTACATCATGTATATGTAATGAATACTTGACCTTTGCAAAAAAAAACATTATTGCAGGAAAATATTGCACTTGAGATATTTTATACAAAATACGTAATGTATTCTAAATTCTGTTACAGACTTCCGTGTCAGTTCACTATGGCAATAGAGACGACGATCAAATCATAACGATAAATACATGCAATGCATAATATCTTTCGTTTTTGGGAAGTGAAAAATTAGTTACAAATAATATATTATATTATATGATTCAAAAATGGTTGCACATTTTACGTTTTTTTGTTTTATTTATTGGCTAAAATTAATTAAAAACTTAAAATTCCAACAATTAGTATACAATAAATGTACCTTCTTAAGTACTTTTAAATGAGTTTTCGTTTCCGGCGGAAATTTTTCAAGTTTTGTGGATTAGTTTCGAGTAAGTAATATATAAGTTGAAATAAGATCAATTTCTAAGTTACACTTGCCTTTATATTTAATTATATTAGAAATTTTCTAAAGTGTTATTTTAAATAATGACAACGAAGAACTAATATTATAGTCACAGACGTGAGTTTCTAATGATTTAATTACAAAACATTGTAACCGATGTCAACAAACCTTGTTATGCTCATAAATGCATTTTCTTGAATATCTAGTTGCAATGGTAGCTAATTCATCATCCCAAGTCATCTTTCTCATTTTTTTAGCAGTTGGTCGAACGATAGTTCTTAGGTGGTTATGTCTTTTGACAATTTCATTTTCTTGTTCTCCTGGAAATTTTTAAATTTCATATCATCAACATATTGTGGAAGTACCCTTATCATGATAAAACAATAGATGTGGTATTAAATTTTGAAAAAGAGGTGAGCGTTGGGAAAAAACAATTTTAAACTTTTTTTTGTTTGAAAGAAATCTGTTTTTGTGTTGATAAATAAGCATTTTGTCAAATCAATACGCTATTAAATATGCATTCGAGATGCATTTGACATTTGATAGAAAAAAAAAACTGTATTTGTGTGAGATTTGGTATTCAACTTATGCGTTTGAATTGTGTATTAGTTCAATAGAATGTATTTACGGAAGTCATATGTCGTACACATGATACAGTACTGTGTTATATAATATTGCAATAGTCCTATTTACTGTGGTTGAAATTGAACGTTAGCATAATTGAACGCTAGTGACAATAATTCTTACTTTAATATTGGGTGTAATTTTCAGATTTAAAGTGGAATATTTAAATTTTAACTTGATATTTTTGCGCAGGGTATAAAATATTATTCATCCTGAGGACTATTTGCGTTGTAAATTTAAAAAAAAAAAACGATGCGGTAAATTGCATTTGATGGCTTATCACTAGTATCGGCAATGTTGTCAATTTTCTGTACTGATATTTCATATTCCTATTAGATAAAAAAAAAATCAAAGTTTTCGCTTTAAAATTGATTCCGGCGAACATTATTAAGGAAATGGATTATTGCAAAGTTCAGAAGCTAACTAAAATCTCGGGGACTTCATAAATGACCAGCAGCCGTTATATTTAAGTACCCGAAGTGAGTTTAGGTCAGTTTGGAAAATTTGGAGCTTCCGAAGTATGTGTACCAAGATGGCGCACCTACTTCGGGAGCAGCTCTAATTAGGCTTCCCGCTGCTTGTCAGCAGGGAACCTATTGTATTCTTGCGTTTTATTATTATTATTATTTATTTATTATTATTTATTTATTATTATTTATTAGGCTTCCCGCTGCTTGTCAGCAGGGAACCTATTGTATTCCTGTGTTTTATTATTATTATTTATTATTATTATTATTATTATTATTATTATTTATTTTTATTATTTTTTTTTCAAATTGATCCTACAAACTTGAAATTCACCTCAAATGTGCAGAAGTTCTCAGCTAGCAATAAAATGCAAATTTTATGCATGACTGACCACGCTTTCACGCTCCAGTGAGCAAAACGCGTTTTCATTTTTTTTGCGATTTCTCAAAATTGATACATGTTATTGGGTTGCAATTCATAACAATGATAAATGGACATGTTCCGGATACGACATATCAAGGATACGCATGAGTGACCTCGGCGATACGCTCCAGTGATCAATATAGGATTTTACATTTTCATCTTCTTCTCGAGATCGACACTACTTAGAGACTTGAAATTTACATCACGAGCAGATAATAAGTCCCCCATCATAAATTGCAAATTTTATGCATGACTGACCAAGTTTTCACGCTCCAGTGAACAAAACGCGTTTTCAGTTTTTTTGCGATTTCTCAAAATTGATACATGCTATTGGGTTGAAATTCATAACAATGATTAATGGACATGTTCCGGATACGACATATCAAGGATACGCATGAGTGACCTCGGCGATACGCTCCAGTGAGCAATATAGGATTTTACATTTTCATCTTCTTCTCGAGAACGACACTACTTAGAGACTTGAAATTTACATCACATGCAGAGATAATAAGTCCCCCATCGTAAACTGCAAATTTTATGCATGACTGACTACGCTTTCACGCTCCAGTGAGCAAAACGCGTCTTCAGCTTTTTTACGCGGGAAGCCTGTTAAAGCTGCACGCAGCTCTAGTTTATTATTATTATTATTTATTTTTATTATTTTTTTTTCAAATTGGTCCTACAGACTTGAAATTCACCTCAAATGTGCAGAAGTTCTCAGCTAGCAATAAAATGCAAATTTTATGCATGACTGACCACGCTTTCACGCTCCAGTGAGCAAAACGCGTTTTCAGTTTTTTTGCGATTTCTCAAAATTGATACATGCTATTGGGTTGAAATTCATACCAATGATTAGTGGACATGTTCCGGATACGATATGTCAAGGATACGCATGAGTGACCTCGGCGATACGCTCCAGTGAGCAATATAGGATTTTACATTTTCATCTTCTTCTCGAGAACGACACTACTTAGAGACTTTAAATTTACATCACATGCAGATAATAAGTCCCCCATCATAAATTGCAAATTTTATGCATGACTGACCACGTTTTCACGCTCCAGTGAGCAAAACGCGTTTTCAGTTTTTTTGCGATTTCTCAAAATTGATACATGGTATTGGGTTGAAATTCATAACAATGATTAATGGACATGTTCCGGAAACAATATGTCAAGGATACGCATGAGTGACCTCGGCGATACGCTCCAGTGAGCAATATAGGATTTTACATTTTCATCTTCTTCTCGAGAATGACACCACTTAGAGACTTGAAATTTACATCACATGCAGACAATAAGTCCCCCATCATAAGTTGCAAATTTTATGCATGACTGACTAGGCTTTCACGCTCCAGTGAGCAAAACGCGTTTTCAGTTTTTTTGCGATTTCTCAAAATTGATACATGCTATTGGATTGAAATTCATAACAATGATTAATGGACATGTTCCGGATACGAAATGTCAAGGATACGCATGAGTGACCTCGGCGATACGCTCCAGTGAGCAATATAGGATTTTACACTTTCATCTTCTTCTCGAGAACGACACTACTTAGAGACTTGAAATTTACATCGCATGCAGATAATGGGTCCCCCATCATAATTTGCAAATTTTATGCATGTCTGACCACGCTTTCACGCTCCAGTGAGCAAAACGCGTCTTCAGTTTTTTTTACGCGGGAAGCCTGTTAAAGCTGCACGCAGCTCTAGTTTATATTAGAGTTCAACACGCCATTTTTAAATTCTTAAAATTCGGAATAAAGCTTAGACAAAGAGTCTACGAGCGTTGCTAAATTAGATTATCTCCTAATTTTGAGTCATTGATTAATTATTAAATTCCTTCCTGTAGGTCGTAGCATGCTATGAATCGCATAAAATGACGGTACACGACTGAAAGCATGTCTTGCATATAAATACTTCGGAGGTAATCTGCTACATCAACTCGATGTGAACAAGTCTGGAATAATGATAGCCAAAACGAGAAATTATTAATATTATCATCAGAAATTCCAAATACAATATAAATTTTGTAAATTAAAAAAAAAAATGACAATCATTTCGGCGTTAGTAGTGGTCTTCACTATATATTAGGCCGAACATCTACTATTAAACCAGCAAAGCGATTCAAAATATGAAGATATTAAATGCATACAAAAAGCGAATATCTTTGACAGTTGACAAATTTCCTGATTCAATCAACCACTGAATTCATGGAGTAGAAGCCATGATTAATATCACCACCGTATGGGCCGGAAACTCTCAATATATCCGCTTACGTCATTGAAGCATTTAATCGTTTGAGATATCTATGCAAAATTTTCATTCCTCAATATTTGAAAATCACCCAATAGAAATAATATAATTGTGAATTGAAATTCTGGATTAAATTTGGTAGTGTTAAAAATCAAGTATCGGAATATAAGTTTATCCCCTTTTCAATAGAATTTAGTATGAACTCGGAAATTTCGTTTTAGTATTTATGAAAGTGTAAGTGATTCATTACAAAACTTGTGCCTTTGAATTACAGTAGTGAAAATAGATAAAAAGTGCTTATATTTAAATTCTTTTAGGTTATTTAATATTTATCGGTAGTAAATACTCAAGGCAAGTCAAATAATGAATAAACAAAATGCTCGTATATCAGAAATTTTGGCAACTATATATGAACTGCGAAACATTACTGATTGGTCTACAAATTTTTCTGAATCGACATGTATTCTTTTTTGATTTCCATTTTTTTTTTTCATTATGATTGCAAACTTTGATTCGAATTATTCTGGTTATGGAGCTAGTTAATAGTTTTGTTGAAATCAACATTCAAGGTTTCACACAATAGTAATTAGATATGAGCATTTCTAAGTAATGTAAATCTGACTTTCGATAGGTTGATTGATTACTTGGAATGCCTAATAATTAAAGTATGTGTATTTTAAAATTTGAAGTTTAATAATAAAAGCTGGCTGTTGTTTTAAAAACATCACATGGATTTATTGGCCAATACTTTAAAACACAAATGATGTCAAATTACATACTAATATAGAATATACCAAAAAAAATTTCAAGTTGGAATAACTGCAAAATGTCACTCACTTGTTAGAACTACAGCGTTTTCTATATTTGAACGGCTGGATTTTTTAACAGTGTCTGTAAGGGAGCCCACAATTGAGCTTTCATTCACGTCTGTACTCCACCTGTATTCAATATTTTGAATAAATCATTAAAAGTGATTAATTTAGTAACCAGGTTACCACGAATAATTTCAATTAATGCATAGTGTTGTAAACAAACGGAAAATTAATTTAATTTTTCAGTAAATAGAGTCATATTTCTTGAATAAAACCTTTTGCAAAATCGCATAACTAGAGGATTTTAGTTAGAATTAATATTAATATTTTCAATATAGACATCGTATAGAAAGCGTCCATATTTTGTCTTTAAATAGGTGACTGGCGACCAAGCTTCTGGGATTACAGTTTACTATATATATGAATAGAAGTTACATCCAAATATAATAAATTTACTTGGAAATTTTATTTTACTTCAACAGGAAAGACTGATTAGCGTTAAAAGGTGTTTATCAAACCCCCGAGAGCACTACCTGTATTTTCTCCAAAAATATCAGCAATTACTATAAAATGCGATTAACTTTGCTGCTATGTTTTGACAATGTTTTTGCGTAAAATGTGAAATAAAAACTACTATACTTACTGAACAATAACATTGGTTTGAGACGTGTTGTTGCAGAATACAGTGGTTATAAACACAGCAAAGGCACCGAATATTAATAAAGTGCTCGTCATTTTTTTATTTTTCTACAATTCCAATGTTTTCTAGTTTTAATATATCCATATATTTGTGCTCTGCAATTTTTAAATACTAGGTTAATTGAAACCTCGTTGCATGCAAACAAAACTTTAGTAATATTAAAAAAAATTAATTTTATAAAATAAATGATCTAAACATATCTATTATTTTTGTTCAACTCTAAAATGTTGGACATCCACTATTTAGTTTTTATGAGATATGTCACAACTTTTCTCCCACAAATTAATTGTACTATCAGCAACCTGAATGACAATATCTTCATAGAATTTGAAAACCGTCATCACCAGAGTCCATTTAATTTATACGCATGTTGGGGTGAATAGGCGGACCTAGGTTCCACAATGAGTTAACTATCCAAAACGAGATCTCTGCTATAACACTGACTTGCTCCATAGCTTTGACCAAGGCAAACATGGAGGCAAAGCGCTCTGTCTCATCAAATTTGACAATTTAATATTAAAAACTTGGATACTCCCGTAGTTTGTGTACCAGGTTAGGGTTTGGCCATAATTTTATTCCGATTTTCCTTATTTTCGGGATTGTATGTGTTAGCCAATTGAATATACTCTCTGCCTATAGGCTTCAGTCCCTTTACACAACTTGATGTAAAGTAGGCGAACAAAATTAGTCACCTCCATATTGGTACATGCACTTCTGGATCGTCATAATTCGTCCTGCTATCAGGAAGGCCAAACTGAGTTTTCGTTGAATATTCTGAACATTCTATCTATTAAAAACACGTTGGCGGAGCATTTATACAATGCTTCTCTACCGATAGCAAATACAAGTATAACTGACTCATTGCCTGTGCCTGCCTGTCATTCAATCGACGGTTTGTCATAACGTACTTTCCTGAATAATACTGTGAACGTAATGTATCACCAAATTTAAAATACCACGCCAGTCAATTGTTTTGTCGATCAGACATCACGGTGTGTGTCGTCATTTACCGGCTCTTCTGCATCACCAACATATTCACAACAAACTTGGGACTCGCCAGGTGTTGAGGGCCAAGTCGAAAGCAAAGCTACTAACGTAAAGAACTTGTGAATGGACGTAAGAATGAATTGTGATAGACTCATTGAGAGGGCTTGCTTCCTACATTTGCGCTACACAGATCATTGTTTATCATTCAACATTGTCTCGTAGCCTAAATTTTTATTTTATGGTAATAATATAAATACCGTTAGTATTTTGTCCATTACTTTCTACCCAAAAGAGCTGTTTCAATGGTATCACGATAAAAAAATACAGTCTTTTCAAACTGCTTCAATCTTTACTGAAATTTTCTTCACACTGCCACGCCATTGAATATTTCAATTTGATCTTTGCTGCAGTATGTTAATCATCACCAACTAAATGTTAAAATGCTGACCATGAAACGCTCGCTACTTAACCGATCAAAGAATTTTAATGAAGATTTCTTCAAATTTATGCCATCACAATCGCGTGTCAAACTGTCTTCAACATAGCATGCCACAGTGTCAATATAACTACGTAATGTTTTATATAGAAATTTGGCAAAGTCTTTACGATAGCATCATGATTATGTTGTTCAAACTCGATTTGCTCAAAATAATCACATCTTGCGCTTGGCTTATTGCGATATTATTTAATTCTTGATCACGTTTTAATATTTCAGACTGAAAATCGAAACGAAATCCTAATTGAAAATCGATTGTCTCGCATATTCTTGGCACAAAAACGGCGTAACTTAACTTGTCATATTGATCATGTGGAACAAAATCATAACATTACGACATAATAATCCAAGACATCTTCACGATATTGGATGAGAAATTTTGATTACTTCATTATGCCTGATTAACTTTAGAAAAAAAAATAAAATATTCAGTAATTTCATGATGCGAATGCTTAATAAATTAATAAAAAAAAAATAACAAAACATATATGCGTATATAATTCAGAATCAAACAAAAAAACTATATTCTTCAAAAGTACTTCGGTTCAATACTTTTTATAAGTTTCTTTAATAAATGTTTTTAGCATTTGTAACATTGACACAGTTATCATTTTAACATAATGTGGGATTTTGAATAAAATCAAAATCAAAGCAATTTGACAACTCAGTTGTGTTTATAATAAGTGGTTCGAAAGTCTTTCATTACACTTTCACAAAATTGCATTTTGTAATTATACGTGATAAAAGACAGTTTTTTTCTCAGACAAGCAAATAAATTATTACATCAATTTGATGAGTTCAATTTTTTTAAATATCAGACTTCGGTCAGACGAAAGATTACTGAATAAAATTTGTTAAATTGTGATGCCAGACTTTCGAACTACTCAATGTAGTCCTTTAATTTATGCTACAGTATCCTTTCAGTTCAGTTCATATAACGAAAAAGCAGAGGCAATGGGGCAGTTATTTCATTCAAACATCAGATATTTTAGAATGCAATTTTTCTTTGATCATTTTATTTGGAAGTATTGGGTAAAACTCCACAAACTTATCTCTTTTGATCGCTTAACCGTATATATATTGTAAAAATATCTGTTTACTTTATATATTTTTTACTATTTATACTGGAAAATTTATTGAATTATTGATTCACTATCAAATTCCTCATTTGTGCCCACTATATAGGACTTGGCTATTTTTACCGAAGCAAAACAAAAGTGTCGGATATTGATGTCATTCTAAGCAATATATATATATTTATTTATTTTTGATAGGTGATTGACATATTACATAATTTATTTTGAGCAAAAAATATGGGTGAACTAATCAAAAATAGTGATTTCAGTCAAATTTTATTTCAATCGTTGAGTGAAAAAAAGATTTTTCTGATATTATAATATAAAATTTTTAAAAGTGATTTATAATCATTCTTAAATGATATACAAGTGTGAGGAAACACAAAATATTCTTGAAAAATCAATTCCGAGAAAATATAAGTAAAATATAAGTCGATAAACACACCTTCAAGAATTCCCAAAATAAACTGTGAATAATAATCTGATGTTGTCATAATGATAGCTTGAAATATTTGACTATAATGAGTTATTATAAATGGCTTATTTTTATGATAAAACATTGTAAATATATAAATTTTTTGACACGGAATGTCAATTTGCTACTCTTGTGAATTGGAAAATCGCACATTTGGTTAATAATTTGTTAAAAATTGAAGAAAAGTTATAATACGTGCGAAGCAAAGTGGTAAATTGTAAAACTCTCAATCAACATCGTCCTGGTAAAGCTCGATATATATTGCTTAACCCGGAGTAATAATTCTGATACGTCATAGATGTAATTCGCATGAAGAATAATTTGCTAAAAGATTATAAAATATATATAAACAAGTGGTTGGCTAATTACTTACATAACTTTAATTTACTTATGTTTTAGTTTCATGATAGATGAATAAAGAAATGCATAATTAAATACTTCTATTGTTGCAGTTCTACCAAATAATACATATACATAACATATACATAACAAACATATCAATTTAAATCAATTTTCAAATATGTGAACACAATTGTCGTGCCACGTGGTGGCGCAGTAAGCGCAATCACGATAAATTTAGGGGCGTCGGGAGAATTGGGTCCTCCAGGACTGTGAAATAATTTCCAATAAAAATGGAGTAACAGTTTTCTAGCGTCCGAACACTATAAATTTAAAATTGATTTATCCAGGCGATTTTTCTACAATGCAATCCTCAAACCCAACAAGAACTATAATCCTCTAAAACGAACCCAGTGTGTGCATCCCATGACCAATGATAAAAGTATTTAATCCCCAGCTGTTGAGAATGTATAATTGCATATACTTTACACTCTTTTTAAAGTCATGTTTAACATTGATTCATTCTAAAGATTCTGAAACTGAATCATCTTCTATGGTTTGAGTATTTGTTTATGCTAAATACATCTCAGGTTTTCTAATGTAAATATTTAGACTTTAAAAATGGCTTTGCCTATAAAAAAGTCCACGTCATTCACGATTTTGTGTCGATAAACTAATTTTTAGGGAATAATCTTCTTGTTTGTTAGTAAATCCCGCTAAACCTATTTCTTTTTCGGTATTTGTGGTATGAGAAAAGACTCTAATCCTAACACACGGTGTTTCTACGTATTTCTAACATAAGTTATGTTAAAAGAGCAAGCGCATTATGGTATCGGTTATGGGTGATCGCATAGTAATTTTGTTAAATCGCTGATCATATAGTCTTTTTGATATTATATATATATAACTATTTGTTGGTATTATCCCAGAATCCATTACTTTGGCTGGTTGTCCACACAACACCGATGGTTCATTTGTAATCGCAACTGCGTAATGATTGATGGATATTACCATTGAACCACAGTTGAATAGCGATTCAGTTTATCAGTAACGGCTCCTATTGGCATCTCATTATATGTGTCCTTATGTGTAAATAATGTGTGAAGGCATAAACAAAAATAAAATTTTTGTTATACCCTAAAAGGTTTGCTGACAGTTTTCAAATATAAGATAATCAACGCTAGTGGGCATATACCGGTAATAGAGGTGGATACAGAATGACTGTCTCGTATTAATTTCATTCATGAAAACCGAAGTCACTTGATAAATAAAACGAAAACTTGATATCATAAACCCATAATTGATTTGTGTTTTCAAACTTTAGTTTAGAGTTTATCAAATATTTGAAATATTTTTAACGCTTCTTCACCAGATTTCCTCGCGTTTCTGAGATACAATATAACACCTTGTATCAAAACTCACTTTATGATAACAAATGTTTAATAGCTTTTGTGTAATATTAAAAAAAAAAGTTATTTGTAGGTTTTGGTTTCAAAAATTAGGGAAAAAAGAATTGATATATTTTGATATATCACTTTGCAGATCCTTCAAAGATAAGAGACTGATCAAATTATGCTCGAAGAATTTTGCATTATCATCTTCTTTTGTTCGTGCAAAGGTTGTCATTCGCGAGGTGCGTGATAACTCTGAATGAATTCCGATTCATTTTAGTTTGTTTTATTATCTTCCGCTTTTACGCAATGTGGAATGAAATGCATTTATTATCCGATACAATCTCACAATGGGTGTTATAATTTGCTGCAAACGCGCGTATAGCTCTCTCATTATGGTTGATAACTCATTGCCATTTTGAGGAAAGATCGCAATCTTTAATGGCGGTAGTTTGCTGGAAAATGGAAGAAGAACCATTACCTAATGTATAAGATTCTATTTACATCTACTAGATATTTTATAATTTAGTTTATAATACGCTCTGGGCGTTTAGAGTTAGGTTCCGTTTAACTACTTCGAAACATATTTGCGGGTTTTGACTCCCCCTCTGGCAATAGATAAACAAAGAAGAAAACAAACAAAAATCGGTAAACGATCAATGTGACGTGGCATCTTGACTTATCAAAAATGCAATCATTCCGAATGTGCATCGCAAACTAATTATATCTTAGAAACGATCTCCGATGATCTGTTTATTAGAATGAGTCATATTCATTAGACAATTTCTAGCAAAAAAATGTTGAAGTAACTTGTGTAATTATTTCATACAAAATATAGCTTGTCGGTCATAAAAAATCGATTACTTATAATTGAGGGTTTTAAAAAAATGTTCTAGTAAAAAGTTTAAAATTTGCTCTTCTGATTTAAATTGTGATTATAAAAAATTTCTGCATTAAGTGGGAATTGACTTTTTTTCCGAATCTAGGTCATTTTAGTAATACATATAAAAGATAAATCTACATTCAATTGTCTCGTAGATGACAGATATTATTGACTCTACTGAAGTTAAAATGTGTGAACCAACCAAGAATTATATCACTCAAATTCCTAGATGATTTATACGATTAATTGAGTAATTCCTTAAATTACCTTCCCGAAATGTTTATTAAATTTACTCCTATAATTTGATATTAATTGCTGTGGTTTCGTATTTCCGATTAACATGTCCAAACAACAACAGTATTAAACCACTACTATATACAACCTATTTTTATATCAATATCGACATGAATAACATAACGTTATTTTTTCATAAAAATCTATTTAGTATATATTAGTCTCACAATTAATTCTTGGAACCAGATTTGGAATTTTAAACATTACACAACTCAAACACTACCACCAGATTTTAACCTCAGTCTTGTTAGATGTAGCAGATAAACTCACATGACAGATTTTAACGAGCATTGTTGTGTTTTTTGGGTTTCTTGGATTTCTCTGAAATGCCCAATTGTGTTTTTATCTGAATTCAACCGAATTTTTTGAAGTAAGTTTTAATCCAATTAACTTGTTTTCATGGCTGATATAGTCTGAATTGGTAATAAACAACGAAAGAGATAATAATTTGTGAAATGCTTTTCGTCCTACATTATCACGAGTCATAAATATAGATTAAATTGCATTTGATATGGCTTTTCTAGTTATACCTCCTCACGTCATCATATAAACCATCAAATAGGTATATAGTTTTACGGGTGGTTCAAAGGTGTCTTGTCCCACCTGTTTTCCACTTGTCTCAAATGTTTCAATCTTGCCATGACGATACAGAGTTTTTACTACCCCCTATACCAGAGATGCCGAACCTTTTTCGATGAATGGGTCAAAAATTATATTTTTATCGCAGAACAGAAGTGAGTGGGTCACAAATATTTAACCAATGTTGTATCTATAAGAAACTTCTGAAACAAATTTTATAAGTTTCTGTTGGTGTAGTTTTGGGCTTTACTTATGCAGCACTTCTATCAGGGACTTTTCATGGCACTCGATTTTATGAAATTAGAGTACGAACACACTCATACGAATTACGTTTGGGATGATGCTGCAAATTATTTTACGGTTCAAAAGAGTTTGAAGGGAATTCCACTCTGAAGTGTTAGATTTTTCGATCAGCTTTCAACCACATTAGGGCACTTTTACACTGCCCCGTTGTTACTTCAGATTTATAGATTTTCATTTCAAGTCTGAAAGATTTTGTTTTCCCAACGGCATTGTAGGCAAGAAACTAATAAAATGCAAAGATCTTCTCGTATAACCCCTAAAACAGTCTGCAGATGCTCTTTCGAAAGAGACAAGACGTTGCGGAGAAATGAACATCGATTGAATTGTTATGTCATAAACGGTGTCATGCCAATCGCTGAATAACGGTACACGGCGGTGCAGAGATTAGGGGTTTTGAAAATTACCATATACCGGAAGGTAACAATTTGAATATAAGCAGCCGTGACTGTCCAACTGACGGTACATTATATTAGTTTATTTATTGTTAGATTAATTTAAGGCCGGTTTTATCAATTATTATCACTGATATGTTAGCATTTATTTTATTTTATTCGTGCCTTGGTGGGTCACCAATAAAACGCAATGGATCACTTTGTGATCCGCGGGTCAGTGGTTCGCCATCCCTGCCCTATAACGAACTAAATGTATAGCATTTGGTACCTCAATAGTTTCTTTCTTTTTAATGGACTATAACGCACAAAACTGTAATGTTGGAAGCAAACTTCCTAAAATAAACGATGTAGCCAGTATATTTTGAAACTCAATTGGGTACTCCCGAAGTATGTGAACCAAGATGGTGGTCACCGGAACGTAGTATGTGTAACAGGTTAGGTCATAATTCCAGGTACAAATACTATGGAGTCACTTGGCTAGTCCTTGAACTCGTAATAGAACTAAAATGAGGAAATTGGAATGAAATATGGCCTAACCCTAACCTGGTACACATACTACGTTCCAGTGTCCATCATCTTGGTTCACATACTTTGGAAGTACCTTTAAATTTATCCAATCCTATTTTAAAACCTAACTTTGAGCAATGAATGTTTTTCGGAGTGTCCTTCATGCTTTCGGTAAAGTCAAGCAAAATTCAATACATTTCAGATACGATACACAATTGGCAAGATAGAATTTTTTTTAATTCAAGTAGGTTACCCGGTACCCAAGTAGGTTAATATGTCCAAACGTTGCAAAAGGAATGTTTTTACACACTCCCTCAAACACTGTGAAAAGCAAACGAAGTTGAACTCCAAAAATATGAGCTTCAATCAATAATTGGCGAGATTGAGAGAAACGTCCTGTTATTGCCTTTTGAAATTGTTTCAATCAACTAACATTTTTTCAAAATTCGTTACAATTAAATTGTGCATGAAGCCTACGCGAACCTCAGCATTCTGACTTTATGGCTTAAGTTTTCTAAACCATTCTAACTTCTTCTCGCTATTTATAATTTGCAATAAAAATACGTGTGATGAGGATTATTGCGTTTTATTATGAAAGTTGAAACAGATTGAAATAATAAGTATAATAGATGGAAGAATCGTAGCTTATCTTTTGTAAAAGAAATAAATGAAAATATAAATATTCCTGCACGATACACATTCCTATATCCTGCGTACAATAAAAAAAAATCTTACATTCCGAATTCCGACAATATATATAATAAAAAAGCAACAAATTACATTCAATTCCACATTATTAACCAGAAAGTAAGTCAAGCTGTGGTCGTCACATTTGTAGTTGTAAATCCTAAAATGTCCAATTGAAAGGATTTTCCCGAACCAGTCAGGTTTATTATCTCTAAGCATGCGATGGAAATGGAACATTGCTTTGTAAGCGCCATTACTGCTCTTTCTGGATTATGCACGCAAAAATGATAAACCCTAACGAAGAAATGGAAATGGACGCTACAACAAATTTGACAACCTTATTTAGAAGATTTTAAAAACATCGATTTCATAGCTTCTTTGGAAAAAAGATTTTTTAGACTGTCCGGGAGAAAATTATCGTTGTCCCCAAGAACTAACTCGTATTTGAAAAGGCCATTGCTCTCACTCTTGCATGGTTTGTTCATGCAGAATTTTACTTCGCTTCCATAACCGCCGCAATCTGTGGGTACGTATGTGGTGCAAAATCTGGTGCGTCTCTGGTTTCCCATTCCACATGTCTTTGTGCAAGTACTCCATTTGGACCAATTGGTCCACTTGGCCACTGCAATTAAAAAATTGGGGTGGTTAGAGTTAGTCAAATAAGTTATTTTTAAATTGATCAATAGTAAAAAATGATTTTGAAATTAAATATTGTCATGGGAAATAATTGTAGGAGATAGTAGTAGATATATTTATATCAGAAAACTTCAGAATTTATGTTGGTGTCCCTTTGTTCTCGTCGCCATTATCTTTTAATAAGATAGTATTCAAATAGCATATAATATATATATAGGTTTACGAACGACACTTACTTTTAGGGTTGAAATACAATCGATCTCTGATATTGTTTGCGCACAATTTAGCTTTGCATTTATCCCGACCGTCGCACTTGGAGCATCGAGGTCCAGACACGAATGGTTTTCTTGAAAGAAAGAGATTTACGTATAAATATCATGCCTTGTAAATGATATACATTAGAGTTAGACGCTAGTATTATTTTACAGACGTATAGCAGTACTTTTTTAATAACAACTTTTTCTGATGAACATGGGCAAGATCGCCTAAAAATCACTCTGAGTCGTTCGCGACCTGTCGTCGATTTCTATAAAATAAACTCGATTTTTCGTCAAAACATTCAAGTTTTATCTCATTAAACAGTTTTTGAAGTAATTTAATTGATAGACTACATTTATTTGTACATTATGCAAATAAATATTTACAATTTTATTTAAAAATTGAACTATTTTTATGCATCAAAAGGTACTTACTCTCCGCGGAAATTTCCACCAGGTCCATAATTGCAGCCGAATAAGATGGCATTTTTCCAGATCCTTCCGCGTACATTGATGTTGCCGCACATTGTCACACCGCAGCCGACTTTGAATGATTCAGCCCAGACAACCTAAAAAGATAAGATGAAATGACATTTCACACTTCTGTTCGTGACAGTTAGTTATATTTTAATTGGCGCTTCAAGTGGAAATACTAATCGAAACACTTGAGTCGGACTCTTTGTTTCAATATACTCACACGATTTTACCAAATTGTAGCTAAATGTCTTCTAATTGTGACTGTACAATTGACGCATGAGCGTTTATAAATATCCATATTTCGATAACTTTCATTTACCTGTGTATAATGTCCACACATCTTTCCTGGTTCGCATCCCATGGTGTCATAATCATAGACTGTTTTTTCTCCATCCCAAGCTCTGACGGCGTGATCGAGTAATTTTCTATTATAAGGTAATCCCATTGAAATAAATAAATTTTCTCCGACGTAATTGAAACGTTTGTTCTTTGGGTTCTGTGAACAATGTAATAATGATGTTATTGTCGATGACATTTACGATTCATACGTCACCAGTGATTGGTAAATTGTACTCATGAGGATAAGAGATCAATGCTCAAATATATGGACACAAAATCCAAAACGAAGTAGTATCATATCTTTCACAGCATCGGTATAGTCTAACCGCCAAATTACGTAGATGGGAACCTCGCCTAATTTTGATGACTCCATCACACAAATTTTCGAAGTTGATTTAATTCGTGTCCAATAATTTTAAGAGGATGTGTTTACAACTAACCGGATTATGTTCGTAAATACATTTTCTTGTGTAACGAGTAGCAAGTTTTTCGAGTGAAACATCCCATGTCATTTTTCTCATATTGCTTGCAGATGGCTTTGTCGTCATTCTTGCACGATTGTGAGCAATTAAAATTGTGTTCTTGAAAGCCTCTGAAATTAGAATTGTAAATATTCATTATCTACTATGAAGGTTATCTCAAATAAAACGAACTAACCTGTTAATTGATAAATTATTTAAAAGTGTGGTAAAATGGACTTTAAATGTAGTAGAACAAATAGTAAGGACTTTTCAGTAAATATATATATTTTGAATTTTTAGGAAACGTTGTCGTAATTTTTAGACATTTCAGAAAAATTGAGCGTCAAAGTTTAAAATTATTAGTAAATTATTACTAATTTCCGCGAGTTATGAGTAGATATTTTAGGATTCAACCGCAAATATAATTTGATGTTAAAATGGGAACCTATAAATGATGTGATGGCCAAATGTATTGTATAATATATTCTTTTATAGCAATGTTCAGTATACTTTTACGCCCAAATTTTCAGTCAATTTTGAAGTTTGTCTATGTGCCGATATCGCATAAAACACCGCGTATTGAGTTTAGAATGCGCGCTTCTATTGTGCAATTTACTATAAGATCTTAGAATTAAGTAGTGCTTCTATTCGTCAAAATTATCTAATTTTTTCGAAGATTAAATCATGATTATACTAAGGTATGACGGCGATTTGTGTCAAAATTGTGCCAGTTAACTCGTCATCCTGTCACTGGAAATTGTCATTTTTTTATTCTATATAATGATAGACATTTTAATCTGAGTGCGGATTTTTTGTGGTTATCTAAGAAGTGTTTTATCTCGATAAGTCGTCGTGTGATATAAAATATTACTTCTGGGATTCGTTATCAGAAAACTACGATCATTAGGTAAACAACTTGAAGCAAGAAAATGCATTCTTGTCACGAAACACCGATTTTGTTTACTTTTTCTTGAAAAATTATAGTTTTGTCAAAAATGCATACCTTTCCTTGCAATTACCTTTAAAAAAATAATGTTCTTGTTGCAATACTATAATTTTGGGCATTTCATATTACAAATATTAAAAATATGTCCACTTATCACCGTGAAATAAGTATAATTTTTTACTTTCTGTCACAAATAATTCACGTGTATATTGGATAAGTTGTATTTGATTTAATCCTATCGTGTTATATAAATGAAAGTTAAAAAGAATCAACGAAACAAAATCAAATTTCAATAACAAAAGTTGATTTTGGTTAAGTTATCATCTTTATCTATTTGTCAAGTTGAATTATTTCTTCTGTAATGTCTTTTTAATATAACAAAAAACGAAATAATGGACGCTTTCATATTTACTAAGTTGGAATGAACTCGTATGACACAGAAATGCTTTAAAAACTCACATTCACGCCAGAAGTTTAAAATTTACAATATTTGTGCAAAACCATTACTTTGCATAAACAGGGCACGAAAAACATTCAATATTTTTTCTTGAATATGTTTACGAATTAGAGCAAGAAGTTGGCAAACAAAAATGTCAGCACTATGACCTTGACAGATTCTAGGTAACACCAAAGTCAAGAATCAGAAAATGTCATGAAATTTGAAATTCAGAACTTTCTTGGCAGTTATTGGATAACATCCGCCGCATGCCGACGTTGAACTGAGCGTATTTTTGCGATATGTTGCTAAATATAAAGGTGAGACAACATATGCTGTTCGTAAAATTCCTATTTGCCATGAAATTCAAGTTTTGTTATGATGAAATGATTTGATTAAATCGCATCCGTGTGACTGAGACAGGTAATGTTTGCTAAATGGCAACTCAGTTTAGTAAATCAAATAACAAATGTTTTTTATAAATATAAACCGTTTCGCTGATCAACGATAATAATGAATCACCATGCCCTCCGCGCGGTCTAATATAATCATAAGGAATTCATTGCTACGCGATCACGTCCAGTGATAAAGTCAATTCAGGAAGTATATTATCTTGTCGACGCGGAAATGACATCAATTTGCGGTTGCTTATAAAAACAAAAACATGGACATAACTTCAATATTTTAAATGTCGAATAAAACAATTAAAAAAAATATTTATTGAAAACAATATTTTGCATTCTCTATGTGTGTATATAAGTTTTAAAATCATTCTTCTGCTTTTCCGTTCATTTCAGATGTCAGTGAATATATATAACCAATGCATATGATACGTTTAAGTAACTGACTATTTATATATATACAACTTTTCTCTTATGGTAGGAAAAGATCCATCTATTTCCAATTTGATTATTTACGGCATCAGTAAGGAAAAATAAACTTTTTTTTCAGAAATGCATAGTGAATTCACTATGTGTTTCACAGTCATTCACAAAATTTATTGTTCTAGTTCTCACTCGTGTCAGTTGCTTTTTAAATCTGTTATCGTTTTTAAAAACCGCAAGTCAGTCACAAGGTTGCACGTTGAACGAGTATTTCAAAATGCTGAATACAAAATATTTCCGGTACCGGGACGCGATTGCTATTAGTCATAAATATGAAAAATATTTTCGTTCTGATCTTAGTCAATTCAATGATTAAATAAATATGTTCGTGAATTCTATGGTATAAATCGTTTTGCAATGGACGTGACAAACCGGTGCTTTTGGTGATGCGCATATGTATTCAGAAACAATTTACTCATAATTTCCTGATGCGATTTGTCAATAAAAAAAGGTGAATATTATTTTTAAACTCATGGTTACGAAGCCGATTCTGAGCCTAATACAAGCTTTAGTGTCAAATTGTAAATGATTTTTTGTCTAATTGAGCATTGATCAATAAAGTCATAAAATCAAGCAAAAGGTTCGAGGTGAAATTATTTCAGCAAAAAAATTTGCTATGTGTATAATAATATAAAATTTCCGCTTGTAAAGAATTAGTCAACAAATTTTATTTTGCGACTGAATAGTTAAACAGGATATGGAAAACTTTATAAGTTATATGCAAATTATTGAAAAGATATATAAAAAAATAATATTACAAAAAATAAATAGTAATAACTTTGTAGATATCAAATAGCAATATGAATGAAAATATCTTACTTGGCAATTTGATAGCTTTCAACACTTTTCCGGGTTTCGGGACCGATTTTTTCACAGTTGTTGCTGGAAGTTCTATTGTCCACCTGAGATTATTTATTTAATATTGATTAAAGTGGTATGACGGAGTGTGATTTTGATCAACGCCCGTGTAAGCTATATTTAAAAATATATCATCACTGGTAAACTAAGGTATAAAATGACTTAGTATTTGCTTAGACATCCAAACTGAACAAAAATTTCGTGTTAGGGCGTAGCCAACAACACAGGTATGAGGTTTTGTGGCATTTTCGTAAAAAATTAAAATTATAAAAAAAAAATTAGGTTAAAACGATGTAAAGCAAAATTTGTTAAAATCCTGGTTTTAAATTGAAATAACCATAAGATCGCAACTAAAACGCACATTAGAAATGAAATAAAAATATGAAAAATATCGTAAATTAATTATGTCCTAAATTTTTTTCTAAATTTTTCAGACCAAATTAAAATTGAAAAATGTCTTTTACTTACTGTGCTGGAACATCTCCCATCAGTTTGTTAACTTCTTCCTCTTGTTTTTCTATTTCTTCTTCGGTACTCGGAGCACCATCTTCATTTTCCCATTCTTCCTCTCCAAGTTCTTCATTGAGTTCGTTAAGTTCTTCATTTCCTCCTTCGATGTTCGTCGGATCGTTTTCTGATACCTCATTCGGTATCTGGTCGACGAGTTGATTGAGGCTAATTTCTGCCATCGCGACGTGACACACGAATGGCCACCAAAAAGCCAAAGAAGCGAATAAGATGTTCATCTTCATTTTTATTCGACTTTTGTATTTCTACTAATTTAGGTATAATCTGGTTAGAGGAATGTGAAAAGTGATTGAATAGAGTATATGAATTTTCAGCAATTTCCATCAGCCTTACCTGCTATTCGATTATCAGCGAAAGCTATTGATACGAAAATGCTACGCGAAACATATATAAATATGGCTCGATAAAGACGATGTTACGACAAGGCAAAAAAAAAATTAAATTAGTTGTAAAAACCAAAATCGATATCTAATTGAGGACATCGATTTGACCAAAAAGTAATAGGTAACTTTTCCGGTGGATATACGTCTCCCGAATAATTGTTGAATGCGACTGACGCCGCTTATATGCCGTAAACGGCATCAGCCACTCTGCCTATGGTGTAGCCCAAGGGCAAGATATCGTTATAGATATCTCGCAACTAAACCTGAATGCAAAAGATTGAGTCTCAAGCTTTTTTCGCGCCATTTATATTGCCTATCGCGTGGGACGACTATGCGTCAACCTTTCTGCATGACAATTACGGCATGATGTCACGCAACGAAATATCGGTATCAGAAATAAAATGAAGCATTTTATATATTTATGATTATTGCTAGGTCACGTTTTTAAAAGAATAACTCTAAAAAAGGTCAAATACAAAATTCTGACTCAAATTTTCCATCTTGATTTAATGGCCACATAACATGCATTTTGACCTATCGTATGAGCATCATTTCCCTTCTTTAATAAAACATTACATAATACGTCGTTGACGAATATGATACTAACTTTGAATAAAGATAAAGTTTAAAACCATTGTCATATCACACCTTCTTTCATTTTCTGCCATTTATACTTGTTGTTTCAGTAATATAGCACTCATTACCCGCTAAATACTGGTAAATTTGCTCGTTATTATAATCGTTAACTTAATTTTTTTACATTGTTGTAAAAGTTCTTTTTCTTTGAATTGTAAACATTCAGCCTACTATATTAAATTTTTGAATACTATTCATCCAAATAGTTTTGGCTTGGTTTACAGATCAGAAAGCAATAATAATTTTAATAAAACGCAATTGAATTAGAATCGCAATTATTTATTACTCATTATTTCTTGTTACACTGTTGACGATATGCAGAAATGAAATATAAAATATAAGCATGAATTGTGACAAAAATTATGAATGGCGTATCATGGCAAGTCTTCAACTCTACCAGGCCAAACCGTTTTAAAGTTTCGGAAGTATTCCTTTAAAAAGTTATAAAATATCAAATCTATTTTTGTCGAAAATGATATCGGAAATTGGAGTAGATTCCGTCGAGTCACGAACTATCATGTCTCGGCGGGCAATCATTTAATCCTGATGGAGCACTTCCGCACAGTGGAATAATAAAAACCCAACAAAATAACATGGCCTGTGGGGTGGAAACAATTGCATTTTCTCCGATAGTTAGTTCATGACTGCTTAAAAGGTCGAAAGTGAAAATTATTGTCTAGACTGGAAATATTCAAATTTATGCTTCTGACTTGACTAGGTTATATAACCTCAGTCCAATGGACAGTGGTGATATTTTCCCAAATCACGCCGTTAGATTTATTATATTATTTCGCCTTGGATGAATCTATTTCGATTTTTTTTTTCAATGTCAGTTTTCGCATTGACAGAACATGATACAATATCGGTATATGTTATATAATATATATCTTGTATTTGTGATGGATCAAATTTGGAACGTTATTGGATTGTGTCGTTCAGGCATGATTATTTAATGCCATATTTGATAAATGCTATCTCATGCCTGTGAATACGTATCAATATCGAAGAATATTGAAAATAAATATATGAGCATATTAAGTACAAAATGTCACTTAGCTTTCGTTTGGGAACGAGTTTTTACAAAATAAAAAGTATATGCAGAGGATCTTAATAAATAAAAGTCAAATAGCATGACTTTAGAAAATAAAAAAAGCCTATTTCCTTTTTATTAAACATTAGTCATGCTATATGGTACGTACATAATCTTGTTTATCACTTATCGAGATTTATATTATCTGTAAAATCTGAGATTGAAAAATAAACTTTTGATTTTATTCAAAGATAACAGTATCATAAATATAGCCCATCTAAAAAAATATGATCGACGATCCAAATCTGAATGAATTTTGTTTACTTTTTGTTAATATCTTCCACTGAACTCCACATAAATCCAACTAACCAAACCAGTAACAACAACCAACACAAAAATAAGGTCAAGGGCGTTCCATGTATACGATTTTCAGCGAGAGAAAAAACAGAATCAATATTTGTTGATTACTGACTTAGTGAGATCACAGCACGCAGTTATCTGTAAACATGAAAAACATCACGTTTTCCGAAGTATCAAAGAGAATTCAAGTTTAAATATCAATCTGAAATTTCTAAAAAAACGGAATAAGAGGGCTTTAATTAGGGCTTAAATATTTTGTTCTAAACTGTAGAATACAAGACAATTTGCCCCAAAATATCATTCCTTCTATGAGATTATTTTTATTTAGTATTCGATATGATATATTCACAGCATGTCACAGATTAATTAGACTTTACAAATTGAAATAGGTTTCTTGACTTGAATATCAAAAAGCCTCGCATATTTATATATTTGTCTTATTTATTGAAAAGTACTTTTTCACAAGATTAATCTAAAATGAAAGCTCATTTTTAAAACGCAATTCTCATTCCTACTCGAACTCGACAGCACGAGTTCATTAACAAAACCTCACAATTCAAGTTTTTCGTTAAAACTTATCATTAACTATTGCGGTCGCAATATATTTTTTGACAACGTACTTCGTACTAAATAGATTACCGCGTAGCATATACCAAAAAATAATGAAGTAATACGAATTATGCTTAATACTGTTTACTGGTTGACGGTTTATAACACTTCCAACATAATAAACATAAACAGACGAAAAACATCTGATTAATCGACAAAACCAAAAATGTCGTTACTTTTATGCTACGTTAATCGCTTTGAACTTGGATTAAGCTTAACTTGAGCAATAATAGTTTATTTTATTTCCGTGAAATTATGTATGAAATTGTATATACTTTCACGTGGATTTTTTAAATATATATTTAACTTGATTAATTAGTTATTTATGTATGATATTTGAATTCTAAATCTTAAATTAAATTATAATATCTACTTGATTCAAGAATCATCCATTTGTTGTTTAGAGGCTATGGATTTTGGAATATATTTTAACTATAAATATGAGTCGTTATTTTCATTATAGTTCATGAATACCTAGTAGAATTAGTTATAGTTTAATTGAATTCATTCAATTCGTTACGATTGCCAATCGCATGTTGCAGATTAACGCAATTCACGGAGTCCATGTTGGACAAAGAAAATTGAGACAATTTTGATAAATCGTAAATATGGAACAAATTGTATTTTTTTTTATAATTTACGTCTTTTAATATATCTACAGCATTTAATTTAATTTTTTAGTGCTTTGGAACACGTGTATTTTATCTGTTGCATCATATTATCCTGATTAGCAACTATCAGATGAAATTATACAAATTCAATCATATATTTTTGCATAATTCTGAAATCTGGTTATCACAAAATCCTATAAATACCGTTTTTATTCATCTTTGAGAATTATTGACGACATTAAATTTGAAAGATTCATCGGTGAGAATTAATAATTATATCTGAAGTACGTCATGATTAACAAAATTATTACTGAGCAATTAACCACAAAGGATAGATCAAAAATGACAATAACCCCTTTCTCTTTTGCTGCGTTGAAGACATTTTCTTCTTATTAAGTTGAGTTATATACAGGTAATAAAATCGATTTATATATATTTGGGTGAACAAAATTTTTCAATCTAGGTTTCAGTTCTTGTTGGTAAAAAAATGTTTTTCTCCGTTTTTTATGTCGAGGTTTCTTAATTATCAGGGGGTATACAAATTTTGCTGTAAGTCAGACAATAACAAAGTATTTAACCGTATGGTCTGATTCATAAAAATAATAGAAAATAGTTGAATACGTGCTATGCAATGTCAGCATCACTTGGAACATGGTCTTATTGGTATTCGATGTTTCATAAACACATGGTAATGTGTAATGATAAAGTGATCAAATAAGGCAGGCAAATTTGTGCTACAAATAAGCTCGGAATAAACTCGATAAATCTCCACTACGTAGGAATAAAATGCAAGAGTTTTTAAAATAATCTACGTGTTTATGGTTGAATATTGTAGGGTGTTCCTAACTTTTGCGCCTTCCTCGATGCCTATGTGCACCGCCTGAAGACGGAAAACTATAGAATAAAATTCAAGAAAATGATATATGAAAGATATTTGAACCACTTAAAGTAATTAACAGTTGCATGAAACATTCAAAAACATCAAATTAAAATCCTATCACTTTCACAGAGAAAATACGACCCTGAGGTTCGCTAATAAATATTTGCATGAAGGTCATTTACTGTTATTTTCAGTTCTGATTTCTCTTCAATTCTAAATTCTGCATCTTTAAATAATAAACAGTTTCATTATGCTATACTTATGCAAAATTATTAACGCGTATGCTAATAAAAAATCGATATTACAACATTAGACACCGTATGAAGAATTGTTAACGTTGAAAACATTAAGATATCAGTATACTCAAAAATCCCTTTCATCGGCGAATGGTATTTGCTTTGATATTTTTAAATTTTTCACATGTAGAAATCCCAATTGTATAACCAGTACAATTTCATCTTTAAAATGACGGAGAACATTAAAATACCACAGTACGGAAAATATCGTATGGTAAGTTCCAGACAAGTTGTCTCTTGTACCAGTTATCTTTTTGATCTAATAATGTGAAGCTAAAAATAATTTGTTTACAAGTATACTATTTACTGTCTGATTTTCGATCTACGTCGCTATAAAAATAAGTTTTTACCAAAAAAATCAGTGTCTTCAAAATCTCGTTTAGTTCATTAGTCATGCGTGAGATTACCATATATGTATGGATGTTAAATGATAGTAAAAGCACTGTAATATTTACGAGC